AGCCACAATAATTCAGCTTTTGATGAAATCAAACAAAGTTTAATTTTGGACCGTTTTGACCTCAATGTAGACCAATTTAAAAATGGGGCCCCAATATCCAAATAAAATGCTTTGCTGGGGCGCAGCTTGATACGACCGCAGAGGTCGAACCCTGAACAGTTGGGGCAAGTATGGACACAACATTCAAGCTTGATACAGCTCTGAATTTGGATTGTTATTAAATATTTGACACAGCATAGGTTTCTGACACAGAAAGAATGTGGTCTAAGAACTTCAATTTTTTTAATTTACCTATTATGGTCCAATGTCCAAAATCAAAATACATGGTTAGATTCAGCATATCAAAGAACCCCATATATTCAATTTTTGTTAAAATCAAACAAAGTTTAATTTTGGACCCCAACTTGGACAAACTTGAAAACTGGGCCCATAATCAAAAATCTAAACACATGTTTAGATTCAGCATATCAAAGAACCCCAAGAATTCAATTTTTGCTAAAATCAAACTAAGTTTAATTTTGGACCCTTTGGACCTTAATGTAGACCAATTTAAAAAACGGGACTTAAAATTTAAAATCTAAATACACGGTTAGATTTGGAATATCAAAGAACCCCAATAATTCAATTTTTGATGAAATCAAACAAAGTTTAATTTTGGACCCTTTTGACCTCAATATGAAAAAATTTGATAGGGGGGCCCACAAATAAAAATTCTAAATGCATGGTTAGATTCAGCATATCAAAGAACCCCATATATTCAATTTTTGTTGAAATCAAAAAAAGTTTAATTTTGGACCCCAACTTGGACCAACTTGAAAACTGGGCCCATAATCAAAAATCTAAACACATGTTTAGATTCAGCATATCAAAGAACCCCAAGAATTCAATTTTTGTTAAAATCAATCTAAGTTTAATTTTGGACCCTTTGGACCTCAATGAAGACCAATTTAAAAACGGGACCCAAATTAAAAATCTAAAAACACAGTTAGATTTGGCATATCAAAGAACCCCAATAATTCAATTTTCGATGAAATCAAACAAAGTTTAATTTTGGACCCTTTTGACCTCAATATGAACCAATTTAATAGCGGGGCCTACAAATAAAAAATCTAAATACATGGTTAGATTCAGCATATCAAAGAACCTCATATATTCAATTTTTGTTGAAATCAAACAAAGTTTAATTTTGGACCCCAATTTGGACCAACTTGAAAACTGGGCCCATAATCAAAAATCTAAATACATGTTTAGATTCAGCATATCAAAGAACCCCATATATTCAATTTTTGTTGAAATCAAACAAAGTTTAAATACTGGACCCTATCTTGGACCAACTTGAAAACTGGGCCCATAATCAAAAATCTAAACACATGTTTAGATTCAGCAAATCAAAGAACCCCAAGAATTCAATTTTTGTTAAAATCAAACTAAGTTTAATTTTGGACCCTTTGGACCTCAATGTAGACCAATTTAAAAAACAGGACCCAAAATTAAAAACCTAAATACACGGTTAGATTTGGAATATCAAAGAACCCCAATAATTCAATTTTAGATGAAATCAAACAAAGTTTAATTTTGGACCCTTTTGACCTCAATATGAACCAATTAGATAACGGGGTCCACAAATAAAAAATCTAAATACATGGTTAGATTCAGCATAACAAAGAACCCCATATATTCAATTTTTGTTGAAATCAAACAAAGTTTAATTTTGGACCCCAATTTGGACCAACTTGAAAACTGGGCCAAAAATCAAAAATCTAAATACATGTTTAGATTCAGCATATCAAAGAACCTCATATATTCAATTTTTGCTAAAATCAAACAAAGTTTAATTTTGGACCCTTTGGACATTAATGTAGACCAATTTGAAAACTGGACCCAAAATTAAAAATCTAAATACACTGTTAGATTCGGCATAACAAATAAATAAATGTGATCAAAGATTTTACAAATCTAATGCGCCATACTGTGCAATTAAAGATTACTTCTTGAAATTTTTCAATATTTGAAATTTGAAAAAAAAATAATATTTGAAGAATAATTCTTTTTAATTTCAGCTGAAATCTGAAATGAGAAAAAATTGGCCCCCCACAATTTCTTTTTATTCCCCCCCCCCCCTTTTTCCCCAAAAAAAATTCTTTCCCTCAAGATATGGTCATAATCTCAATTCAAATTTCCAATGGAGTTGGCAACCATAATTACCCATTTAAATTTACCATAGTGCTAACTTAATCTATTTTATAATAGAATTAATAAAAATATAGTGTCAAATCTTTCATATGGATTTTTTTGTAAAAAAAAAAGATGAAAACATTTGCAGATATTTTTACTGGTCTTCCTTTATAAATATGCATTTCTTTAAACATAATTTAAAAGCAGTGTAAGGGAAGTAACCAAAACGTTGTATTTGGATTACCTCCCTTAAACTGTTTTAGATTATCTTTATTGTTCATTAACCATTACTTTATACATAATTTAAAAGCAGTGTAAGGGAGATAATTTCAATGATGTATTTGATTTATCTCCCTTACACTGCTTTAAATTATGTTTTGTACTAAAGTATTTGTCCATTAACCAGGACAACCTTGTTTTTCCCCCTTTTTTGCCCCTAATTCCTAAACGGTTTGAGCCATAACCCCCCAAAGCAAATCCTAACCATCCCTTTGTGGTATGGAAACTTGTAGTATAATTTCAGAGAGATCCATACACCGTTCCACAGTTATTGTCTGGAAACTAGAAAATGCTCATTTTTGGCCCCTTTTTGGCCCCTAATTCCTTAACTGTTGGTACCATAACCCCCAAAATCAATCCCAACCTTCCTTTTGTGGTATTTAACCTTATGGTCAAATTTCAAAAAGATCCATTCACTTAAACTAAAGTTAGAGTGCGAAAACCAATATGTATTCGGACGACGACGCTGGACGACGACGACGACGCCGGACGACGACGACGACGACGACGCCAACGTCATACCAATATACGACCACAAAATTTTTTTGCGGTCGTATAAAAAGTAATACAAGGTTAGAACCCTCAAAAATTAAAGACTTTAAATTAATCTGATTGAAATTGGGTTAAAAGATTTGTATTTATTTTCAATTGAAGATTTCTTGCTATTGCGCAATACTGTGCAATTGAAGATTTCTTGCTATTGTGCAATACTGTGTTGTTGCGCAATACTGTGCAATTGCGCAATACTGTGCTATTGCACAATACTGTGCAATTGAAGATTTCTTGCTATTGCGCAATACTGTGCAATTGAAGATCTCTTGCTATTGCGCAATACTGTGCAATTGAAGATTTCTTGCTATTGCACAAAACTGTGCAATTGATGATTTCTTGCTGTTGCACAATAGTGTGCTATTGTGCAATACTGTCCTATTACGCAATATTGTGCAATTGAAGATGTCTTGTTTTTGCGCAAAACTGTGTTGTTGTGTGCAATACTGTGCAATTGAAGATTTCTTGCTATTGCGCAATACTGTGCAATTGAAGATTTCCTGCTATTGCGTAATACTGTGCAACTGAAGATTTCTTGCTATTGCGCAATACTGTGCAATTGAAGATTTCTTGCTATTGCGCAATACTGTGCAATTGAAGATTTCTTGCTATTGCACAATACTGTGCAATTATTTAAAAATTATTTAAAAAATTTTCAAGAAAAAAAATATGAACCCCCCCAAAAAATTGGAAAAAAAAATCCCCCCAAACTTTTTGACCCCCCCTCCCTTGGAGTAATTACCACCAAACTCAATCCCAGCCTTCCCTTTGTTGTATGGAACCTTGTAGTACAATTTTAGAGAGATCCATACACTTAAACACAAGTTATAGTCCGGAAACTACAAAAATGCTTGTTTTTGACCCCTAATTCTTAAACTGTTGGTTCCATAACCCCCAAAATCAATCCCAACCTTCCTTTTGTGGTATTGGACCTTCTGGTAAAATTTCTTAGACATCCATTCACTAAAACTAAAGTTATTGTCCGGAAACCAAATGTGTCTTCGGACGACGCCGACGATGAAGACATTATAGCATTATACGACGCAAAAATTTGTTTGCGGTCGTATAAAAAACTGGAGACTGAGCAACAGGAAATCACCAAAAACTGGGGGTGATCTCATCTGCATCAAAAAGAGCAGCTCCTGCTACACAAATGAGCCGTTTATACAAGTTGATAAAAAACGGAGGAGCTCTACAATTCAGTCAATGTACCTGCTGTATCTACGATTTTAAGCAAGACCACCTAGTACAAAGTATGTGTAACAGGACACTGTTTGAAAGGACTGTAATAGGCATATATACAGTCTCTATTAAAATATTTTGTCGACAATGGATCAGTGTCCGTCTTGGATTTCTATAATGTGACGTTATCTATAGTGCCAGTTGAACTTTCAAATACCAAAATGAAATCTAATTTATAGTAATGCACATTTTTTAAATGATTAATACTTCTGGGGCTCGATTTCTGTAGATTGACTTCAAAATCATGTATAAACAATAAGCTATTTTCAAAGACTCTGAGTAAAATTAATTTAATTTATTCACTAATGTTCTTGACTCTCTGATTCCAATGAAAACAAATATGGTAAAATTTATCATTTAAGGACAATAACTTATAAAAAGTTGTATTGACAGTTTTGGTGTTAATAGACAGTAGATCTCAACATTCTAAACATTTCTGCCCCTGTCAGATTTTCTCTGTCTATAGCTGAATTCAAGATAATAGACAAACTTGTATTTTATCCCATATGTTCTATTTTTAGCCATGTTGGTTAACAAACAGGATCATATATATTTTTTAAATTAGCAACCCCAATGAAGATTGTGGCTAAGTTTGATTCCAATTGGCCTTGTATTTTCAGAGAAGATTTTTGTAAAAGTTAACAGACAAGGACAATGATGGACACCAAATGATGAGATACGGACCCCAGTGAGCCAAAAATAAGCATGCAAAAAAAAAATGTCAGTACTATACCATGGTCTATTCAGTCACAATATTTAGAAAAGATTTTTTATTATTTTAATGTACATTGATATCTATTGTGAATATAAGAATCAGAATACTGTTTTAAATGACTTCATACCACAATATTTACAACAAGTATAACATATATATGGTGTTTTCATTGACGTTGTAAATGTTCAATAGTATTACTGCACTGGTTGAAATTGTCGACTTGTAGAAAACATAATTAAACAAGGCAAAAATAGGAACGATAAAAGATGTAAATATTGATATGTATAAATAGGAAAGTTATACAACCGTTACTTCTATAAAAGTTTTTTATCTTTTCATCTTTTGTCAATAAGGATTTATTCTAAATAAAGCTCATGTTTACGGAAATAAACAGTCATAAAATAAATGAATTCCCTTTTTTTGTCCAATATAAATGTTCACACTAATTACACATGAGAAATGACAGATATTACAAATGTATTACTGAAACAAACAAAACAAAATGAAAAACCAAAACATTTGTATCTTATTTTTTTTTTAAAAAGGGGGTATACAATATTTCACAAACACATGATGATTTGTCGTAAACATTTTCAGTCAGATTCATTAAAATAAATTATCACAGTTATTTATTAGATCTGAAATCTGATCAGGTAGCATATTTTCTGGTCCATTCCCGAGCATTCTGCATGTATTTTTTCCTATCAGTCTTGTATAACTTGGCTATATCAGGCATCAATGGATCATCTGGGTTTGGTTCTGTCATTAAGGCATGCAGTGACAATAAAACTGAAAGGATATAATATAAGTTTGCTAAACATTTATGTCAATTCTTTCTTATGCTAAAAAAAACACATCTGGAGATCTATTAGTATTATACTGGGGGCCTTGGTGGCTGATTGGTTTAAGCTTTTAGTAAATAATTTCTACAGGAGAGACAAATTTATGCTATCACTAGCCAGTCAACACTGAGGTTGTGAGTTTGAACCCCGCTCGTGCGGGTGCACTCGACTCCAATCTTAATTGACTAGGATTGTCAGTTTTCCTATCGAAGGTCGGTGGTTTTCTCTGGGCACTCCGGCTTCCTCCACCAATAAAAACTGGCCGCCACGAAATAGCCTAAAAGCGGTGCTTAAAAGTGGCGTTAAAACACCAAAAATCAAATCAAATTAGTATTATACTGCATACATGAAATACATTTTAATTTTACTTTGATTTCAGTATATACATACATACTCTGGACATCATAAAAAGTGAACAGAAAGATACTAAATTTCCTATGTCCAACTCAGTCTTAAGGATGTTCGCTACTCTGTTTTAAAATAACAAGCCTTTTAAAAGACTGTTATAAATTGATAGTATATAAATAAAGGAACTAAAAAAGCAGAAAAAAATGAAGGGTCCGTGTGCTTGTTTTCGAGATATAAGCCATTGAACATTTGGCGGGAAATAATTCTCTCTAGACTTTTCATACATTTAACATTGGCACCCTTTTTCTTTAAAAAATTATGAAAAAATAACAAGGACTTTATAGCATTTTCAAATATGGCTATTTAAATTATATGTAATAAAATTATGAAAAGAAAAATAGGGGTTAGCGGGCAAAATTTTAATTGTCACTAACATGGATAAAACTAGAGGATTCCGAATATCTGACAAAAAGTCAAAAACAAGAGTAGCGAACATCCTTAAGGCTTAGCCACATGTTCATCAGCCCATGATTGTAAAATTACCTAGGGCCTGTAAGAATTTCTACTACCGTGAGGCTAATAGAATATATACAAAATGTCCCCCAATAATAAGTGTTTGACCTCGGGCCTTTACAGTTTATCTTGAAGACTGACTACTTTTCTGTTTATTTGTGTCAATTCTTTTTTTGGCATACATGTATCTGGAAACCAGATGAAATCACTGCTTAGTTATCTATTCATATGTTTTGTCTTGTTCAACTAAGTATACATTGATAATTGTGATTATTCAACCAAGTAATATACATCTACCTTTAAATCATTACACTAACTTCCAGTAAGTGTTGCTTTATGTTCTCTGCAAGCTTTTATCAATGTAAAGATGTATTGAGATATTCAATGATTTCTTCCACAGAAACAAATAGTCAAACTTTGAAAGCCTGCCCACTACATTAAATTGTAATGTTAAGAGCAAACTTTAAAGGATATCCCAAATAAATAGCACTAAACTTACTTTTTGATACTGTTAATGCTGGTGACCATTGAGATCTTAGAATATCTAAGCATATAGCTCCACTACTATTTATGTTTGGATGATATATCTTTGTTTTAAATCCTACCTGAAAAATATAGAAGATACTTTAAATAAAATGTACATTCATCTATAATTATGACTTGACTAGTAATTAACAATGAGTCTTAAAGTTTATATTAATAAACACACAAGTTGGTATTATTATGACTTTCAGCTACCAGACAAAGATCTACATTCATAGGGCGGCACAAAACTGTCTGTAGAAGTTGATAGGTGGGCCACCTAAGGTGGCACCCTCTTCTTTGGATAGGGGGGAGGATGTTATCATATAATAGAACTGAAAGCCCTACTGCTGATCATAAAGGTAATTTTTTATCCATGAGTGTGCACTAGTCTTCTCTATTAAGCAAGTCAAGTTACATGTATGTACATGTACTATATTTATCTCTATTAAGCAAGTCAAGTTACATGTATGTAGGTGTACTATGTTTATCTCTATTAAGCAAGTCAAGTTACATGTATGTACATGTACTATATTCATTTTACAGCTTGACAAGCAAGACATATCGCTCCAACAGTCAGTAATGCCATTCATAGCATATAACACATGTATGTTAACAAATAATAAAACTTCATCTAAAATGTTCAGGAGATTACTTGCCATATCTTTCAAATCACTATTCAAAACTTTGACAAGACCCTTCAACATTTTCTAAAATGACTTCACAACTCATTAAATAAAAGCATGCAAAATATTACAAATATCCCAGAACTAGCATTTACATATAAAGTACATAATGTGGCTATGGTATACTTACTGTTATGTGATTACTGCACTTACTTTTGGTGGCTTAAAAGGATAATCTGTAGGGAACTGTACTGAGAGGAAAAATATACCATCTTTATACGGACTGTCTTCCTGGAAATATACATAATAGCTTTGTTTTATTGGTCTTTCCCGTGACTGTATTGATCTGGTCAACTCTTCATCAAATCCAATAGCACTGTTTTGTGTTTTCCTATTTAATTTGGCCTGACTTACTACGAAGCTAAACATTTTGACCTTTCATTGATAAGTAAGACCCTAACAGGTGGACTAACTTATCAAGTCTTCCTATGGTTGGCTTGTAAAACAAACAAGATTATCTTTATATAGATTTTATTAGTTACAAAGTGTGCTAGTGACCTTATACGAGATATATGGGGTCAGTAAATTCCATATGGGGTGAGAGCGAAAGGTACAGTGTACAGTAAATTCCATATGGGGTGAGAGCGAAACGTACAGCGTACAGTAAATTCCATATGGGGTGAGAGCGAAACTCGAACCCCATATGAAATTTATTGACCCAATATATCTCGTATTAGGTCACTAGCACACTGTGTAACTAATTTATCTTACTGACTATCTTAACATGTGGCATTTAAACTAGTGGTCAATCAAAGTGATCAAGATTTCCATATAAAGAACCTATTTCCATTGGTATATACAAAAATAAATGCCAACAATAACAACTCGTTAGCTTTTAATGTGTTTTCTGCATTTTTTTCAATTGTTCATCATCAATTTCTTCATCTGTTGTCTGAGTGAAACGTTTCAGACTTTTCCTAAATGCCGTATTGTTTCTATAAAGGGACATAACACTACTACTAACCGTGTATTAAGATAAACCACGCCTACTAACCCCATATGAAATATACATGGTTCCAACACGGTCGCTTTTAACCAATGATATTCCTAGAAATGTATAGGAGGTAAGATAATGTAAAATATCATCTAGTAGACATGTCTAGTATGAAGCTTGTTTATCTTGTTCACTGTGCTCAATAGCCAAAAAAAACCTTCATGTTAGGACTCACAGCTGATATTTAGAGGTTTCATAAGGAGAGAGAGTTTGATAACACTTTATAACAACTCCAGTTATTTATTTTCAATATAATAATAAACCAGCCTTTGAAATTAAATAACCAGAGTTTATTTCAAGTGATATCCAATTCTCACTTATTTTTCTTATGGTAAAAAGATAATTCTGGTGTAATATTTTCTATTTCATAAGCTTCACTTCAAATATAAGTCTGCATACAGTATTGAGAATGTTGTGTCAGAATCAAGACTACTGTTTAATCAGATGTTTTCAAGCTTTTTGTATGCTTGAGAATGGAACTAAAATTGACAAAAAGAATATTTTCAGGTGAAACATGTGAGTGATTTGTAAATTATCATCAGAATTTACATGAGAAACATTCCAGGGGTAATGGTTTTTACTCGTGAAGTAGAAACTTTATATTTCTGTCTGGAGCATCTGTGTTCATGCCCAGCTTTTGGTGGGGTTAATGTGGTAGCATATTGTGGACTTTCTTTTGACATATGATTTTGATTGTCATATCTTCTTACACTTTTTTTCAATATCACACAGCTTCTGGAATATATCACCAAATCAAATGAGGGATGGAGTTAAAAGTGGAAGTAATTGTTTTACTGTTTTCCCCAGTTGAACTCCTGGAGCTCAAGACTGATAACAGTAGACCAGGCAAATTTTTTGCTGGTAATACTGTGGATTCATGTATCTTCTTGGGTTCCAATTTTTGTGGATTGAGGAAAAATTGTATTTTCGTGGATAATTGATTTCGTGGTTTGGTCAAAGTCTGCATACAAGTCTATAAAAAATTTGGACTTCGTTGAAAATTTAAAATTTTGGTTAACTTTTACCAACAAAATACTCGGAAAATTGGTATCCAATGAATAATAATGAATCCACAGTAGTTTGTAAAAATACTTACTGGACCGGTTAATGATGCTTCCCATTTAAATACTGAAACAAAAACAAGATATAATGTATAGATTATAGATTGGTTACATGTTTAATCTTGGTCTTCATAAAGTGTATCTTGCATTACATTAGTTAAGCAGTAATATTGAATGTCTTATATAACCTTTAAAACTGAAACCATTGAAACTGTCACAAAGTATTTTATAAATGTGTTGCTACAGTCGTCATGGTTAACTACCTTACCTGAACCAAAAACTTTAACCTGAGAATGTACTGGTTTCACAGTCACATTTCCATGTTCAGTGAATCATTAAATCGGGATCAGTACTTAAATATTAAAACTCTGCATTAAGCCTACAAGAAAAGACTTTGCTATTAGAGTAAGACCAGGAAGGCCTAAATTTGGCCCTAAATATCAACCTATGTCTTATCCACTTTGAAAACCAATATCTTAAATGATCTAAAATATGCAAAGATAAAATAAACAAAAACACTTTTTCTGCAGTCTGTCTGTTTTAGCTGGTGTTGAAAATTTGAAGTACACAATGTATCAATATATTTTGTTATTTACTAAATTTCATGGAATGTTAGAGACAACATTGAGCGTTCATGAACCTACAAGTACATGTACTCCTGTATTGAGACTTTAATAGTGCAATGTCCACTTCTTTCAAAAATTACTTTTATTACTTTGTATATTTACTCTGTAACAATACTTCAAACAGAGTTGCTCTACAACATGAAATAAAATATAACAGCTAGAGTTAAATGACGCCAGCTTTCTCCTTTTATATAAATTTGGTTTTAATATAAGTTTTAATTTTTTTATTTTCAGTTTGTATTGTAATTTACATACATGTAGTGTCTAATCAAGTAATATGACATTACAGAAGATGAAATATCCCCCCTCCAATTAACTTTATTCTGATTCAGCCTTTCTTTTTGTCTCAAAGTACTTACAATCATCTCCTACTGGCCCTGCAGAACAACCTGGTGGTGGGTCTGTTGTTATATCTTGTAATTCCTGCCAAAAAATACAATAATTATTCAGGTGTTAGTGATTTCTTGATTCTAGACAGAAGGTATGAGGAGAAGTAGAAGCTATCAAATGTTTTTTGACATGCAAGTCTATAGCCACAGTCTAAATTTTGTAAGTCTGGGCACTTTCATATTTTGAAAATTACATTAGGTGCTCTGAGTGCTTTTTGATCAAAGATCACTCTCGATGTCCATCATACAATATACATAATAAATTCATACTTCTTATGTCTGAATGCGCATAAACTAAAATATATAATTGAGGTCGAAGTCCTCAAAACGGTTGGAAAAAGCAATATGAAAAGCAATATTTTACTAAAGTTTTCTGTCTATTGCATATGCACAGTAACCAGTTATGGTTTATTGGTTTTTTAAAAGATTTTTCAAAAATATTGTAAAGAAAGTTACGAAACCCACAATTATAAGCAATTTTCTATCTGATTGCAGAAAAAGTATGATGGCATGCATTATGTTGTACTGTTACACCACTGTTCCAGGTTAGGGGGAGGGCTTAGCACTAGCAAACATGTTTACCCCACAACATTCTGTATGTGCCTGTCCAAAGTCAGGAGCCTGTAATTCAGTGGTTGTCGTTTGTTGCTGTATATCATATTTGTTTTTCATTTATTGTAACATACATAAATCAGGCCGTTAGTTTTCTCGTTTGAATATTGTTTTAGGTTTGCCATTTTTGGGCCTTTAATAGCTTACTATGCAGTATGAGTTTTGCTCATTGTTGAAGGCTGTTCGGTAACCTATAGTTGTTAACTTCTATGTCATATGGTCTCATACCACATCTTCTTATTTTTATATCAAGGGTCGAACAATAGTGAGACAACAAATATATAGTTTGTACTAATATGAAAAATAAGAAGATGTGGTATGGTTGCCAAATAGACCATGTAGACATCTCTCCACCAGATATTCCTCTAAACTTTTCGGTCTTCTTTAGAAAAATTTAATTTCAAAGTGAGATTTAACTATTTCTGTTAGAACTTTTCAGATGTATGGATTTTGAATCTTTGGTCTGTGCAGATTTGTGAGGCTGAGCTTTGCACTTAAAATTGCAATAGCAGTTTTAACATTTAAATTTCTTCCATTGTTTACATAAAAAAACAAGTTTTAAATGCTTATTCAAAATATGAATTTATAAGATAGGAAAAAATAATCAATGCCAGTGGAGATTTTTGTAAACACACTCGTGTTTCTTTTTGTTTTTACATATAACTGATTGGGACTGTTTCCACTACCTGACTACAGCTTACTTTAAAACAGAAATTATGGTAATCACTAATCCATGTTTATTTTTGTTCAAACCTCAATCATGAAGACAATTGCTTTTGGTTTTTCCATTTTGTGTATATTTAACTGTTTTTGTATACTCAATTTGTTATATCACAAAATAAAAATTTGTAAGGGTTCCACAGAACCCAGTGTCTCGCCTACTTTTGCTGTTAATCGCAGGCTCAACAAAAATGAGGAAAGAGGAAAAAAATTAATAAAAATATTCCTCTCTATACTATCATCTTTTGAGAAAGTTGTTAAAATTCAAAAAAAACTTTAACCACAGGGTGAATGTAATGTAAACTGGCAGAAAAACTAAGTCCATTTATAAGTTAAATACGGATAAACTGGATTTTTTTTGTACAAAATTTACTTCTGGATACTATCTTATGATCATAAACAAGCTTAAGCTTCTGTCCAAGTTTGGTACAAATCCAGGATAGTTTAAGAAAGTTGTTAAAATTCTAAAAACTTTAACCACAGAGTGAATGTAATGTTAACTGGCAGAAAAACTAAGTCCATTTATAAGTAAAATAAGGAAAATATGGAATTTTTTTTTTACAAAATTTACTTCTGGATACTATCTTATGATCACAAACAGGCTTCTTTCCAAGTTTGGTAGAAATCCAGGATAGTTTAAGAAAGTTGTTAAAATTTCAAAAACTTTAACCACAGAGTGAATGTAATGTTTCCTGGCAGAAAAACAAAGTCCATTTATAAGTAAAATGCGGAAAAAATGGATTTTTTTTTTTACAAAATTTACTTTTGAATATTATCTTATGATCATAAACAGGCTTCTGTCCAAGTTTGGTAGAAATCCAGGATAGTTTAAGAAAGTTATTAAAATTTCAAAAACTTAAACCACAGAGTGAATATTTGTGGACGCCGCCGACGGAATGTAGGATCGCTATGTCTCGCTTTTTCGACAAAAGTCGAAGGCTCGACAAAAATGATTAATATCCATTAGCAATGTAAAGAAGCAAAATATTTAGAGCAGTCTTGCTTTTCTGCTTCTGACAGCCATCATTTCTGATTATTCTGCCACTTATGGTCAAATTACTGTGTGCACATACGCTTAGTTACAAAGCAAGGATTTTTTTTAAATCTAACGAACAAACAAACAGTGCTGTACATATCAAAGTGTACAAGTAAAAACAACTGATTTATATTATCAAGTAACTGAGCCTTGAATGATTCAAGATTCTTAGCCATGGCAGTATCAGTGGGTAGGGCATTCCAGTCTCAAATAGTCTTTAGATATAATAATTCCCTCCTTACAACTGTGCTGCAAGATGGTACTTGAAAGGAACTGCTATGCATATTTCGACTATATTGTGTTGGTGTGATTTAAGTCTATCAGACACATATATATATGTAGACTATAAAAATAAGATGTGATATGATTGCCAATGAGACAACTCTCCACCCGAGACCAAATGACATAGAGGTTAACAACTACAGGTCAGTGTATGGCCTTCAACAATGAGCAAAACCCATTTATGATTTTGTACACAAGTACTAATCTTGATTTTTTTCTCCAATCTTTGAGTGGTGTCCATTCTATTTGGGTTTTTTTTTTGTGTACATGTATCTGTGCACCTAAGATTTTAGGCCCCACTTAGATAAACTCATAAAACCATAAATCAGATCATATTTTGTGAACAAATTCATGACATACTAACATATCATGAAATCTTGAGGCATGATTTCACCCATAAGATTTAGTTTATGTGAGCATCCAAAATTACAGAGACCCCAGTTTTGTGACAGTTTTTCTAATGCCCAATGATTTTGTATGTGCCTTTCTAAAAATAGTATATTTTGAATAAAGGAAAGATTCTATATGACTAAATACAGTTCAATTTGAACCAAACAGACTGCCATGGATGTGAAGCAAAATTTATCATTATTAACAATTCGATCTGAAGATGTCATTAATTAATGGAAAATGGCTTATCATTGGTTAAACATGGGATTGCAATTATAAATTCATGCTTGAACTTAGCAATTTTAACCTTATCTTTCTATTTGGAAGACTAAAACAATTCCAATGGTACATTGCTGATATGTCGGAATCAGGTAATGCACAATATCACTTGTGGCGCTCCATATGTAACAGCCATTATGTTCCGTCAGTTACTTTGTTCCGGCGGATCTTTTCAACTAGTTATTTCGTTCCGATGGAACTTTCCAACTAGTTGTTTTATTCCGAGTGCAGTCGAAAAGTTCCGGAAAAAGGAACTTATCAACTAGCCACAAAGAACCTCTTTGGCAAATAAGTCAAAACCGGAACTAACAAACTAGCCCAAAAGTTCCAACGGAACTTATCAACCAGTCACAAAGTTCCATTTGGAGAATTGATGCAAAGAACCACATGAGGAGGGGGGTATTCTTCCCTCTCTTGAGGGTACTATGAATACTAAATTTGCATGATAATGCAACTTATTCCGTTTTATGTGAGCTATGAAATACAACTTAAATTTTGCATATTTGTCCCCAAAGAAACCCCTTTCAGTGCGTTGGGTATTCTTGTAAATTAATGATTTGCTCTTATATATACTGATACTCATTCTTCCCCCTCTTTCTACAAAAAGGACGAAATATGGTATATTCAGTATCTTGGTTTCCCTTTTAAAGGTTCAAATATAATATGTTGCGCTTTTACTTTGCATCAATTCTCCAAATGGAACTTTCTGCCTGGTTGATAAGTTCCGTTGGAACTTTTGGGCTAGTTTGTTAGTTCCGGTTTTGACTAATTTGGCAAAAAGGAACTTTCTAACAAGTTGATATGTTCCGTTGGAACTTTTCAACTAGTCACTTTGTTCCGGTGGAACTTTTAAACCAGAGGAAGAACAAAGTAACTAGTTAATAAGTTCCTCCGGAACTTTTCGGCTAGTTAGTTCTTTCCGCCCGGAACTTTCCAACGTAGGAACAAAAGAGCATTTACACATACACCTTATCGCTAATCCCGCTTGACCCGAGAATCAGTCCCGCTCGAACTTTTGACGTCATACAACAATCACTTTTCCATTGTGGCGTCAGATATTTTCTATTATGACGTCAAAATTTTACGGGAACTTGTGTGATGTCCAGTAATGGCGGACAAATAGTGATAAGGTGTATTATATTTCATTTCGAAAAATGCTATATAACATAGCTTGCTTACATACTTTTTCCCCTTTCAGAGGCAACACATACCTAATATTAATTGATTGTATCAAGTAAGGTGAGACTTAAACTACAAAACTAGCCTATCATGAAGAATGAAACAAATACATTCAGGCACCCAATAATTGTATGGTGACAAGCAATTTTTTGAGTACTAATAACGTGAAAATTTCTTTAATGAAAAGTTATATAACCACTTATTTCATACTGTGAACATGTTTTCTGTCCATTTTTGTCATTTCTCTTATTCAAACAATGAGTCGTAATATTAAAACTTCCGTGATCGTGACGACCGAGTTCAGTGACGTATGCTAATCAATCGAGAATGATCTGCCATTACTAGTCATAGAAACAACTTTATTTGGGGAAATTACTAAACTATAGCATGTTTTCAAACATAAATTTGTCTCTCCTGTAGAAATTATATACTATTATACCTTATTCAAACGTTTAAGAGCCATCTGTTTACAGTTATGAGTTGTTTTGTTTTGACTTTGTTCTCAGTGATCTTTGTCGATATTTTTATTTTTATCTAAAACTAAATACGGCACGTATCGGAAAGAGAATTAGGAAAATCCGGATTTCCTTCTTATTTGGATTATAGCAAATATGTATATATATCTAGTCACAAGAATGTAGTGCATTGTCATAAAACAGATTTTGTACTACTTTCATGTGTCTCTATGCAGATTTGCTATAATCCGAATAAGTTATGCTAAAACTTAGGGTGGTGTCCCTCTTTGTCAAAGTCTAGGTGCGTGGAGACTCATTATCTAGAGCTCAGTAAACCCTACAGTCGATCTTTATTGGGCATTGCACAAGAAAACTAACTGTATCTGTGTCTGGAGGCAGATTTATATGAATACAAAGACTATCAATGTATGGTCTCATTGGCACTCATACCACATCTTCTTATATCTATGGTATATGCCAGGGAAACTTCGATTCCTTCCCCGGCGCCACACACTACTGAAAGTGAATCCGCTTACCCCCTTATATTACTTAAAATGGAAATGTTTACACTAACAGGTCAGCAATAACATATCATTTTAAACAAAATTCTGTGAACGGAATTTCGAGACTGATCAGTCGCAATTAAAGTCACGGAAGAAAATACATTACCCGGTCGCCGTTTTTATGCATTAATTAATCTATACAATTATAGATATATATTTCATAATATTTTTGAAAGTGAAAAAGGTAGCTTACATTAAGTGTATGATATTTTGATATTCAAATGCAGTTCAACGGATTCGAACTACATACAAAATTTCAACATAAACATTCTAAATAAAAAATACTTTGCTTTACAAATTACTTTTAATTTTGAGAGATGATTCTCCTATGTTGAACATTATAGGGTCACAGTTAGTACCCATTGGAATACTAGTCACTTAACTGTAAACTTTATCTCCTAAACGAGCATAAATATGTTCAGGCAATGATTTGTTTTTATAATTTCTGTCAATGTCCAATTTATAGTGTACATTTGTAAGTTTTGTTATCAAAATAAGGATTTCCAACGACATACTGCTGCCCAAAGGAATGTAGCTTATCAAATAAATTCTTTTGAAATGTTGGATAAACTAGATTCCTTTGGGCGCAAGTATGTCTCAGTCGTCATAGTGGCAGATCCGGTGGGGGGGGGGGGGGGGGGGTCCGGGGGTTGGAACCCCCCTTTTTTTTTGACGATCAATGCATTTGAATGGGGACATATAGTTGGAACCCCCCCCCCCCCCTTTATAAATGGCTGGATCCGCCCCTGCGTCAGCTATGAGTACAACACAACCACTTACTTATCAAACAGAAAATTTTCTATTAAATAAACTGTTCTTTCATTAAACCTGGGTGCATGTAAATGTAATTCTCAGTATCTATTAATTGTCGTTGCAAATCTTTATTTTGGATAATAAAGAAGTGTTTACTATTTCTGCAGTGTAAAAGACTCTTTGAAAATCTTTAATAAGCAACGTTGATAACAAGGGCCAGTTTGACTCCATTGAGAGTTGTAATTTCCTTACTCACGAGTAGAACGGGATTCTAGCCGAAATAAACCCGGATCTATTTGCTGCCCTATTGTTTATATATCAAAGAATTCTAACGAAATTTGTCTAATACCCGCATCTGATCTATTGAATGAAAATATTACGGAAAGGCTTAAGTCTGATATCCGCTCGTTTTCGGTTATTTTCTGAATATGTTTTTTTAACATTGATTAATTGCAAATTCTTACCATGTTGCTAAAATGTAAGAAAAATCTCATGCTAGCAGCGCTGCAGTATTGAATATTGCTCATTGAAGAAAAAAACAACATCAATAGTAATACCAATAAAAACAATATTCCAATTTCTTTCTACATTGTTAAACTGATATTATTTAAGGAATGACTGTAACATTTTTTCTGTCTATGAAGAAATAACATAAAAAATGTGGTACACACTGAATAACCCGCGTAGCGGGTTATTTAAAGTCTTTAAAAGTGTGCACGACGTTTTTTTAAAGGTTATTTCGAATAGACATAAAATATATTACAGTCATTCATTATATTTTAATTCTAAATTCCATTTTGAAGGAGTAAATCATGAAAAAACGTTGATGACGTCACGGTCACATGACAAAATTATGTCTATGCGCTGTTAGATAAAAAACTTTCAGCCAATCAGAAGACGTGTTACATCCAAAATTAAATTATTTAAGAATAAGTTTATTCAAAGGATCAATGAGTTTACATGGATTATATCTAAATTTACGGGCTTTATAACCGACATTACAGTAAAAAATAGGAAGAGCTATCCAGTTTTAAGAAGAATTGTACAGCCATAGGTCGTTAAACACCCACTTTTGTATCTATGAATGACGGTATTTAGTAACAGTTTTTAGTGATTTGTGATAACGAAATACCTGACTTAATAATTTACCAGTTATACATAGAATACACTCATTCAAATCATCATAAAGTTACTTTCGAAATGTTTAATAAGATAATAAACTATATTCATGCATTTTTGCTTTTATCAGTTAGAGTCCTTCTTCTGCGACGAGATTTTCAGACCTGACAAAAAAAGGTACATGTAAAATTTAGATACGATTTCTGTAAGATTAATATCGATCCTTTGAATAAACTTGTTCTTAGGGGTTATCAATATTTAACACTGTAATCAAAACTTTAAATAGTTTTTGTATCGGTACTAACATTTATTTTGTTATCAATAAATTAAAACATAACTCAATATGTATTGCTGAACAGTTATTAACACTAACAGTTCTACATCCTGTTGATACTTATATTTTGGTATTGCACAAGGTCATGCTTTTCTAGGCTCTTTATGATGATGATGTTGACGGTGGATGACTGTTTAATGTCCAGCGGCAAATAAAATGCATATTCAGAAAGTCATCGATGTGAAATTTTGGCTCATTCAAACGACAGACATGTGATCAACTTTACTGTGCATGCCTTCCATCAAACGTTTAAATGGATAATACGTCTATGTATAAAACAATACTTTAGAAGTGCTTATAACAAAAATAAATTCCATAAACGCTTCAAAAGAAATCAGTGCAATAAAAAAAATTGAGAAATTTGGAAAGCAAAAAAATTTGGTAACCAAATTAAAGAGAAAATCCGTGAAACTATATATTTGGAGCTTTGCTCAGACATTAGTTTTTAAGGTTGTAAAACCTTTTTCTCTCTCTCAAAAAAGAATCATTTCGGGGAACAGAAAATAGATATTTGCGATGATAGCAAAATAATTTAAACGATACTAAAGGGGTTTTAGAACAATTTCAGGACTATTACTTTTTAGACTTTGGACGGTTAGACATATTGTACAGATTGTTGAAGACTATAAAGGTTGTCCTCTTCGAGGAATTTTGTTATTTGTGTTGTTGGGATGCTGTCTCAAAGACCTATATCCCACATCTCCCTCTATTCATACTAATGTTTTCCAACTGTATTTGAGCCTATAGGGAAATGACACGGTTTATAACCCCTCAAATCACCAAAGTAAAAGAAAGTAAAGAAAAAACAAACACTTTTACATGAAGTGGTATGTATTTTTATTTTCGAAACTAATTTCGGATGAAATGCAAAAATGTGAATAAAATTGACAGTAAAAAGACCACAGAAAACGATGACATCGATGCCTGCTAAAATCGTGAAGCATAGCCGATCATAGCAATGAATTGATTGCACCACAACTGATAGCACTTATACATTCAGTAGAAAATAGTGTTTCCAAGATAGATTTTAACAAGTACAGGTTACTTCATTAAAACAAATTACAAACCGGTCAGTGTTCCTCTATTTCCCTTTAATTTGAAAAGGTGCATGCATTGAAATTGCCAGGTAACTTCGACAAATACTAAATCACTTTTTATGTGCACTTAGACATGGTCATGAATTGTCAGACCACAATGCTCAGACTGCTGAAAGTCTGGCGTAAAGCACTTTATTAAATTAGTTTATAGTTGCTGCAGTATTATGGATCATACTGAGAATTTTTTGGTGTAGTACGTAGTAATAACTTTCATTATTTATCAAAAAAATTGCTTGTTAATTTTTGTTCCATGTTAAACAGAAAATGAAGAAAAAAAAACATTATGTACAGACATACACATCTAAAGTTCTTTGTTTCCATATAACAATTTTCATGTGGTGTTCTTCATAGTTTTAAGCACTATACAATTTTACAGAAATCTACCAATTATCAGCAACAAGGTTTTTGAGCATATCGGTATACTCATTATAACGGGGACTTTCCATATAACAATGTTGTCTACGAGTGATTGTAACAAATGGTATGTATCATCAGGTTAAAAAGTAAATGAAAAATATTTGTCAAGAATCAAGAAAAGTGGCGTTTGGACGTACCGCCGTATTATTTTCATTTCCTCCTGCAAAAACAATAATTTGATCTCACTAGTTTCAGTCCCACTGTTCCTTCTTTTGATATGCCGGACAATTTACTACACCTTTGCTCCGCTTTTAACTATATTTTTTCGGCTTGATATTCACTCTTGTCGCTGCTTATTTTGAATTTTATTTTTTCCTTCGTGCTTAACTTAACTCCAGTGTAATGTATGTCTAATAATTGCTATACAATATTTCCAACGCTTTTATATAACTTCAACTTACGGTTGCTTACTGAATACACAGTACTTAGCCTTTTAGGTAATTTGTATCGGGTGTTTGCATATGTTATTGTTTAAATGTTAGAAATTTATACATATCTTCGGACTGAATCTCAATATATCATACGTTGAATATTTGTATAATTACAGAATCAAAGTATTTATTTTATTTTGTAATGTATGTTTAATGATTTTGGCCATAAACTCAGAATAGAAAGGCGGATTTATAAGGGGTAGGGCCCCCTTGTGGAACTATATATATGGTTAATGCATAGACTTCTTACATGTCCCACTCCTAGCTTAGGGTCTCCTTTTTCAAAATCCTGCATCCGCATCTGGAATATCTTAGAGGTACAATTGGTGCTCATATATAATGCAAATTTCGAATAATGAATATAAAATATATACCTATCGATGAAGCGAAATGTGACTTCTTAATGTATAATATGGAGCTAAGACATATTATATGTCTCTGTTTTAAGTGTCTAACGCACGATTATTTTAAGCGACTGAACGTTATAGCATCGGGTGTCCGAAGTTCCGCCATCTTGCATTGCAAAATAGCAGAAAACAATCGGTCTAGATCTTTAATAAAACGTGCAAATTTTGAGAGAAAAAATAATTCATTTGTAAGAGTTTTCCTCTTAAATGAAGAAGTTACGTGTTTTATCATATTTTACGACTGTTTTTACAAATACAGAATGTTTCTTGTTTAATTTAAACATTTTCAACCTATCCATATAAAGGGGAGATAACTCAGATAATGTAACTTTTATAAATGAATGTGTAATGCATTTACCTATTTTGTTTTGTATCAAGAAAACGAGTCCCGAGACACAAATTTTCATTTTCTCTTAACACATGTTAAAAGCTATCTTTTCATATTTTATCTGAAAACTTCATAGTTTTGTTTTCTTTCTATCACGAAATTGGGTTATACAAAATCCAGTAACATTTGCACAACCTGTAGCTTGAAAGAAAGGCCTTGATGTCCATAAAAACACGATAGTAAATACATTTTGGCAATTAATTAAAAATTCTATCGATTTTAATTTAGACTGCAAGTTAAGCAAACAACACCTAATCGCGATTAATACAATGGGAAATAACTCTAAATGTCTAAATTAGTTTGACAAGAGTTCACTCCCGCATTTCTCTTATCCGGTTGCGTACGAATATATATCTTTTCCTGGTAACCAGTAACATAACAAATATAGCGGATATTTCATTTATTCGAACATTTATTCAAACAACAATTCATAAATTTAAAATTACGATAACTTACAATAATTATACTCAATATGATAATCAAATATTTTGTACAATATTAAGAAATTTAAGAACTATATTCCAGCAGGTGCTTGCGTAGGTTTTAGATTGTGTACATCGCTTGAGTGACGCGTCCTAAACAACAGCAATGTGGGAAATGTAAAATTGTAATATTTTGTACCAGGATTTAATTTTCTCCTTTGGATTATAAATCAAAATGTCGGACGCAGTTATCAAAACTGTCGGAAGGAAACTGTAAGTGAAAATTGTTTTATTTGCTTATTCTACATGTGACAAATTTTGGGATGATGTCAAAAATCTGATAAACTCTCTTTTTATTTGTCCTGGTCTTTCAATGAAGTAAACTGACAGTCTTTGTCGTGACAATGAGTGTATCATATGTTATTCTGGAAAGTCTAGTCTGAATAACTTTTAACCACAAATTCTCCAATCCCCACTCTTGCATTATAAGTGTAACACAATTGTGTTCCATACGATAATCATCAGGAAGTAACTACATACAGCAAAACCGAGACGATTACATGTAACCTTTAGACACTTAATAACAATCTGTACGAATATTATTGACATATATCCTGCAGCCACTAAATGACCATGTCTACTGTGAAATAACATGTATCCGTCAGGGGTTAATTGCATAGTTTGACAATTAACCACAGACTAGTATTACTCCACAACCAGACTACTACGTAACCGGCCTACAGCTATGGACCGTTTGTATGGACCACTAGACTATATAAGATCTCTCATTTTGGACTTCAAGACACAATTCGATCACACCAGAATTCGTCAGATCTCGGCCAGTGTCTCAGTGAAAAACATTTATTTGAACTTTTAATCGCTCTTTGAATACTTGTAAATTAAGCAATAAATTCTAATTGACAAGTATTAGTTAACTTAATTGACTTCGCAACATAAGTCAAATTGGTGCCGTTCAGACCAAGGATCAACCAGGACTTCTAACCACTATACGATAGAAAGGAACCACGTAAGTTGCAATTACCATAGCTTTCATTCTTTTTTAATGGATAACCAAGATACTTCTATGTCAGCACAAAAAGTAGAATTAGCTTTCAATGGTGTCGCGAACGAACTTCATGGGTTAAGGGAAGTAGTTACTATTCAAGGCGATGTAGCCGCCGAACTAAAAGGGTTAAAATCAGCCATTTGTTCTCAAAACGTAGTTCAAGGAATAACGCCTTTTGAAGGTAATACGAAAGATTTTAAAGCCTGGATTAAGTCAATTGAAAAATATGCTTTACTTTTTAATGATAGGGATCGAATTAAGGAAATAGCTTTTCAAACATGTAAAGGGGCTTGTTCAGATTACATACAAAGGTATTTAAGAGACCATCGGGATACCACTTGGGAACAATTAAAAAAAGAATTAACTTCAAGGTTTGGAGAAATTACGGACCCTCAACATGCGTCAACTCTTTTAAGACAATTAAAACAAAAAGGGGACGAGTCTGTTCAAATTTATGCAGAAAATTTATTGAATTTGGCAAATGAGGCATATTCAGATTTAGATGGAAATAATGAAGCTATAGAAAGGGAACTCGTAGGCATTTTTATAGATGGTTTGGCTCATTCTTATTTAAAAATGAAATTAATGAGAGAAAACCCAGCTACTTTTTCTTTGGCAGTTAAAAGTGCAATGACTGAACAAAATTTGAGAAAAAGATTTACTTTAAGAACGGAAAGGGTAGACGAACCAAGGTATAAAACAATAAGACCAATGACATTAACTAGACCACGACGGACTGAACCTTTGAACTCTCATGAACCAATGGAAATTGATCATTATCGTGATGCAAAACGTTGTTATTCTTGTGGTAAAGTAGGTCATGTATCACGTGATTGTCGTTCTGGGGGAAATTTGAGACAAATTAATGCCGTAGAAATGCAAACATATCACGGAAATTCGGGTAGAAACAGGGAAATTAATTGTTATTCTTGTGGTAAGGTAGGGCATATAGCACGAGATTGTCGTTCTAGGGGAACATATAGACAAGTAAATGCAGTTGAAACGCAACAATATCAAGGGAATTCGGGAAGAAATAATGAGATAATTTGTTATCAGTGTAATCAACGGGGACATATTAGGCCAAATTGCCCAAATAGAAAACCTAGGACTGTTAACATGGTAGAAAACTGGGGTGTATATCAGGAAAACTAAAGCGCTCTTGTCACGTTGAAGCCGGTGATAAGAGTAAAATTGAAAAGAAATTACCTACTTATTCTATAAATGTTGCAGGAGCTCCAAATTCAACTTTAATCAAAATTCAAAATCAAAGATATAGAGCTCTCGTAGATTCAGGCGCTAGTGTTTCTTTGATACACAAAAGAATTTTTGAAACTTTGAGGGATAAACCAAAATTACTAAAGAAAACGGCTAACTTACAGTCCGTAAATGGGGGGTCTTTACATGTAGAAGGTTGTGCAAACCTTACATTTAAAATAGGTAGTACAAAAGTTACTCAATTATTTTATGTTGTTAGAGACATGAACAGAAATGTTATTTTAGGAAAAGATTGGTTAGTACAAAATGGAGTTAGGTTATATTTTGATTTAGGATGTTTAAGAATTCAAAAAAATTATGTTCCATTAGAAGAAGATATTAATGTGGCTTCAATTGTAAGATTAACCGTAAATGCCGTATTAAAACCACAAACAATTAATGTTTGTCCCGTAGGCCTTAAGAACAATCCAAGTTTTGGAAGTACTAAATTGTTAGAAATCTCACCTGTAGCTTCAGGGTATGTTAGTACAGAACCAGGCTTAATGATAAGTAATACGGTGGTTAATTTTAATAAAAATAGGAAGTTTCCTTTGATGATTGTAAATAACACAAACAAATCAATTAGGTTAAGAAGAGGTTGTGTAGTAGGTAAGGCTTCTCATTTAGAAGAAATAAATTTAGTCAATGTTAATCAATCACAAGGAACTTCGGAACTCAAAAAGTTAGATGAGTCTGAAATAAGTGTACCACAAGAATTTAAAAAGGATATACTTAGAATGTTAAGGGATAATGAAGATATTTTTGCAACTTCAGACAAAGATTTGGGGTGCACTGATACAGTGCAAATGACTATTGATACCGGGGATCATCCACCTATCAGATTAAAACCCTATAGGGCCCCTCTCAATCAGAGAAAAATAATAGATAAGGCTATTGAGGAATTATTAGAGGCTAATATTATTAGGAAATCTAGGTCGGCTTGGGCTGCGCCTATTATTATCGTTTCTAAAAAGGATAAAACATCAAGGATGTGCGTGGACTATCGCAGCCTGAACGCAGCCAGTAAAATTTATTCCTTTCCGTTGCCCCTGATTGATGACTTGCTTGCTTCAGTAGGTAAAGCCAAAGTAATGACATCACTGGATTTAAAGTCAGGATATTATCAGGTAAAGGTCAAAGAGTCGGATAAGGAAAAGACTGCTTTTGTATGTCACAAGGGATTATTTGAGTTCAATGTATTGCCATTTGGTCTCGCCTCAGGGCCCAGTTTATTTAGTGAATTAGTTACAGAGGTACTACAAGGGTTAGAACATTTTTCAACTGCTTACATAGATGACATTTTGATATTTTCCGAAACAGTGGAAGAACATTTAGGCCACATACAACAAGTTTTTGATAGATTAAGACAACACAAACTAAAATTAAAATTGAAAAAATGTAATTTTTTGCAAGATGAAACTAATTACTTAGGCTTTATAATAAGTAAAGATGGACTAAAACCAGATCCTGAAAAGGTTAAGGCCATTCAAGGCATGAAAGCTCCCTCGAATGTCAGGGAAGTTAGAGGATTAATAGGTTGTTTGAGTTATTATCGCAGATTTGTACCTTCATTTTCAAAAATTGCGGAGCCTATAGTTGCCTTAACTAGGAAAAACAAGGTTTTTGATTGGACCAACACTTGTCAAGTTGCTTTTGAAAAATTAAGGGGTGAATTAGTGAAAGTTCCCTTATTGGCATATCCAGATTTGAATAAACCATATGTGCTTTACACGGACGCTAGTGATAATTGTGTAGGTGCTTGTTTAACGCAATTACAAGCCAGCCCAATAGAGGGTGAAAATGAAGTTGAAAGACCAATTTACTTCCTATCTCATAAATTGAGTGATACGCAAACACGTTGGTCAACCATTGAAAAAGAAGCCTTTGCGATTCATTATGCCTTACAAAAATTGAATCATTATTTGTATAATGCTGAATTTGTGATAAAAACAGATCACAAACCTTTGAAATACATTCTGGAATCACCAATGCAAAATAAGAAAATTCAACTGTGGGCATTGAACATAACGGGTTATAACTGTACTATTCAGTATATTCCAGGGCCCCAAAACGTGTGTGCAGATTTTATGTCTAGATTACCTTCAGATGAAAAACGAAACGAAAATCCAGATCCGTATCCGGATATTAGTGACAATACTTACGAAATTAATGTGATTAATTCAAATAGATTTCATTTTTCTGATTATGCAAATAATGATAAATTAGTTGAAGATATTCCAGAAAAAGAAAATTTTCAGTTTGAAGAATTTGATATGTCAATCGAACAAATGAAAGACAAAACATTACGTGAGTTAAAGGAACAACTTGTAAGCGATAAGGTACCCGAGGCAGTGCAAAACAAGTACATCATAATAGATGACATACTTTATTACATTTCAAATGTAGATAATGATCCTATTATAAGGTTGTACATACCTTCTCATATAAAACAAGCAGTTGTAGAACAATATCATGATAAGAATGGGCACATGGGCATTGACAAAACATTTGATTCCGTTCGTCAAAAATATTTTTGGCCAAACATGTTTAAGGAATTGTATAATTATGTCACTACTTGTGTACCTTGTCAATCACGCAATTTACAAAAGGTTAGAGCGCCAATTCAGGAAACAAAAATTCCGCCTTATCCTTTTTGTCATGTAGGGGTAGATTTGAGTGGACCGTATCCAACTACCATGTCAGGTAACAGGTACATTATAGGATTTATCGATTTATACTCAGGGTGGCCAGAAGCTTTTAGTGTCGCAACAAAAAGCACTGACAATGTTGCACATCTTTTGATTGAAGAAATTACTTCAAGGCATTCTGGGATTCAAATTCTAACAAGTGATAATGGAGGGGAAAACTGTTCTAAGGCTATGGAGGAAGTTTGTAAGGAACTTAATATAAAGCATATTAAAACTTCATTCTATCACCCTCAGGGTAATGCTAAAATAGAGAGATTTCATAGAACATTACATGATGTTTTGTCAAAATTAATAGAAGATCATTCCACAACTTGGGATTTATACTTGAACCAAGCTTTAGCAGCAATTAGATTCAATATCAATGAGTCCACCCAACTTTCACCTTTTTACGCATTATATAACAGGGATCCAGTTTTACCTTTAGATAACATTTTACAGCCTAGGAGAAAATACAATGGGGAAGAATATCATAAAATTGCCTTGCAACAACAACATAAATCATTTATGTTGGTTCATAAAACCATGAAAAAATCTAAGCAGAAACAAGCTAAGTACGCAAACAAACATAGCAAAGATATAAAGTTTGAGGTAGGAAACCCAGTTTTTTATAAAAATCATAGAAGGGCAAGCAAACTTTCAAAAAAATGGACTCCGTACTATAGGATTATAGAACAAACTTCACCTGTTAGTTTTATTTTAAAAAATCAGTTAGATGGGACAACCACAAAGGCTCATGCTGAACAAATTCGTTTGGCTAAGTTAGATTGGGAAATTCCTAACAACAATCAAGGTAGGACATTACGTAAAGCTGCATATGTAGTTCCCATTGAGTCACAATCAGAAGACTCCTCTGATGATGAAAGCATAGATTCAGACACTCCGTTAAATCAAATTGCAAAAAGATATAAAAAAGAAAGGGAAAATTCTGATGAAGAAGATAATATACCATTAATGGAGTTATCTAAAAAATTAAGGGGGAAGAAAATTTTCTCAGAACAAAATAATGTCAATAATAGTGAAATAGAAAGTGATGATCAAATCATAAAAGAAGAAGTAGAAAATTCGTCTACTAATTCTGAAGTTTCTGACATTGATGATAAAATGTCCAGCAGTCACTCTTCGCCTGTTGAATCTGAAATTTCCGACATGGAAGATAACATGTCTGTAAACCGGGTTAAAATAAAAAATAATCGGAAACCAACTGATAATGGGGCTAACGAAACAAAATTGGTAACCAAGGAACATGTACAAAATTTAGTAAGGGCTTTAATAGGTATTATGTAGGTATCAATTGGTTTTATAGGTCGTAAGAAGGATGCAAATCATTTAAAAATTTCTAAAACGTATAAGCTATGTAATAAAACTAGTATTTATTCTCATTTTACAGAATGGCAGACAATGAAGAAAGCTTTGCCCAGCTAGAATCCCTCTATTTGTGGAAACTATTACCTGATAATTTATGGTGGGACATATATGTACAATTTAAGATCAATTATTTCCGGGAAATACTAGATAGAAAGAGAAGGGAACCTCTATTTAAGGAATTCCACGCTATACAGAAGCTTATTAACCTGTCGGATCCAATTATAATTGACAATTATTGTGGTTTACCCACAAAATTCGCAGAAATAATTGGACGCCGGAAACAATTTGCCGAAATCCATAACTTATCCTATCAGGAGCATCTTAGGAAGTGGACGGTGGAGAACTTCAAAGCCATTGGATGGTTAAAACGATCCAATCGCTTTGGGGTTTACCACCAAGAAGTGATTCTAAACAAGGCAAGGAAAATGCACCGGATACGCATTTTCGATCTGATAATTAAATTTGAGACTGTGAAGGAAAACAACCAAACATTTTATTCAGGACTATCATATGAATTCCAAAATTGATAAAGGCCAGATAAATAAAATATATTATGATAATTTATATATGTATCATTATTTTTAGGGAGAACCAGTGATGAAGTGGTGGTGGTTCTCACTTGTTCTTTTTGGCTTAACCAGCCAATTCATTGTCAAGGAAAATGTCATGTTTCAAAAAATTAAGGAAATATCAACCACAAGGTCAAATTGGCTCATTACTTTTGTCGTAGACTTGGATCCTTTTGAATTATTTCTTAATAAAATAGAACAAGACTTGGGCAAGGCTTTTCTCGCTACACAAAAAGTTCACACAATTTCTATGTTTTACACCTCAGAAAAAAAACACATTTTGGCTACTATCTTAAGTCTACAAAGGGAGGTTGAAGGATTAAATCGGACTAAAGATTATTTACAATCACAATTCAATGATTACCAATCTTTATATTACGACGAAACGGCAAAGTTTAAAACTAAACGTAGCTTATTTCCTATTATAGGCAAAGCATTAAGTTTTTTATTTGGTACTGTATCAGACAGCGACCTGTCAAAAATTCGAAGAAATATCAAAACTTTGGCACAAAATCAAGATGCAATTCGTCATATTGTTCAAGATGGGTTAACTATCTTAAACACTACACAAACACATGTTTCTGAAAATAGACACAAGGTTAATGAGTTGATTGAAAGTGTTCAAGATCTTGGAAATAGACTTCAAACTTTTGCTACGGATTTAGAAAAACAAATTGAAGTTATGGGAAGTTATTTACAAGCTTATTTGCATATGGACATGATAATAGGTGAAATAAAGGACCTTATGAATATAGCCGGGGATTATTTAAACCATTTGCAATTACAACTAAACATGTTGTCCTTAGGACACATGTCACCCAGTCTTATATCACCCGGTAATTTACGAGTATTATTGACTGACATAAAACGACGACTACCGGCGACATTAAAGATACCTGGTGACGAAGTTAAAGATATTTGGAATTTTTATAAATTTTTGACCTGTAGTACAGTTTTGGACGAAAACAAAATAATCATTATCATTACGTTACCATTACTAGATATAAGAGACACTTATGAAATTTATAAGATTCACAACTTACCTGTTCCTACTACGACAACTGATAAACAATCTGACTCGAGCAATATGGTTGCTCAGTATGAATTAGAAGCAGAAGTTATTGCTGCAAACCAAGAAAAAACTAAATATATGCTGCTAAATACCAATGAAATTGACAAGTGTTCCAATCCTTTAGTTAATTTTTGTGAAATTAAAAGTCCAGTTTATCCAGTTAATTTAAGTAAATTATGTATCATAGCCTTATTTGCCAATAAAGAAAATTGGAAAACAAGATGTACAGTGAAAGTACGACCAAACACAATTTTGCCTATGGCAACTTATTTGACCGATAGTATGTGGGCAGTTACAACCATTAATGAATTTAGAATCACTATTAGATGTGATGACAATACAAACATGTTGACGGATCAGATAATTAATCCTCCTACCACTATAATTAATTTAAAGCGAACTTGTACCGCTACGAGTGATCATTTGACCTTATTACCTACTTATCAAATGGAAAGTACATTTTTAACAGAAAAAACGTTCGAAAGATTCTTAAATACCTTTCAAGTACTGAATACAAGTTTATGGGAACCCTTTCATGCTGCTTTGCCAAATTTTACAAAGCTTGAACTACCAAGAGAACTAAAGGCGATTAAACAAATTCCTATGAACGCTTTGATTGAAAAACTTAGAAATTTAAGGGGAATTGAAAACGATTTTGAATTTCCAAATTGGGGAGTAGGTTTATCCCTGGGTTTGGGTGCGATTTTCATTGGAATAGCTATATTTTTGTACTGTAAGTTTTTTAGAAACAAATCTTGGTTAGCCAAAAAGAAAGGTGTGAGTTCGGGTTCTAATGCCACGAACGATGGGTACCAAATGGTGACAACGCAAATGGTTGGGACAGAAGTACCTGATTCCAGAGAGAAGATTCCCTCTGCACCATTACTCAAAGACGATGCAAGACCGAAGACCGATGCTACCAGTCTCTTGAGAAAGATGTACCCAGATCTAGATACGTCGACTACTTCGTAAAAGGACTGGATTGTAAACCATACAACGTAGACGACCGAATCCACTAGCAGAAGACGAACCGTGTAAATAATTTTAAAGTGACCATATGAACTGTGTAAATAGAATTGTATAAACATTTGCGTTCCTACCCAGTATTGAGGAACAACTTACTATGATGGTGATGGAAATAAAACATGAACTATGTATACCGAAATATTGAACTTATGATTCGAATGAACTATGTGTAAATATATCCAGCTATTAGACTTGATGAATGTGATGAACTTATTATATCATGATATTGGACTCGTAGAACTTTATAAACTTTAGATATGTGGTGATGGTTACCGGAAACCTTACAATAAACTATTAGAATAACCTACAGGAAGAAAAATACCGTATTTTATTGAACTTTCGTTCTATTTTGGAGGGAAGGCATTATGTAACACAATTGTGTTCCATACGATAATCATCAGGAAGTAACTACATACAGCAAAACCGAGACGATTACATGTAACCTTTAGACACTTAATAACAATCTGTACGAATATTATTGACATATATCCTGCAGCCACTAAATGACCATGTCTACTGTGAAATAACATGTATCCGTCAGGGGTTAATTGCATAGTTTGACAATTAACCACAGACTAGTATTACTCCACAACCAGACTACTACGTAACCGGCCTACAGCTATGGACCGTTTGTATGGACCACTAGACTATATAAGATCTCTCATTTTGGACTTCAAGACACAATTCGATCACACCAGAATTCGTCAGATCTCGGCCAGTGTCTCAGTGAAAAACATTTATTTGAACTTTTAATCGCTCTTTGAATACTTGTAAATTAAGCAATAAATTCTAATTGACAAGTATTAGTTAACTTAATTGACTTCGCAACATAAGCACCATGGCAAGACCATTCATTGAAAAGAAACAGATGAATTCTAGTCACTTCGGCACTTGGTTTAATTTACACCTGGTCAAATCGTCCCTCAAACCAGTCGTTATAGTCAATTTGGCACCTAGACAAATCAGGACCCGGTTAATTTGGCTCTAGAGGTAGTTATTTCGACCCTCAAAATGAACATTATGTTTTGCAAGTAAACTATTGAAGACTTGATATTTTTTTTAATACTTTCACTTGAGGTAAATAAATTGTAAATAAGCTTTATTTAGAGTCGGCATAGTATACAAATAAGGACATAACATAAGCTCTAATGAGCTTTTAACCAACATAAAAGCTCATAGCCAAATACTTAGCAGAAGGTAATCAAGTTGATGCAATACTTTTAGATTTTTCCAAAGCTTTTGATAAGGTCCCCCATGAAAGGTTAATAACAAAGCTTAATTATTGTGGTATACGTGAAAATAACTTACTTTGGATAAAAGATTTTTTGTCAAACAGGCAACAGCAAGTCCTGCTTAACGGTGTTCAATCTTCCAAATTAGCTGTTGACTCTGGTGTTCCTCAGGGCACAGTATTAGGCCCAACTTTATTTTTGTTATTTATAAACGACCTACCTGAGCATGTCTCCTGTAAGGTTCGTCTTTTTGCTGACGACTGTTTACTTTATGAAACATCAAAGAATATAAATGAGTCTCAAGCACTCCAAAAAAATCTATCAAGCCTTGAAAATTGGGAATCTGAATGGCAAATGAAATTCAATCCTGAAAAATGCTATGTCATAAATATTTCTAAAAAGTTGAAAACTAATTTATTTCAATATAAATTACATAACCATGTACTTGAATCTGTCAAAGACAGCAAATATCTAGGAGTTACTATAAGCAATGATCTTGATTGGGGGCCCCATATTAATAATATAACTTCAAAGGCAAGTAAAACACTAGGATTTTTACGTAGAAACATGAAAAATTGTACACGTAAGGTTAAAAAAGACCGTCGAGTACTCCTCACCAGTTTGGGGTCCGTACAAACAAAGCCAAATAAACCAAATTGAGCAGATACAGCGTAAGGCAGCAAGATATGTTTTTAATGACTATAACGATAGATCACCAGGTGCTGTCACTGGTATGTTAAACAAACTAAAATGGGAAAACTTGCAATCCTGTAGAACAAAAGCTAAGCTTGTCTTGATTTATAAGATTAATGGGGGGATGGTCGAAGTCACTAATGACGTCCTGACACAATCTGACATGCGAACTAGAGGCCTACATAAATTTCGACATATATATACAAATAAAGACTTTTTTAAATCATCTTTTTTCCCAAGTACTATTGCTGTCTGGAACGATCTCCCAGAAACAATTTGCATGTCACCCTCCCTAGAATCCTTCAAAAGTGGTATCTCCACCTTAACATTTGGAGGTTCTAGTCTGGCTAATTTATTAGTGTATTTACATGTAAGCCACTGTACATAATGTGAATATGTTTAACTTTAAGCTACAACTAATGTTATTTTAAATTGTAATTGAACTGTGGCAAATATTTTTATCTTATAACAAAATTTTCGACATCCATTTGCATGTACATAGCGCCACAGTTCAGGGATATTCCACACTCCGGCACCGGAGTCTTTCCCGTACCAGGAAGAAGAAGAAGAAGGATTATGAGGTGTCAAATAATGTAAATTTGTTCCCTAAAACGAAAATTCTAATGAGAGCTTGGTTATAAACAATGCTTTTATATCTATACTTATAGGAACTTATATTATAAAGGATCTTCTATTTCATAACAATTGCACATTGCTAGTGAATCCGGGTCCGTTTCCCCAAAATCAAGTTCGCTCCCATTCATGTCTGTCCCCTTTCATGTTCGCACCCCACACGTTCACACTGCCACCATTTTAATTGGTTTTGTCTTGAAATTTTTTTTAATTGTTTTAAAGTTAGTGTGTTGCTATAAATAAGGTTTTTTTTATTATTTCAAAATAAAGTGACATTCTAAAAACGTAAACAGGTTTCCTACTTCATGCACTTTAACGGTACACAATCATTCAAATTATGAAATATTTCATTTAAAAAACAGCACTTAAATGTTTAGAGTAACTACTTTATAAAATTTATAAGAACACTAAAATATTTAAAATAACCTGAAACATCACATTATACACCATTCGCACATCAATACTATCTAATATGCCAATTATTAAATTTAAATGACAGTCACAATTGTAATCAAGGTTCACAGTCTACTGTGGCAGAAAATCAACTGGTTTGTCTGATGGTCCATACAGTCCATCAAATCCTTCCTCTCCCTCCCCCCCCCCCTGGGGGCCCCCCCAAAAGGTTATTGTTTATAATCAACATAAGTTGATAAAGTGATAACCAATCAAAACATTATTAATAGAATATTAAGAAAACTTCAAACAGCAAGCCAATATTTTGCTAATTAGATAAATTACATGTAATAGAGACATTGTCCTTATGCTGTTTTATTAAACATTTGTGTGATTAATTGCCATTTGTTTTTACAGCTGTTAATTTTTTATTTCTATAAACCTTTTGTGTATACTAATTTGGCAAAATGAACGTGTGTAAGGATTAAGAATTCTAAATGAACTGTCAAGATTATTCAACAGTGTGTAGTGTACACATTTTCTTGACCATACATACATGTACATGTACATGTATAGTCTGGGCTTCTTTTTAACAAGGTGATTAATTACTAATCAATTTAGATAAATATCTTTCTTAAAAACAGAACAGCACTAAGATATGATTATCACAAATTTATTTTTTTATTAAAAGACTTTTTTAGAACCATTTCTGCATGACAAATAAACAATATCATTTGTGTAAAAAAAACACAAACCTGAGATTTTAATATTTGTGAAATAAATGTTATTTTACAATCAATAGTAACATAACTTCTTATCATTAACACCATAAAAGTACATGTACATGTAATTGAAATGTAATTGAAAAGTAATTTAGCATTACATGCTTTTTTCATTGTAATTAATTAAATTACCATTACATGTAATTAAAAAAATGCTCAATTACACATTACATTCAATTACATGGAAAATTGTAATGCATTACATTTTCAATTACCCCATCCCTGTTAAACAACATATACATCTAAAGCACATGCAGACATTAAAAGCATAAGATATGAATATAGACAAAGCTCATGCAATATACTGATATATAGAGCAGATCAGCATATTCACATAAAACATATACATTGTACAAGCAATACAAACAATGGTTATCAAAACTAACCAAACATGCAAAAAATGAAGCACATGCATATAAATGTAAGCAGCTAAAGCACAGTTTAGGCATAAGCTTCATTTATGGGTAAAACTGGTAAAAGTGTCTGATGAATGTGTACAGTTGGGTTTAAAATTTGGCTCAGCAGGTTGGGTCTTAAGGTGTATGGAGCATGCATGGCATTCTCTCTCTACACTGGGCATCAGATTAAACATCCCCATCCTGAACCTACATTGCAGTGTATTTATACATCCGGCACAACCCCCTAACAGACACCCCATCTAGGCAAGGGTTTTATTGACGGTCAGAAGAAAACCAAGAGTGACCATATTTCTGTTCCCTAGTCACCCTTGGGGTCTCCTAATTCTAGTAATTTTTAATATGCTTTCCCTGAGATGTCATCATGAGCCCCCCTTTTTTTAACAATCTTTTCCCCCAAAAAAATCTCCTCATTTCAAACAAACAGTTCTAAAGAATTCCCCTCAAACCAGTACTAGGGGCTACATGTATCTTAAACTTGCAGTGTGGTGAGAGTTGTGGCTCTGTGTTGAATGCCTCTCTGTGACCTTGAGATGAAGAACAGCAATAGAAGTGCTGGTCCTTTGCTTTTTGTGTTTTTTGTTGTGCATACTTATTTTGTGTCATGAATGAATACCCCATATATATCCTTTCTTTTTTAATAGAAAAAAAAATAGTTATACATTGCAATAAGGGAAAAAATGATAATATTACCATGAATTTTAATTGCAAAACTAAGATTACCTCACACAAATTATAATTACTGTTTGTTTTAATCAGACACTATTCCTTGAATGCCAACATATATACAAATGTATGTGTAGGTTAGTAGGTTTGGAACTTTTTAATTTTTTTTGTTGGTAACCTACAGTACCTAATAGTCTGCATGGTTCAAGAGGTATCCATATCTTTTTACAAGAACTTAATTATTCATTCATAATCTGTCTGTGAACAAATTTATGATGATATTACATGATTACATGGTTTATAACAATTCTGTCAAATATTTTGATTAAGTAAGTTAATGCTTACAACAAATGATATTGTTCATGATGTTGGCATGGTTGGTGAAAAGTTTATATTGAAGCAATCCTCACAAAAACTTAAAGTGTTGGTCAGGACACCCTGCATGGCCTAAGCAAACACATATTTTTGGGGTTCTAGATACATGTAGTTAATACTTGTGTACATGTATATATTTTTTTATATATATATCTAGAATTCTCATGATTCTAGATCTTCTACCTTTGTGTATAATATTGATCATTTGTCTGGTTGTACAATGTTACTTCATTATATCAATTTTTCCCAGATTTGAAAAAGAATTTATTTTATTTTCTTTTAATACAAAAAGCACCTTTTTTGTTAATATTGCATATGGTCTCAATGTTCATACAATTCATTTTGCATTTGTAATTCAATAAATTATATATGAATATTATTTTGTATCTGAATTTCAGAAAATATTATTTTGATGTGAAAAGATTAGAAGATGGATTTGATTTATCTGGAGTACACAGTCCACAACTTGATCATCCACCATTAAAATCTGTAAGTTCATAATAGGTATAGTGATGATAGTTAACAAAGATAATAAAGTGAGCAGAGAAGAAAGGGGGACTTGGATGTGGAATTTTTGTTGGAAGCTCATTCATAAATGAGCGTACTAGTGAGGCAAAAATGTGTTATTTTTATTACAAATTATTAAAAAAAATCATTCATTAAATGAAAAATAAATCAAGTCATTTCATGCATTTTTCTCTACATGTCAAAGTTAATAATTTCCATGAACACAAATCTAGACTGAGACTTTATTGATCTGATATCAAATTGTCATACAAATGAAAGGAATGATCAGAAGGTTCTTGTGTTAAATGTGCTACATGAACATGTACATGTAGATTAGAAATATGTTAAACATACATTCATGCATTATATATATAACAAATGAAAATGCTATGGACCAGGAAATTGTTGAGACTGTCGACATTTATCACAACTAATAGGAAATGCAACTTATAGTTTTACTACTAGGTAGTAACTTTCCTAAATGCCAGTTTAAATGTTACTTTAAACTACTATTCATGAACACATATATCAAGGTAGTATTACAATATCGTCTATTTGAATAAGTAGTAAAGGAGTAAGTTCACGAAGGGTTAAAATTGGCCCTAAGATTTTGATGTTTTTTTTAATCAGGCCTAAATATTACAAATTTCATATAGAAATAGTTGTGATATAACTACCAATACAAAATAACTTCTATTTGGCACATTACATTAAAAATGATGAAGAAATGACCCCTCAAGTATGCATTATTTCATTGTATTTATGGTGGAACGTCAATTTTGGTCACATTTTCAATAGTTGTTAACATAATTCACATTGGCCGCCGCCCCTGGTTCAGAAAGTTTTTGTGTCTCAGGATTCAATATCATCATTTGAAACTTTTGGCTACAAAACACTTTGGATCCTATGTTGCGGCCAAGGGTTTCCTCAAGCTTTTAGGTTCTAAAAAGGCACAAAAATCATTGTTTTTTTTTTTACAATATACCAAAATGTGCTGACTTTGAAGTCTAGAATGTACTCTTATGAAGAGATTTGTTTAACCTAGTATGGCTTTTCAAAAAGATCCATTTAAGAACTAAATTACCCGGTAGAGCCATTTTGAAATTTTATGATAAAGTTAAAATTCCAGGCCATATTTGGCCTTAAGTAAACCTTGTCCTTTACTAGTAATTGGTAAAAGTATCTATGTTTGCTATAAAGTTTAGTCTGAGAAATACCATCAGTTCATTTAATTTTTCTACAAGCATGACAAGTGAAAATATAGTCCCATAAAAATATTGGTGTAGTGGTACTGGATTTAAGAAGAAAAAATATTTAATCAGTTGATGATAAGGAAAACCTAGTTGTAATGGACTTTTTTTCTTGCCATTAGTTATTTCAGTCATTGAACTTTTGATTAATTATATTTTAAGTTTACATATATAATCTTATTTATTTAAGAAGAACAGAAATTTGATTTGCATATATATATATATATGTTCTTGCAGATAATGAGATATTCTTTTAAACAACAAAATATAGAAAACAGTTTTTCAAAATAATTTTGTTTTATTAAGACTTTGAAATTTCCAATATATTATTGGAATTTGGCGTATTCCACTGTAACACATAGCTATCGACTTAGATATGCCAGGAGTCCATGTGCATCCATTTTGTAAGAAAATCTTTCCCTAACTGCTCTTGATGGATTTTCTTAGATTTTCAAAGATCAATGTCACTGTTACATGTACTATAAAAAAAGTTGGTTTTGAGATGGTACATGTACGTAACATTTGTATATATCCCACTGTGAATTGTAACACATTTTTCAAGGAGAAAATAAGCAATAATAGTACATGTATACTTTTCCATCCAAGCATACCAGTATTTTAAACCATTGAAATCAATGTTTTCTATCAATAAATTTGCAGTTCAGGGAGTTTGTTTTGTACTTTAACTATCCTATTTCTCTTTATAATTACACAGCTTAAAGAACTGAGCAATCATTGTTGCTTAGACTTCAATTTTGGGGATTTTTTTGGTCTATGGTTTTTGAATTCATTTAACTAAAATGTTTTTACTTTGGATTCATTTAAAACAATGTGTTGGTGGAATGCTAACTTTTGTGGATATGGGGAAAAGACAAATTTGAATACTCCATGAAATACAAATGTTTAGTTACAAGTACATTAATATTTTGTACTTTATATTGATCATGTTGATAGGAGCAAATCATTTATTGATGATTCCACAAATTAAGTATCTCTAGAAATATCTATGAACATTGATAACAACAAAAATATATAAATCAACAGTCTATGTATCAAATGTGAAATGAATATTCCTTTTATTCAGAATAGATCTAGATCTATTCTGATAGTTTTGAGAATACATTGTATTTGATAATTTTATTTACCATGTTTATAAAATGTATATATACCAAGAATTACTGCTTTTCAACATGTTTCTTGTAAGTTTGATTGATTAGGTCAACAATCATTTGATTAATAATAAATATTTGATTACTCAGTTGATGGTATCAGAAATTTGATTTGTGCAGACAGCCATCTTGGGTAGAACTTGTGAACACTTCAATGATTTTTCCTCCATTTTTGGGCTAACTTTGTGGCTGAATGAATTATTTTAAAAAAGATATTGCATTTTACGAAAATGTTTTATTTGTTTTCAAAGAGACCAACACTGCAGTATGATGGGCTACACGACAGAGCACTTAAGCATTACTTCAGCTTACCAGAAGTTAGAGTTAGACTTACAAAGATGGATTTGGTGAGTAGTACAAACAGAAATCTTTCATTTGGATAAGAATATTAAAAAAAAGTCTCATTAATATCATTTTTAAGATATTAACAAATTAACAGTGACATGTCTTTAAATATGTGCAGCATCAGATATGTTTTTTTTTCAATGGTCACATTTTGTTTCTGCCTTGTGATTGACTTAGTCTGTTGGAACTGTTTTTAACATGATTCTTGCTTAAATAGTTACATCAAATCACTCTTCCCTGAATCCAATAAGGCTTCCACTACAGGAGTAGTTTTTCAAACAACCTTAATAATGGCTTAATTTATGAATAGATATCTTTTCCTTTGTAACAATTTTTTCGGCAATCCAAGCCAATCTACACATGCAATCTCTTAGGGTGTCTAGCTTAAAATTTATATACAGTAATGTAATTTGCCACTATGTTAATGTACCCAAATTGAATCAGCATTACATGTATGTTTAAATGTATTGAAGTCTGGAGAGCAATACAGCTGCCTGCTTGCTTACAATTATATCAATGCTGGTAGAACAATGTAGCCTCCTTTGTGTACAAGTGTTTTGATGCCTAGAGGACAATTCAATCTCCTTTGTGTACAAGTGCATGTATCTAAATATCTCAATGTCAGGATAGCAATGCATCCTCTTTCTTGTACAATTGTGTCAATGCCAGGAGAGAAATACAGCCTCCTTTGTGTAAAAATGTACTAATGCCAAGAGAGCAATAAAGCTTCTTTCCAGTCTCTAGCATGTCTAGGTTTCATTTCATAAGCATGATGAGTTGTTTTCTGACATATTTTTTTTAGGTAATTTTATGTAAAATCTCAACTGTTATAATTTGATATCAACATGTACAGACTTCAAATATCCTGGTAGTCATATAGTAATTTATGGATAAGCCATATAAGCAATTTATTTATTTATTTAAATGTCAACCTTACTGATTTTTAATCACTATATATTATGTTAATTACCTCTAGTGTAAAGAAATCACTGGAGGATCTAAATTTTATTACAAAAAGGATATGTCAACTCATAAAATTACAACTACTTTCATAATGACAATTTGCTAGACATTGTTATTTAATACAATGTATACCATATTGTTTGTACTGAAAAAAATTAATTTAGATCATCTAGGATCAAGCCAAACCTTTGTCAGTTAGCATGTTGAAGTACAGAATTTCTATAAACAATGTAAGAGAGAATATGTAATTTCTAATAGCACTTGTAGCATTACCTTTATGTAGTTTCTACAGCATACATAAAATCCCTTGAAAAATGAAGCAATGAGTAACATTTACTGAAATTTTTTTTACAAATTTTAGAGATTAGAAATAAGATTTTTTACCCATGGTTGAAAGTATTGATATCTTGGATGGAAAATGTCTTATTGTTAAATTCACACATTGTTTGCTGGAACATTCATATTTTCTCATCATATACACTTCCTCTATTTTTTCATATGGCGAACTCACTTCCATTTATTCCTGGCTGCATACCGAAAACATAAGAATTGTCAACAACTGCTTGAATACAAGAAGTCAGCTTTTTGAATTCTTAGTAGAGTACAAGTTATTAGTTAATTTTTATACCCACACTACAAAGGAGGGTATGTTAGTTTTCCATATGTCCGTCCCTTAAAAATTTGGTCATATTTTTCTCAGGAACTACAACAATATATAAACGAGGAGATGTGGTTAATTGTATAATTGTCAATGAAACAATTGCACCTACCTACCAATGACCAAATGATACCACTTCTACAAGTATATGCATATATAGATCACCAGCCTTAAACAAAGTTTAAATAAAGGTCTTTACAATGAAGTAAGCTATGAAAGTGCCCTAGTTACTGAACTCTATATTTCAAATCAATAACAAAACAGGAAAAACATCAAAAATGAATACAACAGCAGATGGTTGAGTTATACTGAACTACATTTTCCTGGCTTTGGAAAGGTACATTACGTAAGGAAGGGTTATACATTTTTGTTAGCACTCAACCCTCCTCCAGCAATGACAAATATAGAAAAATGGACAAACAATAATAAATTTGACAAAAATTACCTTAAAATTTAAAATACAGAAATGAAGCTTCACCCTCCATCCAGACCCTCACTAAAACAAGCATGGATTTTTGAAAAGTGAGGATATATATATGTAGACAAAAATAAAACTCTCAAAGCTTTGTAATGTATTCAGATTATAACTAATATAATCAACAATAGGATGGGGTTTCATCACTAAATTTTAGTCCAAATTCAAGCTTTGAGTTTAAATTTTAAATCATTTTTTTTCAAAGGATGTTACACCAATGTTCAAGTAGATACTAATCATGTACTGTGAATTTTGACATGCAAATTTGTATTTATGTTTTATTCTATTGACATAAATTAGTTTTCTACACAAGTTTAAATGTAAGGATTTAATTTGATTTCAAATGTTTGTGTAACTGATTTGGAAAGATTAATTGAAATGAAAAATATCCTTGATTGCCTAGATTCATGTACTTTATATATCAAACCACTCAAAACTGTTTAAAGAATGGTATGCTATTTGTAACGTAGATACCTGTGTGCATGTTTAAAAGGTTATTGGAACGAGAATTGTTTTGTTGTCACAGACAGCAAATAAAAACATGCATGAGTAAAAAATGTTTCAGGTAAAATTATTTTTTGATTTAAACATATTACATGTAATCTTGTATGATGAATATATACTTTCTATACTAAGAGAATGTAGTTATTGAATACTGAAAAATCATATTAGCAACTGCTTAGTCTTTAAAGGTGCATATGATAATAATAAAGAAGTGTGGGGTGGGCAACTGTCATTGAGACAACAATCCAACAACACAAAAATCCCAACAGAAGAGGGTGATAATAAAAAATTGCTAGTACTTTTTACCTTATAAATGGCTTAATGACCTGCTGGGATTGTCTCCTGGTAGTTTATTTGGTCCTAGTCTTTTGTCATGCAGTTAATTATAATATTGAAAGACCTCAGTTTCATATGTAATTTATTTGTTGCTGCCAAATGTTTCTTCCAGTCACACATATATAGCAGTTATTGATAGATATTTATGATAACTGACTTAGTCATAACTAGCAGTTGTCTAGATTTTTCACTTGCTGTAGTGTGGCAGCTTTTCTATGCTGAAGAAATTTGCAAATAGGAAAAACAGTAATAAAGTGGTTTTTTTTGGACTCAGTATAAAAATAAGGAGATGTGGTATGATTGACAGTGAGACAACTATCCACTGGAGTTCAAATGGATTGGATGTAAGCAATTATAGGTCACCTATGGCCTTCAACAATGAAAAACACCTAAACTGTATAGTTGGCTATAAAATGCCCTGACATGGAAAATGTGAAACAATTCAAATGAGAAAACTGATGGCAATTTAGAAGTAGCAAATTGTATAGAATTTTGTCTGTTGCTGAACACTTTATGTTGACTGCTAAATGTTGTTATGTTTCCATCACACATTATATCCACATATCCTTTATTCTGTTGAATTTAAATATGTATATATTAATGATATTACTCTGAAGCAATAAGACTATTCATGTAATTATCATTAATTGAAGTAGCAACCATAGGGCATAAACTGCATAAATGTGTATACCTATAAAAGGAAAATATATAAATATTATATTACCTATAAAATACCTAATGTAAAATGAAGAACTTCCTATTGACAACTGGTGCTTTTTTTTTTCATTGAATCAAGGATATTTAACTACAAGATTGATTAGATTGTGGGTAATATTTTTCAAGGACAAAATGACTGAATTGTTCAGGCTGTTGCTTGAAAGATGTGTTTGTTTAAATGTATTTCTTCATATTTACTAAACTACTCTAACAGTATTGTCATCCCGTCATAATACCCTTAGAATCTGAGATATCCATTGCCAATCTACTTCTATCTTCTGATTATTTTTGTATTGTTTATATCTATCTGCATTATGTCATATGTACTTGGCCTCATTTTCTCTCTTCTTCAGAATTGGATATGTTCTTCAGTAGCTATAAAATGACAGGTCACCAATATTTTTTAGGAGGATGGGTGATCATGGGTTCAGGTTAATATGTTCATTTGGCTTGTGTCTTATTGATTCGATCTCAATTTTATATTCCAGTGTTCAAATTAGTTTTTCAGGATTAGATCGGTGACTATGTCCAACAGCCTTGACAGGTCAACATATCAAATATGTAAATTTGTACATGGAATGTCTGTCTGACATTTGTCATGTTGCCATGACTTCAATTTTAATGAAGATTTCACTGAACCCCTTTCATCTAGGTTAAACAAAACTATTATGGAATATGTTCTTTGTGATACCTTGTCAGCCAGGCATTGTCACCTGACCTTCACTTCAATTTGATATCCAGTTTTAGTGTTAACTTTGCTTTGGCTATCTTTATATAAAAGTTATGCTTCAACACAATAGTGCACACATTTTGTGCAAAATATAAATTTACCTTACAAGATCATCTGCATGATCCTCCATTCCTATTTAGAATCTGTAGTTTATTATTGTCATTTCATTGACTGCTGACATTTTGATAGAATTTCTTGCTTTAAAGTCATACTAGAGAATTACTATGTCAAAAGTGTTGATTTTGTCACCTTATATACATGTACCATTTATTTTTATTGATACAGGGAGAGGAATTTGCAAGAGAAGAATATGTAAAGGGAAAACTGAAGAAAACTATGATACGATATAATTTTTTGGTAGGTTGATTATAACTTATTAGTAAAAAATATATTTCTTTTTTCACTAGTAAATATTATAGGCTAGTTTATAGATCTTAATATGTATAGTTTTTATTGCATGAAAAACCATTTCAAAATACAGTTATCTCCCCTAACAGTATATAAAACTTTAATGGTAAAAGAAGTCTTTGTGTAGTCTTTGAATTATAGTTATACCTAAATAAAGATTGTGATTAATTTTCTCCTTCTATGAAATACTGGATTTTTCATGCAATTTCTTTTGATCATTGAATATAATACATGTATATATTGGTATTTCTGCATCTTACATCAAACTATCTCTCATTTTTGTTTGAACATCCTGAATTCTATACATATTCATACAATATATGTATATATTGAACTGTCAGACCTTTACAGTATGTTAAGCTATATTTAATTGTACTTTTTATCAATACACTAAGCAATAAGAATGAAAATGTTCAATAATTTCTCACTTACAAAAGATTATTTCGGAAGTGTATACCATTAATTCAATAATAATGACCCAATATAATCAATATGGACGTTGTAAAATTATTATGCCCTCTTTGTTGATCATATGGAAGAATACCTTTTATAACAAGATTGGATATTCCCGGTGAAAAATTAATATTTGTCCCTTGGTTTTGATTGTGTGCATTAATGTATGAGAAACTCTGTTTCCCCTTATCATCATCTAGTCAATAATTGTTTTAAGTTTAGTCAGTTGTTAGGTTTTACATCTGAATATATTGAGCATTTTATAAGAGATTATTTAATTTTTTTGTTTTGTTTTGTATTTTACTCTGCTTTATATTATTCACTGTTCTTCATACATGTATAGTAAAATATACTTATTTTTGGACGTCATACATATTGTAGATGCTTGTAACTAAAAGAATTAAAAAAAAAAACATAGTACAGAAACTTCCATGTGTACAATATATGATACCCTTTTTTGTAATTAATTTTTTTTATAAGAATTATTTCTATTTTGGACTTTTATTTTCATGCTTGTATGTACTTTTAACACCACTTTTTACAATAATGTTTTTCACTTTTGTTTAAACATTAGTTAACTCTTAAAAAACTGGCAGTTATAGGTTTACACAAGTGAAATCACGAAATATGTTGGAAGTTATCATAATAATTGATCATTTATATTTATTGATTACTAAATATGATATCAAGTGGCTAATACTTCATTGATATCAAAGTCAGAACACAATAGAACAATTAGAAATTATCAGTTATCTCCCCTTATAAATCAAATCAAATAAATTAATATTTGATTGAATCAGAAGCATTGCTGAATTATAAAAAGTGAAATAACTCATCGAAATAAAAATATTAATACTTTTGAATGAAAATTGCATATAATAGGGGAAATAGATCTGAATACGTTGTAATCCAACGTAGGGGAATGCTCCAATGATATTTAAATAAAGCTTGTTTTCTGGAAAAAAGTGAATTTGTGCTTGGTTGAATCATTCTATAAATTAACAGGGCATCAAATAATTAGATATATATTTTAGCAACTAGAATTACTATACAAATCAGTTCTAGACAACTAGCACAGCCAATTATGGATGCCCAATTTCGTATTTTTGCAATTTGTATATTTTAAGGAAAAAGGCGAAATTGCGATATAAATCGTAATCCATAAATCAGGAGAATGAAAATACATGTTTTAGCTCTCGTGATTTCGCATTCGTCAATTATTGTCCATTTCTGTCAATCATCTCAAATTACGAGAGCGAAAACACGAAATGAAATGATTTCGCATTTTCATGATTTTATTTTAATGATTTCGTATTTTTGCTTATTTTCTTTTAAATATACAACACGTAATTGGCCGCATCCGGCTTCCAAAACAACAGTTTATTTTGTACTTTCAAATGCTTTGACTACATATTCTATTGATACATTATAATACAGCTTTATATATGATTGCTTACTTATTAGCCTACAGCACAAGACGAGGAAGTTTTTCCTCGGAAAAAACGTGTAAAGTCAGCTGGGGTAAATACATTGTGTTTGTGATGTGATGAATGAAATGCTTGAAACACAAAAGTCTTGTCTTCCAGCACCATGAACTTTTTCTTCCTTTGTTAGGTGTAACCTCACTAATGTCGTGTGTTGTTTATAGAACAGGAGATAATCCCTTTCCCTGTGAAGTGCACTAATTTATTTAAATTTCCAAGCATACAAATTTTTAATGCAAGCAAGGTTTCTTTGAGATAGCTACGGTATAAGAAATTTGCTTCAATGGCACATCTGAAAAAGGAATGTTGAATTAATTTTGCAGCTTCCATTCGACTGAAAGAATATTGAAACATCTGCATTAACAGCTTAATTTACTATTGCATGCCTTCAAGAAAGAATGCTTTTTGAAATTAACACAGTTCATAGCATAAAAATTCCCTTGGTGCATGTTTCTAACTAAAATCCAGTTAGAAGGCATTGTTTTGTTAAAAGATAATCTTTATTGCTGGAGAGAAAAAAACAACGTTTGTAATGCATAATTGTGCATTTGTATATAAAGATTGGCTCAGTATTGAAATACTTTTTTTATTCTGTATTTTACTTGATTATTGTCCTTTCAGGACTGAGAAAAACTTTGAATTTCTTTGGATTGCTATATTAAACAAGTGTTTGTTCCACTTAATAGGGTTGCCTTTCCTCTTATCAAGTATATTGTTTTCCCTATCTTCAATTCTTCAGAAAGAAATATTCAATTTTCTTGTTTAATAAAGGAATATAATTTTGAGCATCCTAGAAAAGGATATGCAAAAACATGTTTATGGTATATCACAGAGAATATCATTTCAACATATAGTGCACCTGTGATGATCTGATATTGTCAACATTTAAAATGACATGTCAATATATGTGGATTTCTATCTTTTTATTATCGATTTTTTTCATAGGGATAAACTTTTTTAATTTTAATTTGATTTGAAAGAAGATCTTCTAGCAAAATCACAATTTTTATGGTAATTTAAAGTGTTATGTACGTAAATATTGAAATATTTTACTACTTTCAATTTAGTAATTCTATATTATTCCAACTCTCTCCAAATGAAATATCCATGTATATGGTTGTACGAAAAATAGATGAATTCAAAGTAAAAATAGTGCACTGATATAAACTATTTATTAGAGAATTCAACCATTTAGAAAAGTATGTGATATAATATTAAAACATATGTTTAAAAAAATTTGTTCTTTGAATGAAATTCATTTTTTTTCTTCTTTAGCCTTCTACCTTACCTGAATACTGTTACATAGATACAAAAGATGGCAGGAGACTGAAGAAAGAAATGATAGAATTTCAATCTTGGTATAAAGATCAACAGAGAAATAAGTAAGTCAATTCTTTAAAATCTAACAATGAGAAATCTATTGTTGAAAGCAGTTTTCCTATCAATGTGGTACCTAGTTCAAGGATTTAGTTTTTCACTTATACCTTGAAATCATACTTAGAAGCTGTGAAAATTTAGGCCAACAAATAAAAGTACTTTCATAGAATGAAGAGATTTTTTTTTGTAAGTACCTCCATCAAAAAGTTTCTCAGTATGTGCAATTCGAAACAGTATAGTTTACAGAATAAGGATGAGACCTGACCTGTCTCAGTTGCTTTCAACAAGTTTAAGTCTTGTACCTTTGTTTCTAGTAAAAAAGAAATGGGGTGAAAGGACTGAAGGGATAATTTATTGTAAAGTAACAACCCTTAGGCTACACCAAACTAATGTCTTTTTTTTTTTTTGGCTCCCAAATAATTCATTTCATCATCATGATCGACCCTCCCACTTGCGAGTAGTAGCTACCCTAGAGCAGTGGAATATGACGACAGAATTATTCAAGTTAGTTTCACTCTGCATATTTCAAGATTTTAGTTCTAACTAACATTTCCATTGGAAATGAAATTGGAATTTTTGAGTTGACAGCGTACAAATTCAACTCAAAATAATGAGCTTTATCAACAATGTCAATTTTGTCTGGAAAAAATTCTAAAGTGCTGAGGCCAAACACTATACTGTGTATGCAGACTACGGATATAATTTGAGTGTTGTTTGAAAAAACACATCAGAATCTTTGAGACACAGTTGCAATTGAGGTTCAATGTTCATTGTCAAACAGGAAGTAGGGAAACAGATTCTTCATTGGATAATTTGTTCTATTTTGAACATGTTCAAAGAATTATTTACCTAAACTGAAATCTTCCCTTTTGAATATTAAACTCAAAACACAAAAGCTGGAAGTAATATCAATAGCATTTAAATATTGAAGTTGTTCTTTAGTATGAGACTATTTTGAATTCAAAGGTGTTTTGTGCATTAATTCCTTTATTGAAGATATGCAATTCCTTAGTAGCTCTGATGAATTTAAAATTGCTTAAAACAGGAAGGATTCTACATCCACTGCAACATACATATTAAAACATTTAAATAAGTGATACAAGTATAAATGACATACATTTCATAGTAATGCTGCTTATATTGTAAATTTTTATGTCAGACACTAAAAACAATTTTGCTCCATCAGATTCATTGAAAAGGAAAAAGAAAATTGCACTCACCGCCCCTCTATATTCATCTGAAATATTTAAAGAACAATTGGGTTTTTTTTGTGAGGCCTTATAGATATGATACTACAAATGCTTAATTTTGTATTACTTTTTATACTGATACATAGTATATGACCCTTTCAATAATATATTTTTGATTCACTTTGATTTTTTTTTTGGGGGGGAGACTTATTAGTCATATTGTTTTGTCTATTTGTGGCTGTCTGTGTTTACAAAAAAAGTTTGTGAACCCAAAATATCCTACAGATTACATTTTAATTAAATGAAACTTGACAGAATTACTTCTTACAATGTGCTGCTGTATATAAACCATAGTTTTGTGTTAATGTTTGATTTCCAATGAGGTAACAGGGACTTGTATCTTGAACTGGAAAGAAAATCTTCACACATTGTTTTGTTATTTAAGAAGGAAGGTTTCAAATTTAACCTAATGAATATTATATTCATAGTTTTGTGCCAATCAGTTGATAATTTAAGAGTTCCTTCCCTTTGTCACTTGGAACAAAAGGAAAGGTTGAGACATTTTTTTTCAGGAAATACCAAATTTAAGTTTTTGTTGTTTGTTATTTGATTGCTGACTCATTGAAGTATACCCCACACCTTAATTTATAAGTATTTGATTAGTGCAAAATAATTTAAACTGAATGTTGTGTGTAATTAAACAGACTATGTTAATTCTTGTTATGCAAATTTAAAGTAACCATGCAGCTATAGAAAGGTTTATTTACAATAGCATACATTTATTTTCAGTTACATGGTTAAAATCAATATTTTCCATTATGAGTTAAAATTGATAGGCAGGTCATTTTTAAATCATATACTCTTGGGAGTAAGACCATAAAATCTTTGCAGACATATCACATGAAATTTACAGTAAATCAAACAGAAATTAATAATTTGTTCACTAATTGATATATTGCATGTTATAATATTTAAGATTTGGAATAATTATCAATAAACTTAATGAAGTAAAATTGTATTAATTGTTGATATGTCAAATGTGAAAAAAGGTGAGGAATTAATTTTCTGACCTGTGAGTGCGTCTCATGCAAGGAATATATGGATTAATTTAATTTTATTTTAGATGAAAGCTTTTTGAGACCTTTTAAACTTCAAGCATGAATGTTATTTGAAAAAAAACACAAGGGTATCAAATTTAAAATAAATATTTTAGATTGATTGATTGATTGTTGGTGTTTTAACGCCACATTTAAGCGCCACTTTTGGGCTATTTCGTGGCGGCCAGTTTTTATTGGTGGAGGAAGCCGGAGTGCCCGGAGAAAACCACCGACCTTCGATAGGAAAACTGACAATCCTAGTCAATTAAGATTGGAGTTGAGTGCACCCGCACGAGCGGGGTTCGAACTCACAACCTCAGTGTTGACTGGCTAGTGATTACAGTAGTAGAACTACTTAGACCACTTGGCCACCGAGGACCCCTAAATATTTTAGAAAGGGATGTTTCAAATTTAAAATGTTATGGTTGTTTTACTGGTAAAATTCAAAGTGAGTCATTAAATATGTTTTTTTTTTTACCTATAGAACAATGTAAATTGAAGGGAAAAAATATTCATGTTCTTGTTTTGATTTTCATGGTCAGAGATGGAAGAGCAAGATCATAACATGTATGAGGAAATACTGAAGTATCCGTCTTAGTGGTCCCCTATCATGGATAATGCTCCTTCTTATGATCCTCCTTGACTACAAATAAATACAGAATTTTCAATTAAATCTTTCATCAGAAGACTTTCTCTGTACTCTGAATCTACATTTAGTTTTCAGAATTATAGGCCCTATGAGAGGGGATTATAATAGTTTTCAAAGTGATAGTAAAAATTATACCAAGCAAGTTACAATGGTATATCTATGTTTTGAAATATTTTGACACCAAGCAGTAGGAAAATTTGCATCTCCGTCTGGTTTAAAAGTAAGACCCAAGAAAATGGAACAAATAATTTTGAAGTCTTCCCTTATTCAGAAGCTTATCATAGAAATTGAATCTCCTTCTATATATTTTTTTTTAAATTAAGTGCAATTTCTGATGTGTATGGATGATTTGTTTAATGTTTAATATCTTTTTATTAGATGGTTTATTGAAGCATGATAAACAAGTTGTCATAACTTTAACAAACAAACAATAAATATCGATGTCACTGTTTGAAAATATTACTCACAACATTATATAAGTGCTTCATACATGAAGAAAAATAAATTTATATTATTTCAAATTAGAATGTGATTTACTAAATTATTTTAAGTATGGATTTCTTGGTTACCTATGGAGATAATTGATTTAATGTTATCATCATTCAATGTATCTAATGAGGAGAACATTTGATTAAAGAGTGGGAGGTATAGATTGAAACACTGATTTCAAAAACTTGGATATTATTTAGTATAAAAGTAAATGTAACAAACGTAAGGCTTTTTTCCAAAATACAGTAAAACTGAACATATCAGTGTTTTCCTTAGAGGATTTATATAAATGGTTGTGCCCCATCCATTGACTTAGACTTCCTTCCTTTAAAACTTGAAATTCTTTAATACTGTAAATTCAGAAACTATTACGAGGTTTTGATTGATGCGATTTCTTGAGTATCACAATAATAAGAACTTGCATTCTGATATCAAATACATTTATCTATATGTAGCTTTTCCTAAAATTGCAATAATCAAACTTGAATATATTTTTGTTCTTTCTTCAAAAATGTCCATAATACAGTATCCAGCAAGCTAATATTCAAGAGCAAGAAAAAGCATATAAAGAAAAAGTTCGTTTTTTTTTTTAAATTCTGTATGTTACTGATAAATGGACTCACTTTTTAAGTCAACATTACACTTTTACACTGACAACAGAAATCACAGGTGAGACAAAGGGTTCCATGGAACCCCTTACGATTTTTTTATGATTACTTCTTTAATCCATTTCGCTGAACTAGAATACATTATTGTTTAGGGACCAGCTGAAGCACCCCTCTGGTTGCGGGATTTTCTCGCTGCATTGAAGACCCATTAGTGGCCTTGGGCTGTTTTCTGCTCTTTGGTCGGGTTGTTGTCTCTTTGACACATTCCCTGTTCCCATTCTCAATTCTGCTTGCAGAAAGATACAAAAAAATATATATGTTCTATTCAGTTGATTAGACTGGAAAAGTTTCAGTTTATTCAGTATAAATAGTATACTAAGTAGTATATTATTAAATTTTATTGGACTTAGCCATCATTGGGGTGAGGATTGATGTGTTGATATGTTACTATAAGTAAATATATTACCTAAGTATATCTATTGTATATATATATAGTATACATTACTGTTTAGGGGCCAGCTGAAGCCTGCCTCGGGGTGAGGGATTTTCTCGCTGTGTTGAAGACCCATCGGTGGCCTTGGGCTGTTTTCTGCTCTTTGGTCGGGTTGTTGTCTCATTGACACATTCCCTGTTTTCATTCTCAATTTTATTATTACCATTGTGATAAATGGGTGAGTGTTTTACTCATTAACAGAATAATCTCCCATTTATCCACAATGTAGAAATGATATAAATAAATCAAACCTTAGTTACCCATAGGACATTTGTTCTGCTTTACAAAACAAGGTGGAAGAAATTAAAAAGAAGGAAAAAGATATGTTCAAAATTGGTATAAATTCTTACCTACTAGCTAATATTAACTAGTACCTTATCTCAACAGTTTTTTACCTGTCATAATTATTATGAATCTAGATGAGAAAAAAATAATCAAGAAACCTTTAGCAAATCAAAGAAGAATGATTCAGAAGGATGAATAATTGATAAAGAAAATTGATTGCATAAGAAAAGATAATAATTGTCATCAGATACATAACATTGCATGGTTACATGTCCATAAAAACGGATGTGTTTAAAAACAAAGTGAATTATTAAAATCATCTCCATATGGTCATTATATGTATCGGGGTCAATGATACTGGTAATTATTTTGTTTGGATAACAATTAAATACGCCAAAGAATATCAAGACTTTTGGTTTTAAGATATTGTTTGCACTATGCCTTTATTGTTTGATGTATACTCAGCAGTGTACTCTCCAGAGCCTTATAGCACCATAGTACCAATAATTTCTTGAGTATTTTTACAAGCACTATTCATATGTGAAATTTAAAAAAAATACTATGGAGAAGTTTATGACTCAAACTTCACCTTTAATATGAATGATAACATATGTGTCAGGGTTTTCCCCTTACGGTTTTGTGATGTATGTTCATGGACACACCATTTTCTGCAAGGGTGAGCCCCAAGTTCTGTAGAGAAACAATACCTATGCTTTAAATTTATTATTTAAGCATTTTTTAAAGAAGAAAAAAAGAAGAAAAAAGCAGAAGAGTAAAATTTAAATATTTTTTTTAAATGAAGATAATTTGACTCAGCCATTAACAATTTTAATGAATCTTTGGACTCAAAAGTTCAGAAAATAATGAATCTAACCTGATTCATATGGACTCATGTTAGTTAGAACCCTGATTGAAATGAAACTAACCATATATTTATCATTTCAGACCTTTAAAGGGAGGATGGCCAATTTTGAGAAGTGTACCACCAAGAAATTTGTCAAAAGGAGAAGCTCATCGACTTGTAAATGCAGCTACAAAAATTTTAATAGCTACAGTAAGTAAAAGAGCAATAATTTTAGTCTTGGATACAGGATTTTTTTATCAGTTGTAATTGTCTATCAACTAGCTTTCAGTAACTGTGAACACCATTAGTTGAAGAAAGACAGACAAGACCACGGTCAAAAGAAAGAAATAAACAAAGAAAGACAGACAAGACCACGGTCAAAAGAAAGAAATAAACAAAGAAAGACAGACAAGACCATGGCCATGGCCAAAAGAAAGAAATAAACAAAGAAAGACAGACAAGACTATGGCCAAAAGAAAGAAATGAACAAAGAAAGACAGACAAGACCATGGCCAAAAGAAAGAAATAAACAAAGAAAGACAGACAAGACCATGGCCAAAAGAAAGAAATAAACACTCAAAACACAGAAAACAAACAGAAGTGGTCAAATAAAAAATCGATAACGAGTTTAACTTGACCATTAAAGTAAACTTTTGTCCTAGTTTATGCCAAGACAAAGAAATATGAAATATAATAAGTTTGTTTACTTTTGATAAATTTTATGACTTTTTTGTTTATTTACACAACATATCAGTGAAAAGAAAGTTAACCTTGACCAAAGATTGTTTTTAAGAAATTTTTTCATGATATTGTTATAGGAAGCAGTAGATGGTGTTATGCCTCCAAAATCTAAAAAAAGACCTCAGTCAGCACCAAGTCCTTTTGAGGTGAGTATTGTACTATCTTTAAATGCAATTTTCTCATGTTACTTAATTGGCTTTTGATCAAATTGATTTTTTGTTTATTGATGCAGATCAGATGATTGAAGGTTAACATTTAAGGTAATTTTTTTTTACTGTTAGTACCAGGAGCAGAAAAATGATTTATTTGTATGGCTCATTATTCATCTGAATAGTTTCATAAAGTATTACGTTGTGTCACAGCATGGAAATCTATGCACCATCATTGCATGTTTATAAGAATGATTTTATTGTTTTGCAACTTTAGATTTTCATACAGAGATTGTGTTCTAGATATTTCAAAATTAAAATCTGTTCTTGAAATATATTAGAAATGACCAGTGAAACAGAATCAATGTTTTAGATATTTCTAATCTTCTGTCATAGACATGGGCATTATTTTCTGTCTTTTATTTAGCTTGTTTGAGTCGTCCCCCTTTTCTACTACAACTGTAATGAATAATTTAAGAAAAAGAAAGTTTTATCTTTATGTGTTTATGTTGATTTGCAGTTTCAATAATTTGATGTAATATAAAATTTTATTTTCAACTCTGCTTTACTTAGAGCAGTATTATTTCATTTGTTTAAAAAAGAATTAAGAATTATATTGTAATGTAAATGATAAAGCACAAGGTGACAAGTAGAAGTTTGATAAATGATTCTTAATGTTGCGCAAATTTTTCATATCATTTTTAAATCAACAGTCATGTCACAGACATATATTCATGAAATTTTTGCATTTTCTACATAATGTTTTTTTTATATTTGGAGGAATTGGACAAAAACATGTCATTTCTGAATAAGAAAGTTCATTTTCAGAAAGTTTTCTAATTAGTCAACATTTTCAGACAATTTTCTAACCAATTAGTTAAAATAAACTGTAAAAGGCTTCATGACTGTGCAGTGTATTGACTGACAGCTATTGAACCAGCCAATAAGAATCTTTTATCCATCGGACTGAACAATGTATTTGAACGGTAGTTTTGTACCAATTCCCTCAAATAAACTGATGACATCAAACAAGCATGTTCACTTTCAAACTTTTAACTTTTTTTCTTCTTTTCTTACCATCTAAATATCCATATACATGCATGGTGATTGCTAAATATCTTATTCATTAACTGCACTCTTGTAGACCAATAAATCCTTACCGAGCTCAGATCAGCATGGCAAGAAGAAGGTATATGTGTCACAGTTGTATAGTTATATTAGATGTGGCTTATTCATATCCCATATAGATTTACATTTGATTGGATTGAAATAGCTATATAAAGTTGGACCTTGTCAAAATATAATTCTTATGGAGTTATAGTTTGATTACACACCAAAATGGACCCATAAAAAAGCTTTAACAATTTTTGTGAAATTTAATACATTCGAAAAATTTAAAAAGTAAATTTTTCAGAAACTTCAAATGTATTTTTGAGGGGAAAGGATGAGTTGCTAAAATATTTTTGGCCTTTATTCTCCTAAGTCATTAAATTATGAATAAAATGAGGTGTGTTAACTTAATTCTAGAAGGCTAGGAAGAACACAGAACTTATTTTGTTTGTGCAGATGGATAAATTGATTGCTTTTACTCATTACTAACACTTTATTTATTTATGATTTGCTGTTAACATGAAATATTCATAACTCATAATTTCTTAGATGAAATCTGATCAAGGATAGAACAAAAATCATGTAGTCTTTAAATATTTATATGCTATTCAATACTGTTTACACAGATTCATTAAAGATTTATGTAAACGGCAAGGCTAAACTATATATTTTCCTTGATAATGTTTCCTACTTTAAGTTTTGAGAATGATGTTTTAATTTTGGTTTTAATTTACACAGTAACCCTTGTTATAGCAACGTAATCAAAACAGTAAATCAACATCACCTTTTATTGGCAAAAAATCTTACATTCTTGTAATTGTTGAAAAATAAAATCTGAATCAATGATTTATGCATTTAGTGAACCACAAAACTTTCATGTTTAAACTGGAAAAAAAGATACAGCCATTAAAATTCACTATTGCTCATCATTATAGATTCTTTCACAGTGTTTTGTTAAACTGTTTATAATGAAACTTACTACAAGATGCAGTTAAAAGAAATTGGATACCCTGTATTTATCATGCTTTCCAATAACATATGGTGAAATCGATGAAAGACCCCTTCCTGAATTATTGAAAACTATCATTCTGCATTGACAATAATATCTTGGTGTAAATTAGATACACCCATTCAGGCTAACACTCTCAAGGTGTATCTAATACTTACAAAAGGTAAATTTAACACAGACCATTATGGTAAAAATTAGTGTTCATATCAAATAAACATTTGAAAAATCATGTCATTGTTGACATCCTGTAATGATATCTCTGGATAAATTGAGGTCGTCTGATTGGTCCGTGTTCAGTCTGTTTAAGAAGAAATAGCTTTAATTCATTAGAATTTTTAGAGAAGTTGGTAGCTAAATTAGAGTTCAGTTGAACAGAATAGTAAAATTTATATATTTTGTACTTAAAGTTAGTATTATACATATATAGAATGTATGCAAAGTTATACCAGTATATAAATATATAATTTACTTTGTATGATATATAAAAACTTTCTTGGTGGTTAAAGTATTTTGTGACACCTTTAAGGTAGAATATGCTATAAACAAAAAAAATACAGGATATTTTGCGTATTTTACCATAATGTACTGTAGTTTATATTGTGTTATTTCCAAAATTATAGGTGACTGAGCAAGTTTTCAACATATAGGTTGTGAAAAATTGACACATTTCTTAATTAAGGAATATACAGTGGAAAATCATTATGTGAATATAAAGAAAAACAAAATGACAGAATTTTGAAATAAAGTATGAAATGCGTTTAGAAAACATATTAAAAAATGTGGTCACCATTTGTTTTTTATTGCTATAAAAAAAAAATATAAGAAATCCACTGTACATTCCTTTATAAAATTATGTTAACAGGGTTATCTCCCCTTAGAATGCTATTTTTATTTCTTTTAATTAATAAAAAAAAAAATTCTGTATTTGTGTGTGTGTAAAAATTATAGTAGTAATAATAAGATAAGAACACATTATTTTCTTCAATTAAATTGAAGAAAAGTCCAGTTAATGAATTGTATGCCTGCCTAAAATTTGTATATTTCATTGAAATGTAGACACATTGTTTTCTGCTATTTTAAGATCCACAATGGTGAAAAGTCCATATATTATCTTAAGTCCTTTCAAAACAAACAGCATGTTTATTGACATCATAGCAGTTGTTAGGAGATATGAGTCAATATTATCTTGTATCATTGATCAGTATTTCACCATCTACAAGATAGTATCCTGTAACCAATTACTATATTTCTTCTAACCAAACTCTTGTATCAGCATATTATCAAGTCTTAATTCAAGCTGCTTATGTTTCTTTGATTTCGGATAAGGAGGGGAAAAAATAGAAATTATTTTTTTCTGATTTAATTTTTTGTTTATTTTTATGATAACAAAATCGTTTGCCAGTTAGCACTAACTTGGTGAATTTGATAGAGGCACATACTTTTGAATCCTAAGAACATATAGCATTTACTTTAATTAACTCATTTCTAATTGTTGTCTTTAACTTAAGAGAGTAGTATCTGTACAGACTGTTAATATTCTTAGCTGTTTCTCCCATGTTAAATGGTATAAAGCAGTTTATATCCACTTTAACATTATGGTTATGATTTTTTTTTAAATTTAGTTTTCTGAAACAAAAAAGAAAAAAGTTCCACCTCATATTGGTATTTGTATCATAAACTTTTATAATCAGAATGAATTATTTCGTTGTTTGAAATGACTTAATAGAATGTATGGTGATGGAATGATTTTTAGATTTTAAATGTATTTTTTTTTTTATTTACAGTTACGTCCAACACCTGGTAAATACACCTGGGATATCCATGGTAGGAGACATCGTAATGTAAGGATTAAGGTAGGTCTCTTCTGTCTATATATTTCACTTTTCTCAGATTTTTGATGAAAGAAACCATAGTATGAAAGGGAAATAACAGACATTAAAAACCTGACCTTTCAACCAGTAGCCGGGGGCCTCGGTGGCTGAGTGGTCTAAGTAGTTACTACTGTAATCACTAGCCAGTTAACACTGAGGTTGTGAGTTCGAACTCCGGGCACACCGGCTTCCTCCACCAATAAAAACTGGCCACCACGAAATAGCCCAAAAGCGGTGCTTAAAAGTGGCGTTAAAACACCAAAAATCAAATCAACCAGTAGCCAGTGCTTTGGTTCTTGCATGGTTTAAAAGATGCATGGAATTACTCTTGTACTAAAGGCTAATAGCACCTTACAACATATCAAAATACAAAAAAAAAAAAACCCTCTGGTTGAAGACAACTGTAATTTAGTAAAAGCAATTCCAATGTCCACTTGATAAATAGACCCAAGTAACACACTAAATGGTCTTAAATAAAAACTACATTTGGGGTTACTGTCTTGTTGAAATATATCCAAAATCCCTAATTTATATATCAGACAAGAGGGGGTTGGGGTCTGAAGTGCATATCAAAATAAAACTATTTACGAATAACATTACACAAAAAATTTATGTAGCTTTTTAAATCTTGTCATGATTGACCTTTTTAGCTTGTTTTGTCATAACATATTTATGATTCGTTTATTTAAACATAGTAAGTACAAAATTGTATATAGATTATGATACAGAAAAAAACAGCAATTTTAAATGCTAGGTCTATTTCTATTTTATTTCAGGGTAAAAGTCGTGATGATAGTTGTGACAGTGCATACACTACAAGGACAAATTCAATGTCATCTGATTATCAGAGGTAAAAAAAAAATCTTTATTCAGTTATCTTTTCCTTTTAATTTTTCATCTTTTTCTGAACATATTCAGGTTAGTAATTGTTTCCCTACTCACGTTGTCAGTGTCTCCAACATTTAAGTTCAATCTGTTGTGAAAGTTTGTTTAGACATCTATGACTTTGTTTACTTTGAGCACAAAAATGTCTTATTTTTCAGGAATCACATGGTCTCATTTAATGTTATATTATTTTGTGCCCATTTTCATATTTGAAGAAGGATTTTGTTCTAATGCTCTAGATAAAATTTTTAATGCCAATTATTATTGAAATAGTGTTTTTTGCAGAACCTCTTTTTATTTCTTCAATAAAAACATTTGTATTAGGTAAAAAAACTTTGTTGAATTTAGGGAGCATCTGTTGGCTTGGTTGAAAAAAATGTATGTAAAGTGAATGAGAAAAAAAAATAATTATCAGTGCCAAATAAATATAGTAACATAAAAAAGGATGAAAAAATAATTATAATTTTGTTATTCATGGGATTTTTGTCGAGCCTGCGACTTTTGTTGCAAAAGCGAGACAAAGCGATCCTACATTCTGTCGGCAGCGTTCACAAATATTCACTCTGTGGTTAAAGTTTTTGAAATTTTAATAACTTTCTTAAACTATCCTGGATTTCTACCAAACTTGGACAGAAGCTTGTTTATGATCATAAGATAGTATCCAGAAGTAAATTTTGTAAAAAAAAAATCCTGTTTATCCGTATTTTACTTATAACTGGACTTAGTTTTTCTGCCAGTTAACATTACATTCACTCTGTGGTTAAAGTTTTTAAAATTTTAATAACTTTCTTAAACTATCCTGGATTTCTACCAAACTTGGACAGAAGCTTGTTCATGATCATAAGATAGTATCCAGAAGTAAATTTTGTAAAAAAAAAAAAAAAATCCTGTTTATCCGTATTATACTTGTAAATGGACTCAGTTTTTCTGCCAGTTAACATTACATTCACTCTGTGGTTAAAGTTTTTAAAATGTTAATAACTTTCTTAAACTATCCTGGATTTCTACCAAACTTGGACAGAAGCTTGTTTATGATCAAAAACTAGTATATAGAAGGAAATTTTGTAAAAATTTATTTCCTGTTTTTCTGTATATTACTTTTGAATGGACTTAGTTTTTCTTCCAGTTAACATTACATACTGTCTGCAGTTAAAGTTTTTAAAACATTTATTAGATGCAAAAGTAGGCGAGACACTGGGTTCTGCGGAACCCTTACAAATTTTATGTATAAAGACACTACATAAATCATTCAATGAAAAACAGATAATAAATGCCTTGATAGGAACAAGCAATAAATCATAAATTAAAAAATCCTCAAAATTCTGTCTCTACTCAACCATAAAAATTGGTAAATAAATGCATCCATGGTATATTTTGTTAGCAAATATTGATTGATTGATTGATTGGTGAGTGTTGAATGCTAATTTCATCACTATTGTCTATTTCTTGGTAGTCAGTTTTTATTGGTGGAGGAAACAAGGGATAATATACTGTAGTTAGGTTTCATGTGTACATATTTTCTGTTTATTCAAATTAAAAAGTTTAAAAAAGATTACTGATTATACCATTATATTTAATACAGAAGGAAAATTGCAAGAGATGAATACAAGCCAAGACCCCCACCACCAAAGCAGGAACAGGAGGATCAACGAATAAATGATGTGTTTCTAACTCCTACAACTAAACCCCATCAGAAAAGACGAATTCATATCATAAACAGGGATGAACCTGTTGACGATGAAGTACTGAGGAATTATGGGACACAGACTCAAGATAATGTTGGGATACAAACAGAGAAACGATTAAATGATGATTATGATCAGGTAAAGTTTTCTATATGATACAGTGACTATAGAAAAAAAAGAGTTGTGGTATGACTGCCAATGAGACAAGGGTGTAAATTACTACACATCACCCTACGGCTTTCAACAAAGGACAAAACCCCAACCGTATAATGACCTATAAAATGCCCCAGAATAACAATATGTTTGAGTTTGAATAGTAATAGCATAATTCTTTGAAAGTCTTACCATCTAATGTTACAAATAAATGTAGATTATGCAGTTCATCAAACTTACAAAGGGCTCTTAGACATTCCTTCTCAAAGTTTTCTTTCTTTTTGAACACTTTGAAAATCTAATGTTATTATAACAATTTGTGATCTTGTATGCTGATTTTAAAATGTGCAACATGTTTTAGAACAAATAAAGATGCTAATACCAGTACTTTTTTAATTAACTGTATGAAAACAGGCATTCAAAAATTAACCAATGAGAGAAAATTCATATAGAATAGTATATATAGTACTACCCCCATAATAATGTGTATTTTGTCATTAACCAATCATTGACATTAGAATATCTGCTTTGGATGGTGCTTGTTCTCTGTAACGATTTAGCCATAAAGTTCTTTGATTAGCCTGGTATATTTAAAAAAAAAATAGGTGTTAAACCTGGCTTATGACATTAAGGTGAAAGTGTGTCATTAAGCCACAATTTTATTCAGGTTTTCCTAAAGACTTTATTTAGAAATTTAAAAGAAATTATCAGTAACACGTCAATTTAAATTTTTTGGTGAATTTGAATGATCAAATTAACCCTAAAATGTAGATTTTTCTTATTCTTTTAAATTGCCCTGAGGTAATGAATAAAATATATATGTGAATATAAATCTGACAGATTATAGAACAATGACCCAAAAAAAAAAAATCAAATGGAGGTGGTGACATCATGAAGTAGATCATTGCAGCTTAGTTATGAATATTTTGAGGAAGGGAATATTCTGGGCCTCAGAAAGTTAATCTGTTTCTCAAAATCTAGAGATTGAGTTAACTACTTTTATTGTCCTAAACTAACTTTATCAGTATAGTAAACAAAATTTAATTTGTTTAGGACGAGGACGAGGTGAAACAGGGTGACTGGGGAGAATATCAAATCTACGTCAAAACTGGTGAAAACATTGGTGCTAGTACAAAGGCTGATATTAAACTAACTGTGTATGGTGATAAAGGAAGATCTAAAGAATTCTATCTGGACAGATCAAAACGACATAAAATTACATTCCAGAAAGGGAAGGTAAGTGGATACGTATGACAATTCAATTTCTCAGGGGTAAAATGAAAAAAGAAAAATACTTCTCAAATTATTTAGATGTTTATATTATTCTTTTAATTTTTTATGTAATGAAGGTCAATGAAAAAAAATTGATGTAACATAAGATGCTCAACTATTTTGATAGATGAAGAATAGGGAGAATAGGAGGGTTTACATGTCAAACCCATAAAGACACATTTTTTATTCATGATACAGGTATACTGTTATTTATATAAAATATATATTCCATTCTTAAGAGATATTTCAGTTTCTGTAAAGAGAGAATCAAATGAAACTCCACGAATTTATTTTTTACTGATACCCTTACCTTAAATCATATCTTGTTCTCATAGTATTTATAAACTGTTTCTATTTGCAGGAAGATCTATTTATGAAAGCTTTTCCACATGTCGGTAAATTAAAGAAGATCAGAATAGGACATGATAGAACTGAACTAAGTAAGTACTTAATGGAAAGTTTAAGGAGTTTACTAAAATAAATGTTTGCTGGTCCTTTTTGTATCTGAACTGCTTTATTCCTAAATATCCTGCTGGTTTAATCGCTTGTGATTTCCCAAACTCTTGGTTGTCTAGATAAAAATATCTGTTAATTGTAGAATTATGAAATTCTACCATAAATAATGCATATACAAATTTACAAATACAGGGGTACATCTTAAACTTGTCTTTGGCACTAGTTTCTCGCTCATCATGATAGACCTTAGAGTGATTTCTTTGCTTTATCAAATTCCTTACATATAATTTGTACATTCCACTGGTGTTCATTTTATTTTAATTCGACATATTAGAATCTGTCATACCGATATAAAGAAAAAAGTTTTGTTAGTTCTATGAGAAAGTTTGTTAACATATGTTAATTATAATTTTCAGGTTATGCATGGTTTTTAGAGAGTGTAACAATATATGATATGAGAGATAAGAGAGTATATGATTTCCCATGTAAACAATGGTTGTCAGGTCAGGACGGGGACAGAAACACATACAGAGTCTTACCATTGACAAATGATAGAGCATTTATAGAAAGTAAGTACTGTTGTCAGGTCAGGATGGGGACAGAAATACATACAGGGTCTTACCATTGACAAATAATAGAGCATTTATAGAAAGTAAGTACTGTTGTCAGAAAAAGATTGGGATAGGAAAATGTACAGGGTCATACCATTGACAAATGATAGAGCATTTATAGAAAGTAAGTACATTTTGTACTATGTCAAGTTTGTTATCTATGATCTGAATTTCTACCAGTGTGTGGTATGTATGCTTTAATTTTGAATGCTGATAGTCGAACAAATAAATATTGTTTGATTGTTGTTTGCAGAATGTCCAGTGATAACAAAAGAAAAAAATGAATTAGGTATACATGGATAAAATTCTATAAAAATTGAATGAAAGAAGTGTAAGAATATTGTACTGCACCATTGGTGTTACTGTATTTATAAAAGATATGATTTAAGGTAAAGATCAATGAGACCGCAACCCAACAACCATGTATATTTTTTTTAAATGTTTTATAGAAATATTTTATAAAATATTGAGAAAGCATTGCAGTTATTTCCTAAAATGATGAAACAGCAACCCAACAGGCAACAACCATACGTAGTTATTAAAATATTTAAGTGATACATTTCATGAAACGACAGTGTATAATGAAATAATTTCCAAATATTATAGAATTTGAAGAGGAGAGTGATTCTGAGGATCAAAGAAGACGTTCCAGCTCTTCATCATCATCTTCATCAAGCGACTCAGAGGGTGAAATTGATAAAAATAAAGGTACCAAAGTTAGTATATTAGTGCGTCGTAGTAGCAAATCTAGAAATGGATCTGAGTCAGACTCTTCAACATCTAGTAGCTCCAGTAGCTCAACTGTAACTAAGGAAGAGAGCAAAGGGAGGCCACTTTCTCCTATGAAAAAAACAGAAGAAGATGACTTTTTTGATACGAGGGGGCAAGGGCCTACAACATATACATTCAGAGAGCGTGTAACAGAGGACAGGAAGCATGATGATTCTTCAACTACAGATACCAGCACAACACCAAAACATGTTTCTGTAGACACATCATCAGAAACAGAAAGTAGTTCAACAAAACCAGAACAAGATTTCATTCATGGATATAAGGTATAGCTATTTAGTCACTTTAATTATTATTTCCACATATTGTGCCAGTTTCAATGGTATTTTATTGTTCTGCTTTATTTTTATCACAAATTCCTATGTTTATGAATTATGAAAAAGTTAAAAATTCTAACTTAGTTTCATACAGTTGGCATATTTATTGAAATGATTACAACAGTGAAAATTGAAATAAAAATCTCTAACAAAAACTGTTAAATCTAATTCATCATATCACCATTGCTATTAGGTTGGTTTAGAAGCTGTACAAGAGGAGGGAAGAAAGAAAAAGGATGAAGAAAATGAAGATAGAAAGAAAGTGTTACGAGGTCCTACCATACAAAGTGCTGCAAAAATTGGAAGTTTGAAACGGGTCCAAGAACTACTGCAATATTTCCCAGAAATGATTTCGTAAGTAATATCTTTAGACAGGTTGATTTTTCTTCTATAAAGAATCTCATTACATTTTTGGTGTAGTAATTGGTGTGGATTATTTACGAAAGAAGTATGCAACTTCAACAAAGTTTATTGAGTTAAACCTGACAAAGGCGCATTTTTGTATGGTTACCTGTGCTAGTAGATTTTTTATTTGGACTGAAAACAAATTTTTTAAATGTTGCCATAAAAGATTAATTTTAATATTACACAGTACCAATTTATTTTCTATTACTGTTGAATATTCACTCTGTTTTTATATATAACTCTTGTGTGAACTAGTTAGTACATGAAGTAATTGATATCAGTGTTTGTTGATATGCGGCTTTCTGATGAAAATTGATGCTGTTCTTTCATATGCTTCATGTTTCGAAATCAATAAATATAGGTCAATTGCCATTTTAGACAAAAATATTTGTCCAAATTTTGTCTGAAACGTAATGAAAATTTATATTATATGAAGACCTTAATACAGAGTTGACTGTGCTCATATCTTTTAAGCAGGATTTACAAGAAGTGACATTTCCTCAAAAGGAAAACTCATTGAAATATCATCAATACCTCTCTGAATGGACACAACTGTTGTGTTTATGTAATCACATTTTCATTTTATTGTATGTTTTCATTTTAATCAACTCCATTATTATTAATGTTATCATAATTCTCGGCTCCTGCTATATAATTTTTGTATGAGAAGCTATATAATCCTGATTGTGAATTTGTATTTTAGACAACGGGATGAGATAGGAATGACTCCTTTACATATAGCAACAAAACATGGGCAGCTAGAAGTTGTCAAATGGTTAGCAGTCAATGGATCCAGTTTGAATGAGGAGACACCTACAGGATATACACCGATACACTTAGCTGCTATGTCTGGCCATGTTAATTGTTTAATGGTTAGTATATAGGTGGATAAATATTTATACATTTAAAAGCTATGTCAGGTCATGTTTGCTGTTACATGGTTAGTAGGGCGATATACACCTAGCAGCTATGTCTGCTTGTGTTTGCTATTAAATGGTCAGTATGCATTTTTTTCATTTGGCTGTAATGTCAAGTCAAGTAAGCTTGTAAATGGTCAATATGCGTCTTAACATTCATCTGTTATGTCAAGTCAAGTTGGCTATTAATGGTTAATACTCCCCTTTACATTAAGCTGTTATGTCATGTCATGTTCACTGTAAATGGTTTATACTTGCCTTTACATTAAGCTGTTATGTCATGTCATGTTTGCTGTAAATGGTTAATACTTGCCTTTACATTAGCTGTCATGTCAGGTCATGTTTGCTGTTAATGGTTAATACTGGCCTTTACATTTCGCTGTTATGTCAGGTCATGTTCACTGTAAATGGTTTATACTTGCCTTTACATTAGCTGTCATGTCATGTCATGTTTGCTGTTAATGGTTAATACTGGCCTTTACATTTCACTGTTATGTCAGGTCATGTTCACCGAAAATGGTTAATACTTGTTTTTACATTGAGCCTTCATATCAGGTCATGTTTGCTGTAAATGGTTAATACTTGCCTTTACATTAAGCTGTTATGTCATGTCATGTTCACTGTAAATGGTTAATACTTGCCTTTACATCAAACTGTTATGTCATGTCATGTTCACTGTAAATGGTTAATACTTGCCTTTACATTAAGCTGTTATGTCATTTCATGTTCACTATAAATGGTTAATACTTGCCTTTACATTAAGCTGTTATGTCATGTCATGTTCACTGTAAATAATTAATACTTGCCTTTACATTAGCTGTCATGTCAGGTCATGTTTGCTGTTAATGGTTAATACTTGCCTTTACATTCAGCTGTTATGTCATGTCATGTTCACTGTAAATGGTTAATACTTGTTTTTACATTGAGCCTTCATGTCAGGTCATGTTTGCTGTAAATGGTTAATACTTGCCTTAACATTCAGCTGTTATGTCATGTCATGTTCACTGTAAATGGTTAATACTTGCCTTTACTTGAAACTATTATGTCATGTCATGTTCACTGTAAATGGTTAATACTTGACTTTACTTTAAACTATTATGTCATGTCATGTTCACTGTAAATGGTTAATACTTGCCTTTACATTAGGTGTCATGTCAGGTCATGTTTGCTCTAAAAGGTTAATACTTGCTTTTACATTTAGCTGTTATGTCATGTCATGTTTGCTGTAAATGGTTAATACTTGCCTTTACATTAAGCTGTTATGTCATGTCATGTTCACTGTAAATGGTTAATACTTGCCTTTACATTAAGCTGTTATGTCATGGCATGTTCACTGTAAATGGTTAATACTTGCCTTTACATTAAGCTGTTATGTCATGTCATGTTCACTGTAAATGGTTTATACTTGCCTTTACATTAGCTGTCATGTCAGGTCATATTTGCTGTTAATGGTTAATACTGGCCTTTACATAGCTGTAATGTCATGTCATGTTCACTGTAAATGGTTAATACTTGTTTTTACATTGAGTCGTCATGTCATGCCAAGTTTGCCGTAAATGGTTAATACTTGCCTTTACATTTAGCTGTTATGTCATGTCATGTTCACTGTAAATGGTTAATACTTGCCTTTACATTAAGCTGTTATGTCATGTCATGTTCACTGTAAATGGTTAATACTTGCCTTTACATTAAGCTGTTATGTCATGTCATGTTCACTGTAAATGGTTAATACTTGCCTTTACATTTAGCTTTTATATCAGTTCATGCTTTCTATTTAATGGGTTGCATGAGGAATTAGCTGCTGCTTGTTGTCATATTACTTGTGTGTATTGTAAGTGAAATATTTCTTATGTGGATTTTCAAATTAACAACACAATAATTAAATTTCCAACATTTGTACCATGAGGAAGAACTTGCCAGATTTGATATTTACTGTCTTTGTTTTTACAGGTACTGGCAGCGCTAGGTGCAGCAATAACATGTCGATCAGCTGACAAGAAAACTCCCCTGTATCTAGCAGCAATGGAGTAAGTTCTAATAATCTTTTTACCAAACAATTTAGATGCCCTTTATTTGGTTATTTTTGTTTCGGTTTATTTTTTTTTATGAAACAGCAATCTAGATAGTAAAGTTGCTATAAATATTTAGAATTTAAAATGTGCTTTACCTTTTGTTTATAATGTGTCCTGTTGGTATGTGCTTCACAATGGAAATCTTTTTAAAAAACAGCTACTTATACCTCACATGTCCTGGAAGTCTATTGGTGAACATTATACTAGAAGCTATTTTACCCCAAAAGGCATGTGAATCAGTCAACAACAAAAAAAGATTTTTATTAAAGTCAGACATACTATCCAACTGTAGATACAAGTAAATGAATATCCTTAATAAAATATAATATATGTGCAGTACAAGCAAGATTGACCCACATTATAGATAATATCCATTGTGTAAAATATATATAAGTTTGGAATTTTACTGAATTATCATTTTCTTCTTTTAGGGGACATTTAGAGTGTGTTAAGTGGTTAATTGCAAATAGAGCCAGACTTGATGTTAAAGATGACATGGGTCGTACACCACGTCAGGTTGCCGAGGAATATCAACACAGAGCTGTGGCAGATTTTCTTAAAGCTTGTGAGGATGAGATGAAAGACCCAAACAGTGGATTTGCTCAAATGAGAACAAACGATCAGAAGTAAGAGATTGGACTCCTAAACAATTTAGTTATGATGTAAAACTTATACCTCATGTACAAAGTGTAATATTGTTGTAATGCCTGAATCTATGAATTCTTAATTTTGTGAAAGGTTGAGGTAAAGAATAAGTTTCTGATAAGGACAAATTTGAGGATTTTAGGAAACATAAAATGGAAATACATGTATCTTATTAAATGTTAATAGTTTAGAATGTTTAATGTGAAGCTTTGCATGAAGTACATAGCTCAGTATGGATAAAAAAAATAAATATATATTTCCAGATATAGAATGCTTCCAAAAAAGGTAATTTCTTAAATTGAATTTAATGTTTTGGAAATTTATTTTTATACTTTTACTAAATGATCATTATTATGAAAACCTCAATAAAATCACTTCACTGGAAACATATGGTGCTTTGAAGTGAAAAGTTCACATGGTATAGTTTGTCATTGTTGATATATCAAGCACATTTCACACAAAATAAAAAAAAAAAACAGTTATGGTTGTCATGGTAACACAGCTGCACATTGTTTTTGTAAGACACAAAATATTTATTTTTGTAGTGGGAATGGAAGTTCCAGTCCAAAAGAAACCAAGGACATGTGGAAAGATGATGAGGTAGCAGTGTTAGACTAGAGCTATCATAATTTTATATAAGTGGCCTATATTCTCTACATTGAGATATTTAACCTAACTAAACATTTAATGATTATTAGCTCACTTGTTCTAAAGGATGAATGTGAACTTTTGTCATTGTTTGGCATGGTCTGTCATTCGTATTGTTAAATTTCAACATTCTTATAGATTGATCTTGACCTCAATTTCTAAATTATGGCCCAAGGATCTCAAATCAAGACTATAGGTCTTTACATCTTAGTATAATAAATAATGGGCAAATAGGTTTTATAAGATATCACTGGATTGCTTTCGTTAAAAAATTACTGAAACTTCAGGAGAATATAACAAAACAAGTTAAAGAGATAAATTTGTTGATATCTTTTTTGTTAACAAAAGAGATGCAATAACAAGAAAAAATCATATATTTTGGGTAATAACTATTAAGCAAGAGGGTTGGGTTAAAGGAAGTCAATGTTAAAAGTGTTCACTCAATCTATGAGAACTTTTGATTTCTACTTGAGTACTTCTATAACCAGCAAAGAAAAGTAAGAGTACTAGAAAAATTAATTAAAAAAAAATCTAACTATAATTTAGTCTTGTCCTTTTACTTCACATGCCCTTAGGAAAAGAGAGGCAAAAGATACCAAAGGGACATTCAAACTCAGAAGTCAAAAATAAACTGACAACACCTTGGCAAAAAATGAAAAAAGACCAAAAGACAAACAACAGTATACAAAACACAACATAGAAAACTAAAGACTCAGCAATATGAACCCCACCAAAAACCAGGGGTGTTCTCAGGTGCTCCAGAAGGGTAAGCAGATTCTACTCCACATGTGGCACCTGTAGTGTTACTCATAGCAAGTTTCTTTTTACAAGAGCACACTCCTATGCTATACTTCCTCTTGTTACAGAAATTTCTATGAATTTCTATGATATATTTTTAGACCACATTACTTTAAATAACTAGTTGAAGTGGTATGTAAGATATAAGAATTAAAAAAAAATCTCTTTCCAAAAAACATCGACATCTACATGATATATCCTCAACCCCAATAATTTGAAGATTACAAGAACATATGAAATTTGTTGCAACACTAAATTTGATCAAAAATGTGTAAATTGAAATTTAGTTGCTCTTAAACTTATTAAAAGAAAAAAGAAGTCAAACATTTGTCTGAATTTCATTTTGTAGAAATAATGCATGCCTCTTTTATTTCTGGAAAAAGGTACATGTAACCTTAATAGCACATTGCTTTTAATAGGTTCATAACCAGAATCCGGTATATTCATTTGCATATATGAATGACAAATTTAATCATCCTCTTTTCAAACAGTGTTAAGCTTAAACTAATTGGATTTTGTTTTATGATAATTAAATATTTGAAAAATGCATAGTTTTATTTGGCTTGCAGAGTTTACTATGAAGATGGTTAATAAATAATAATGGTAATATTGTTTTTTTGCTGTGTTATATTTATAGTCAGCTAGAACTAACCACACTGAAAGTAATAATCAATCATTCTTATGTCAACCTTCTATTCTAATTTGTATACATAGTACTTTTGTATTAATGTAATTGAACGATAATTTATATTGCTAAAAACAGAATCTATTTATAAATGACCAGAACCTCATGTTTGATGGACATATAATTACAATGTTCAAATATGTGATAAAATTTTGAAAAAAAAAGAGCTTCGTTTAGTATAAACAAATGTCCTATTTAAAAGTTGAGAAAAGAAACTATCAACTTTAATTAGTGTGAAAGGGCCCCAGGATAACTGTAAATTCAGAAATTATTGCGTTCATTTATTATTGCGATTGTTAAAGAATGGACAAAAATGTGAGTTTAATTATTGCGATTTTAGGAAAATCTGCATACAGATATATGTATGAGATATCAAACTGTGACGTCTTATTATTGCGATACTCACCCAGTCGTATTACATGTATTCGCATTAATAAAAACCTCACAATAATTTCTGAATTTACAGTAAATTGATTTTTTGGTCATTTAGTCCATAGCAAGAAAGTTTTATTATTTTACTAATTTAGTGTATATCATATATCTTTTACCTTTCAGTGTGGTAGTTTTTGTCTTTTCATGCGATACTTTGCATCCTATATGCTTATTTTCTAGAGTTATGCGTGTTCTAATTTCAGGAATCCTCAAAGTTGGCAGATAGCGAATCAGAAGATGAAAAATCACGCTCTAGTCAGAAAGAATTAGAGGTCTGATTTATTCCCCTTAAACATTATTTCACAGCTCTAATTGATTTTGAAATAAATAAAAAGATTGGAAATCTCTTATTTAAAAATGAAGAGGGGATTATTGTTCATAATATAATTGCTGTCAAAATTTTTTTTAAGAAATATTCAAGTTTGTAAAATACTCTATTGTGACAAGTAAACTGAGTTATAGAAGGCTCATAAAATTTAAAATAAGCATATTGCCTCTAAGAACATTTATAATCAGTACTGTATCTGCTATAAAACTGTACCTTTTATCATTTTTAACACCCTTTAGAAATAATCCATCTTATTGTATATATCAACATAACATATCCAATAGAACATAACAAAAAATAGTACAAATATAGCTTCAAAACAATTTTTGTCTCGCCTGCAACAAAAGTGGCAGAATGTGAGCCATAGGGATTGCAATCTGTCAGTTGCAGCAATGGCATAAACTATTTGTTTAAAGCTTTATATTTCAGTGGGTAGAAGACCTGGATGCTTCATACCTTGTATGCAGATACCTTATGTTACAAAGTTACTGTCTTTCATGTATCCATTGTCCTTTACCTCATTTTTATAGTTTTTGTCAAGACTGCGACTTTTTGCAGAAAGCTCGACATAGGGATAGTGATCCGGCAGCAGCCGCTGCATTAGCTAACTTCTTAAAAGCTTTATATTTTCCAAGGTGGAAGACCTGGATGCCTTATATTATGAAGTTTCCGTCTGTCATATGTCCATTGTACTTGACCTCATTTTCATGGTTCAGTGACTACTTGAAAAAAAAGTTAAAATTTTTTGTAATGTTAATTTCTCTCTTATTATGAGTAATAGGATAACTATATTTAATATGTGCGTACCTTGCAAGGTCCTCATGCCTGTCAGACAGTTTTCATCTGACCTCGACCTCATTTCATGGATCAGTGAACAAGGTTAAGTTTTCGTGGTCAAGTCCATATATCAGATACTATAAGCAATAGGTCTTCTATATTTGGTGTATGGAATGATTATAAGGTGTACATGTCCAACTGGCAGGTGTCATCTGACCTTGACCTCATTTTCATGGTTCAGTGGTCAAAGTTAAGTTTTTGTGTTTTGTTCTTTTTTTCTAATACTATATGCAATAGGTCAACTATATTTGGTGTATGGAAATATTTTACAATGTACATGTCAGTCTAGCAGGTTTAATTTACCTTGACCTCATTTTCACGGTTCATTGCTCAGTGTTTAGTTTTTGTGTTTTGGTCTGTTTTTCTTAAACTACAACCAATAGGTCAACTATATTTGTTGTATGGAAGGATTGTAAGGTGTATATGTCTGTCTGGCAGGTATCATCTGACCTTGACCTCATTTTCATGGTTCATAGGTCAATGTTAAGTTTTCATGGTTAAGTTTGTTTCTTAGATACTAGAAGCAATAAATCAACTGTATTTAATGCATAGATTGATTGTAAGGTGTACATGTCTGTCTGGCATGGTTCATCTGACCTTGACCTTATTTTCATGGTTCATTGGTCAATGTTTAGTTTTCCTGTTTAAGTTTATTTCTTAGAAACTATAAGCAGTAGGTCGACTATATTTGGTGTATTGAATGATTGTAAGGTGTACATGTATTTCTGGTTTGGTTTATCTGACCTTGACCTTAGATTCTTGGATCATGTTAAGTTTATGTAATACTTTTAGCAAAGCTTTATATTTAGGACTATCAACATAAAATCAATGGTCAGTAAAGAAGGCGAGACATTTCAGCGTGTGCACTCTTGTTCATGTGAATTTCTTACTTATTATGAGTAATAGGACAACTATATTTGGTATATAGGTACCTTGCAAGACCTACATGTCAGTCAGACAGGGTTCACCTGACCTTGACCTCATTTCATGGATTGGTGATCAAGATTAAGTTTTCGTTGTCAAGTCCATATCTTAGAAGTCAACTATATTTGGTGTATGGAATGATTGTAAGGTGTACATGTCCAACTGGCATATTCATCTGACCTTGAGCTCTTTTTAATGGTTGTAATAATGATAATAATTATAATAAATTCTTTATTTAAAAAGGGTAAACACAATTAGTTTCAACAAACTTAACTTTCCTGAGGCCCTCATTGGACAATGGTTCATTGGACAATGTTTAGTTTTTGTTATTTGGTCTATTTCTCAGATACTATAAGCAATAGAGCCATTATGTTTGGTGTATTGAATGATTGTAAGGTGTATATGTCTGTCTGGCCGGGTTCATATGATGTTGACCTCATTTTCATGGTTCATAGGTCAATGTTAAGTTTTTGTGGTTTTATCAGTTTATCAGATACATGTACTATGAGCAATTGGGCCATCATATTTGGTGTATTGAATGATTGTAAGGAGAACATGTCCAATTGGCATGGTTCATCTTACCTTGACCTCATTCTTATTGATTATTGATATTGTTAAGTTTATGTGATAGGTGTAGTAAAACCTTCATGTATACAGACCGTCAACACAAATTAAAAAAAAGTAAAGCAGGATAGACTTTTCAGTGTGTGCACTCTTGTTAAAGCTTTGCTTCTACAATAAAAAGGTTATTGCATAAATATTAGTGAATATTATCCCTTGTAGAATATATATTGCACGAGCAAGCTCGTTCAATAAAAAAATTTACTCAGGACAAAATTCACCAATATTCATGATATTACCCTATACTATACTTTTTAGGATTTATTCCAATAGCTTTATTATTGCTTGATTTTTAGAGCATAAATGATATTTTGTTGTTACAAATGTATGTACCTGGTATTTTAGATCTTTACATTGAGAAAAGTGATCATTGTCATAAGCACAATGTTAATAGGAGCTTAAGATGGGTAATGATGTTCTCCAAATGACACACTACTTATATTTATGCAATGAGACACTTTTTTTATGATAAAGAAAACATGTGTTAAGTTTGCTTGAACAAAGTTATGGAACTGCTTGGCTTACAACCATCAAACATTGCATAGTTTATGGAGGCATCCTGTAATGTAGGTCAGCATCCAGACAAAACTAAGTTGCTGTGACCTATATGCTCCGCTTGGATTCAATCTGGTCAGCAGTTATGTTACTGTATGAGACTGCATGAAATCTCACAGCTTCAAATGAAGAGTCAGTCACCGTAACCTATATTTGCTGCTTTTCTGGCATATAATTGAGGTCTAGTTTTTGTATGAATTCATTCCTTAGTTATATTGTTACTTATACCGGAATATAGGGAAAAAACTTCATATATTCCTGAACAGCCCCTGTAAGTAACATCAACATATCTTACCTATGCATTTTGATTATGCCCTGCCTACAAAATAAGAATGATAGTAGGGGGCATTACATTTCCTGTCTGTTCGGTATCAGGTCAAAGATTTGGTTTAAGATAATTTATCATGGAGTAATGGTCACATCACCTTGATACTTATTACACATGTTCATTATTATAGATTGAATTTTTTCCTTTCAAAGCTTCAAAAGAATGTGTAGTGATGCACAGGTTTATTAGCAGAATTAACGATTTAACTATTTAAGATAGAAATAGTATTTTGTGATGTTTTAAGAGATTTCATCACTTACCCAGTGTTCAGACATAGGTGGTTAATCTAACTCTTGATAAAATATCATGTTTCATAGATATATTATTTATAATAATTGTTTTTTTCTCCTATAGGAAAAGAGAAAACTGTATGAAGAACAACACCAGAAAATGGAAAAGACTGGAGAATCATTTTTAGACAGTATAAGAGATGAAGTTGACCATGAGTCTTAATTACATTTAAAATAGTTATTCTCTGACATTATATCAGGTTTTGGTAAGATGAAGAAATGTTATGCTTTTTAATACTTAAGTAGACAAGCTTGCCAAACATGTTTGACAAAATTTATTGGAATATTATTGTTATGATATATTGTTAAACTTTTTTTTCTGACTTGATATGATTGTTAAATAGAGTGTAGCTGCTACTGCCAGTATGTTGATAAATTATATTTTGTATGAGTCCGTCCATCTAACTATTTGTTAACAAGGGGCATATTCAAGGGAGCTCATATAGCACCCTGTAGATTGGGATTTTGTTTTCTAAAATCCATATGTTAAATGCCTAGAAATTTTAATCTTTTAACCAAAAATGTTAATCTTTTATAGTTTATTATTACCCTGACATTTTGTTTGGATATTTTTTCTGTTATATCTTATTTCTAAAGGATACTTAGTTACTTTGCTCCTCTCAAGAACACTTAGTTGATGTAGTAAAAATGTAGGTACAAGTTTGTATCAGGTCAATCCCAGAGAGAATTGTTCTTTATAGTGAACAAAATAATATATCAACCAGACAACTCCATTTCCAAACAATATTATTCTTGTGCTTATTTTATAGAAATAAACTACTCATAGATGTTTTACATAATCACAACTAAATCATGAATTTTTAATTATCAGGGTCTTTAAATAATTGTGTTATTTAAATAGTACTAAATGGTGGCAAATATAACATTTAAAAGTAATACAAGTTTGAAAATAGTTTATATCATATATTGAAATAATGAAAAATAATATGAAAAAGTATTTAAAGAAATTAATTTTTTTTCTATTTTTTTCTTTAACTTTTTAAATCTTTCTGTCTTCAAAACTATTTAATATACCTCTTGATAGAAAAAAAAACTATTTGGGTCCTTAGAGGTATTGTTTTGATCAGTGGCAGATCCAGAACTTTTCATAAGGGGGGGCCCGCTGACTGACCTAAGTGGGGGCCCGCTCCAGTCATGCTTCAGTGATTCCCTATATAATCAACCAAATTTTTCCCACTGGATCCGCCTATGTTGATGAATTTATCAACTTTAACTTTTTTGGGTAATATGCAGAAGATTTGAATGTATTATGAGATAAAACTTATGAACTAAACATTTTTAGCATTAACATTGTACCATATTAATATCTACACAAAATTCCATGTTAACCTTCTATGATCAATTTACTATCCATTCACATCCATTTCCTTTATTTGTTTTGAATGTACAGATGAACTGAGGAAGCTAAAACTTGATGTTTGTTGTTTATTTGTTATTCAGGGGAGATAACTTTCATTTGAAGTACCATTTGTTTGTGCTCAAGGACATGAGGCCAAAATAAATTTTATTGCTAGATGTATTGCAACCAGACTTAACGTAGACATTACACTGTATATAGCAGCACTCAATCATTATTATCTAGAAAAAATTTAAGGTGGCCTTAAAGCAAATCTGTGATATGAGTAATTGCATTAGTATTTATGATTGATTTTATTGAGTACTAAGTATAAAATGTAATCAATAAAAGAAGTATTGAGTACTAAGTATAAAATGTAATCAATAAAAGAAGTATTGAGTACTAAGTATAAAATGTAATCAATAAAAGAAGTAAATAATGGAAATAACAGAAAGTGATTTTTTACCCCAATAGGTTCACTTCTGTTCTTGTTTGACTTTTGTTGGTGTTTGTTTGTATAATTTATGTACAAAAAAGTCTTTTTAGGGAAAAGGGTTAGACATTTTGGTGAGGGAAAAGTGCAAATAAAATCATTCTGAACTAGCATTTATTTATTTGTCAATTTTGATTACTTGAAGTACTTCATTTTAATTGAAGTTATACTGTAAATTCAGAAACTATTGCGTGCAATTATTATTGCGATTTTTGAAGAATTGGCAAAAATGCGAGATCAATTATTGCAATTTCAGGAAAAACTGCATACAGACAGAACCATAGAATTCAGAATGCGAGTTTTTATTATTGCTAAACTCACCTAGTTGCATTAATTGCAATAATAAAAACCTCGCAATAATTTCTGAATTTACAGTAATGCTTTGCTGTGATCTATATTGAAGGTGATGAAGACAGTATATTTGGTTTATTATAACACATTACAGGCTTTTTGAAATTAAAAAAATATCACATAATTAATACAATGTATTATTATATGATACCAAAATATAGTTTTCTTATAGAAAGTAGGTATAAAGGGGATAAAATCATTTCATTTTTTTTTTCATTTGAATCATCAGTAAATAAGTAGAACTATATTCCATTGTTAAGCAGTGAGTATATTAATGGATTTGTGTGTTGTTATTTGTATGAATAACACTTCAAATGTTGCAGAGTATGAAAACCACCTGTCAGTATATTGCACTATATATGTGTAATGTAACACAAATTCATAATGTAAACTTATAGGGTTGCAACTATATAAAATATTTTGTTAATTGAGAGTGTTCTTCAGGGACATTGTAGTTGAATTAAAGATAATAAGGCTAATAAATATATATATGTAGTGAATTGCGTTTTAGAAGAGAAAGATCTACTGACTTTTAGAAATTGATATGTTTATCAGTTTTGTTTTTGAAGAATTTATTTTGCTATATTTATTTTAGAGTACGTTGTTAATAAGTTAATTTTGCTATTTTTTATTAACCATTTTTGAATTTTTAAGATACTCTGAAATATATCAAAGTAACAGTAAAACAGACATGGCATCTGCGTTCAAAACTGTAAATGTATACGTGAATTTTACCATACATGTACACATGTTCTTACCTTACCTATTACATTTACTGTTCAAATGTTTCAGCATCACATAAGATTGAAGTTAACGTTACAGTCTTTGTTCTGTTTTTAGTACTACCTTTCTGTATTATGTTATTTAATAGATATTCCAGCTTTTCTTTCGTCTGTAGTTGAGACATGTTAACTGTGATACGATTTCATCGTAGATGTTGTTCTTAAAAAAAGAGGATCTGAATAAAAAAAGAAAATTTATGATGTTCTTTTTTGTTTTTGCCAAAATGCATTATCATCAGAATTGAAGAAGAGGTACTTATACTAGGAATGACATATTGACAAAATATGTATGTAATTATGTATGTATGTATGGCTGTGATACCTGTAAAGTCTGTGATGTCTGTTTTTCAATCTAAATAGAGAAATAAGGTAGATGTATGGAACCGTATATCACTAAATATAAAGAACTTTATAGCTGTTATTCATTATGAAGTTCATGGAAGGTCCTGAACAAATGTCAAGACAAGAACTGATTTGATATTCATTGTTGAATTCTAGATAATCCAATGTATTCTTTAGTTTTTATGCCTCCTCTGTCTACAGTGGTAAAGGGCATTATGTTTTCTGGTCTGTGCTTCTGTCAGTCTGATTGCCTGTAAATCCATATTGTTTCATGTTAAAGGTTTTGGTTCAGGTAATTCAAAATGAAGTTGTTGTCACATCAACTTGAAACTTTGTACACATGGTCTTTGTGATGTGAACTTTTAAAATTATATACCAAATTAATGTTTTGACTCCAATCTCATAGTTCACTGAACATAGAAATGTGATAGCGTGAATTTTAAAGTTTTAAGTTAGGGTAGTTTACCATGAAGTTGTGGTCACCTTAACTTGAAACTTTGTCCACATGTTGATTGTGAAGTTATCTTTTTAAATATACTGTAAATTCAGAAATTATTGCGTGCATTTATTATTGCGATTTTTGAAAAATTAACAAAAATGCGAGTTTAACTATTGCGAATTTTGGAAAAGCTACATACAGATATATGTATTTGATATCAGAATGCGAGTTTTTATTATTGCGATACTCAAATAGTTGCATTATTTGCATTAATAAAAACCTCGTAATAATGGACATGAATATGATACTCCTTGCAAGGTATTGTGTCCTATGGACAAATATTCTTCTTTCTTATTTCTTATACAGTATAACTGACAGAAATCTTGCAAACAATATACAGTATGGGTTTTGCTCATTATTGAAGGTGTATATAAAAAGAAGATGAGGTATGATTGCCAATGAGACAACTCTCCACAATAGACAAAATGACACATAAAATTAACAACTATAGGTCACCGTACGGCCTTCAACAATCAGCAAAGCCCATACCGCATAGTCAGCTATAAAAGGTCCCGAAATGACAAATGAAAAACAATTTAAACGAGAAAACTAACGGCCTAATTTATGTACAAATTAATGAACGAAAAACAAATATGAAACACAGCAACAAACGACAACCACTGAATTACAGGTTCCTGACTTGGGACAGGCACATACAAAATGTGGCGGGGTTAAACTTGTTTGAAGGCGCCAACCCTCCCCCTAACCTGGGACAGTGGTGTAACAGTACAACATAAGAACAAACTATAAAAATCAGTTGAAAAAGGCTTAACTCATCAGATGGATACAAATAGAAATACTACCAACAATAAATGCTTCGCCAAGCGCAGCTGGATAGGACAGCAGAGGTCCAACCCTGAACAGTTGGGGTAAAAATGGACACAATATTCAAACTTGATACAGGTCTGAATTTGGATTGTAATTAAATATTTGACACATTATAGATTTCTGACACAGAATAAATGTAGTCAAAGAACTTAAAATTGGTTATATGATTTGAATTTATATTCAATTGAAGATTTCTTGCTTTTGTGCAATACACTGTGCTGTTGCGCAATACTTTGTAAATCTGTTTTCAGACTATATACAAAGAATTAGCAATTGTGACCCCCAATTTTTCTTTGGAAAATTGACAATTTCTTAAATCTTGAAGAAAAAAAGTTGACACCCCCCCAATAATTTTTTTTTACCCCCCCCCCCCCCCCCCCCCCTTTTTCCAAAAATAAATATTTGAAGAAATTTTCTTAAATCTTGAGGATAAAAAATTGTCCCCCCCAAAAATTTTTTTTGTTTACCCCCGCCCCCTTTTCCAAAAAAAAAATTACATTTAAAGAAAATTTTCTTTTTGTAAAATGTGGTACATTTTAAGAGACATCAAATACACTTAAACACAAGTTATTGTCTGAAAACTAGAATAAACTGCTTCGAAGAGCGCAGCTGGATACCCCCGCAGAGGTCCAACCCTGAACAGTTGGGGCAAAAATGGACACAATATTCAAGCTTGATACAGGTCTGAATTTGGATTGTAATTAAATATTTGATATATTATAGGTTTCTGAATAAATGTAGTCAAAGAACTTGAAATTGGTTATGCGAAAGATTTCTTGCTGTTGTGCAATACACTGCTGTTGCGCAATACTTAGTAAATCTGTTGTCAGACTACAATGTATAAACAAATAAAATCTTATAACTCGAAAACGTAAAATCGAAAATTTATAAAAATCAAAAGGGAGCTCACATCAATAGATATGAACAATTCACAAAAGTTTCATGAAAATTTGTGAAATTTTTTTTAAGTTATTGTCCGAAAACTGGAAAATCCCCCCTTTTTAATGAATAAAACCCCAAAACTCGGAAATGGTAAATCTGAAATTTATAAAAAACGAAAGGGAGCTCACATCAATAGATATAAACAATTGATCAAAGTTTCATGCATATTGGTTAAAGCGTTTTTGAATTAATGTCTGACATGTTGATGACGGACGGACAGACAGACAGACGGACTATAATACCATAATACGTCCCGTAAACGGGCGTATAAAAACGCTTGTTTGAGACCCTTTTTGGCCCCTAATTCCTGAATGGTTTGGACAATTACCCCAAAATGAATCCCAACCTTCAACTAGTGGTATTGAACCTTGTGGTACAACTTCAGAGTAATCAATATACTTATACACAAGTTATTGTCCTGAAACTAGAAAAATGCTTGTTTTGGGCCCCTTTTGGGCCCCTAATTCCTAAACAGTTGGGACCATCACCCCAAAAAACAATCCCAACCTTTCTTTAGAGGTATTGAACCTTTTGGTAAAATTTCATAGAGATCCATAAACTGAAACTTAAGTTATTGTCTGGGAACCAAATGTCTTCGGAAGACGACGATGATGCAGACGATGACGACGATGCAGACGACAATGACGCAGACGACGCCGACAATGACATGATAGCAACATACGACCCCAAAAATTTTTTGCGGTCGTATAAAAACACAAAGCGTGGATAGGTACTTGTACATCCCAACAACAAAGACACTTAGCACTGATCTGAGAGTACTCGCAGTTACTGACAGCTAGTTCAAAGCCAATAACAACTAATAAAACAAGAGTGCACACGCTGAAATGTCTCGCCTTCTTTACTAATCATTGATATTATGTTGATAGTCCTAAATATAAAGCTTTATTACAACTGTCACATAAACTTAACATTAACCAAGTAAACTAAACATTGACCAATGAACCATGAAAATGAGGTCAAGGTCAGATGAACCATGCTAGGCAGGCATGTACAGCTAACAATTCTTCCATACAACAAATATAGTTGACCTATTGCTTATAGTTTAAGAAAAACAGACGAAAACACAAAAACTTAACACTGAGCAATGAACCTTGAAAATGAGGTCAAGGTCAAATAAAACCTGCGTGACTGACATATAGATCATAAAATATTTCCATACACCAAATATAGTTGAACTATTGCATATAGTATTAGAAAAAAAGACCAAAACTCAAAAACTTAACTTTGACCACTGAACAATGAAAATGAGGTCAAGGTAAGATGACACCTGCCAGCTAGACATGTACACCTTACAATCAATCCATACACCAAATATAGCTGACCTATTGCATGCAGTATTAGAAAAAAGACCAAAACTCAAAAACTTAACTTTGACCACTGAACCATGAAAATGAGGTCAAGGTCAGATGACACCTGCCAGCTAGACATGTACACCTTACAGTCCTTCCATACAACCAATATACTAGACCTATTGCTTATAGTATCTGAGATATGGACTTGACCACGAAAACTTAACCTTGTTCACTGATCCATGAAATGAGGTCGAGGTCAAGTGAAAACTGTCTGACGGGCATGAGGACCTTGCAAGGTACGCACATACCAAATATAGTTATCCTATTACTTATAATAAGAGAGAATTTAACATTACAAAAAATCTGAACTTTTTTTTCAAGTAGTCACTGAACCATGAAAATGAGGTCAAAGACATTGGACATGTGACTGACGGAAACTTCGTAACATGAGGCATCCATATACAAAGTATGAAGCATCCAGGTCTTCCATCTTCTAAAATATAAAGCTTTTAAGAAGTTAGCTAACGCCGCCGCCGCTGCCGCCACCGCCGCCGGATCGCTATCCCTATGTCGAGCTTTCTGCGACAAAAGGCGCAGGCTCGACAAAAATCATGCATCTAAGACTAAATTATCAATCAGTACACATCCAATATCCAATGGATTTAGTGTAAAGATGTCATAAACAGTCAGAGAAAAACATGACCTTGTGCAATGCCAAGATACAGGTATCGCCAGATTGTAGAGCCATGAATGTGCATATGTATATACCAATAATATTTAGTTTGATTTTAATTTACTGATAACAAAATCAATATTAATTTCAATAAAAACAATATTCAAAGATCTAATTACAGTGTTGAATTGGTAAAAAAAAAACGAAAATACCAACACTCTACAAACACTACACTGAAAACTAACGACAGAGCAATTCAAGCCCATCAAAAACAAGGGGTGATCTCATTTCCTCAAAGAAGGCAGGTAGATTGTGCTTTACTATTGGCACCTGTTGTGTTGTGGTGAGTAGAAATCAGGTGAAGTTAAATTGAGTTATATGTCACAATCAAGACAAAGAGGACAGGATTGTGGCTAAAATGATTGGAACATATCCTTGTTATTAGTAAAATTTTGATGAAATGTTGTACAGGTTGAAGGAGTACCAGACATACTTCTGTTAAAAGTAGGTCATCTTGAATCTGTGTAGGTCTTCGTCTATTCTGGTTTTCTTAAGGTCAATTTCTTGAGTACTATAACTAATAGGTCAACTATACTGGTCTATAGAATAATTGTAAGGTGCACATGTCTGTCTGACAGGGTTCATCTTACCTTAATTCTATTTTCATTGTTCACCAAAACATTTAGGTTTCATGATAGGTGTAGTTTGGACTCTCAACCTACCATTCAATCATAATCAGTTAAGCAGGTGCACATTTCAGCAAGTCCTTTCTAGTAAACACCATATTTCATTTCTAATCTATTACTCTCAAACACCATAGACAGCAATCATGTATTTTGCTAATGAATAAGCACATGAAAATAAATCAAAGACTCAAATTGCAGGGTTTCTTAATCGATGGAGGATGGTCTATAATGAACATTACAAATATTTGAAAATGCAAAATGGGCCAAAAATCTTTAAACAGCTCCATAACTTCAATATGTGTGCAATCTTTTTGTGACGCTTCAAATATCTAAACTGTAGGAGGTGTTGATTACATAATAGGTACATGTACCGTCTTTTGAAATGTTTTGATGAATATGAATAAGTTTTCAAGTCTTGCCCAACTGCCTGTCACTGCTTATTCAGAGGGATTAAAAACTGTTAAAAAATAATCAACTAACAAAATCCTCTTCTATGCTGCATATTCTGAAATCCAATCGGCCTTTCATTCAATAAACTATAGTTTCCAATTTTATTAAACAAATATTTTTCAACAAGGTTAAAATGTTAAATTACAATTATGCATATGGGACATCTTTATAAAATATATATGTAGATATAATTAATATTATAAATATAATTATGATTGTAATAACTTCTATATACACAGTTTTGCTTTTGGAATAAAGTATTATTATGAATAGGTGTGCTTACACTGATTGATGCAGTAAACCTGCATCAATTAGAATAAAGCTGTAGAAATCCCTCCATAGTGTTTCTGATTCTGTTCTAACTATAATGCAGCTCTGAAGCATTTGTCCTTGACATATTATATTACTGGTAAAATTTTCACAAATATTTGTGGGAAAGAAATTTATATACATTAGAAGCTGGATATATATATATAAATTTTTTAACATCAATAATAATTATTTTCATCTTGAACAATTCTAGATTCAAATTTAATTATGAAAAACAAAAAAACTAAAATCTTCTATTTTAGCAATTCATCCTGAAACTGATGAAAATGACTGCATAGCTTTAAATGTCAAACTGATACATCTGTTTATTATCTTATTTGGAAACAATTGTTTTGAAACATGAAATGAAAAATCATAAATTTTAACTGTCATCTTCCTAAATGTCGCAAATGGAATAACCAATTTGATTCCAGATGACAAAATTCAATCACTATTGAACATATATTCAATATTTCTCTACATTACAATGCATTGGCACAAAATGAACACTAACAAATCACATATATGATAAAGGGTGCCATAGATAAATATAAGATCTATTTAATTTAATCACCTTCTTCCGACACATAACATATTGCTATATTGCACATGTATTGAACTACCATCTTCTCTAAATTTATGTAACCATTCTTGTAATGTGTAGTTAATCAATAGTTATTTACAACTCAACAACAACAAAAGTATAAATTGATTCATTAAAATGACAGACCTAATGAATGTTTCATCTTAAAAACAAAATTTGAAGGTTCAATTTCAAAGGTCCAGTTGTTTGTGGGAAGGGACCACTCAAAGTATTTTCAACTGAAATAGTTTTCTACAGTGGTTATTATTTGAATTTTGGTTGCAGCCAATACACATGAGTTTTCCTGTATGTTTCCAATGTCACAATGCTTTTGTTATGGTGTTAAAGTAACAGACAATTGTTCATTGACAGTACTTCCTAAACATGAACAGTTAGAATCGAATCGTTTTTATCAAATATTTTCTGTTTATTGCAATGACAAATATTTGTTTGGTTGCAGTAAGTAGTCATCTGATAAAGTATTACAATTATCCATCATTTCTATCATTCATCAAAACTTAAATCCAACAAATTGTTTCAGAGTTAATAATAAATAATTAGTACCTTCCCTAATGTCATGTTAATAGAACCAACAGAAAGTGGCTTCATTTTTGGGAACATTGTAAAAAATTGTGTACATAAATACCCTTATAAACATTCAACCGAAGTTTGGAACAGAATGCTCTGAATTTTTCTGAAGAAACTATTTGAATGTAATTCCCCACTATGCCCAACCAATATCTACATTCTTTGCAGTGTATTAAATTCTTCTATATACTAAGCCTATTTATTTTTAAAAAGATTTTCAAAATTTCTTTTCTCATACTGACCTGCCTTAATTAAACTCTGTTTTGTAGTAGAGATGTTAAGCAGGTTCATTGCATTTTATCATAAACTTACTTGCCTTAATAATCTATCTATAATAATGGATAATTTCTTGTTGATAATCATGGAACAGTAATCAAAATTCATAGAAACAAATGGCCAACATATCAACTCATTAGTCCCTGAGGATTCATTTTTAGCTATAATTACCGTTCCATGCAATGTGTAGCTTTCAATAAATCTTGTCATGGCAAAAAGTTTTCAAACAGCAAAACAAGCAGGGCAAGCAAAGTAGGTTTATAGCTAGTTAGATAGACATACTCAAAGGACTATTGCATAGACATTTTATCAAATCTCATATGTTGGCATTATTCATCATCTAAGCTATCAATTAAGTCATAAAAGTTTTGATTGTCATCCTATTATATACAAATTCAATTGTTCGATATACACACAGACTATATAGGGAATCTGCAGGATTTTCAACCAAGCATTGTATTATGCAAAAATTTATGAGACAGGACATAGAAAATACATTCATGTGACTTTTTTCATTGTCAAGGATTTATCTGCATTGGAATTAATGCAAATTCATCCCATGTTTTTAGAGTTGTTGCTAAAATTTGATTTGAACAAGTAAGTAATAAAATGATCATAAAAGATGATTATATTTAGACTTCATATAGCCTATGAAGTACCATTTCAGCAGGTAATCTTAGACATAATTCAGTCCTCAAATTATAAGCTAGATTAAAAAATAAATGCAGAAATTTAAGGTAAAAACATTACACTTAAAACGTTCAGTATTCAAGGAAGATTTCTCATGAAGCGCTTATTACATAATTGTTTTTCAAAGTATCTTTTATTTATAGTATACATAAAACAAAGCAAATTGAAAATAAAATTGTAGAAAATAAAGATGTAATATGAAAGTTAATTATGCAGATTCCCTATTATCTAATTGGTGTTAACATATAAAAGTAAAAATTATAAATTACAATTATAAATATAACCAACAATGCACCTTCTTTATAGGAAACGAACCTATAAATCATTTGGAAGAGTAAAAAATGTGGGTTTTGATAATGCAAAAAATTTCTCTCTTAAATAATGAAGACAAATAACTGTATTACCTTAAAAAAATCATCACGTTCGTTTCAATCAACAATTAATTATCATTATTCCCACTGTTCTGACTTTTATCATTTCACATTTGTTTTAATACTTCATGACTAACGAGTGTTGATTTGTGAGATTCCCAATCTAATACTGCTGCAAAGATTTACACATTTACAATATTGACATAATTTGTAGATAGATGGATTTCTTTATTTCTATTATTTTAAGACTATTATATTAGTATCTCTATTATTAGCTTGAGCTATATACCACTACATATACAAAAACCTATGTATTTGAATGCCTGAGAAAGAACGCAAAAAAATTTCAGACAAATAGTGTTTTAATGCCTCAAAAGAATTGCATAGATAATTAATTTGTCAAACCAAACAATGCCCACAAAACTCTCACTACAATGTATATATAATAAATACAGACAGTTTTTATAGGTTTGTAGATAAACAATTTTAAAAGAAAATAGTAACATTAAAACTGCTGTGATTTTTCCTTTTGTAAAAATATAATGCTCTTTAAAAAATCATAACAGGTAAAAAAGAGAGTTTTACCACTGTCTATAAAACTTCATCTGATTAGAATTAACTTAAAATATGAAACTATTGTTTGATTTTTTTTTTGATTTTTTTTTTCAAACATATAAACTTATTTTTGTATATTGATATAATAATGCATATCATAATCCCTGATAATATTATAAATAATGAATTTGATCAAACAGCATATAAGATTAAGCATCTGTACAGAAATACAATAGCTTCATAATAACCAGTTAATTTTGGAATGGTTTTTGCATTCATGGAATGTTAAAAGTTTAATGACAGAGTTTGCACCAATTCATAAAATAAGAAAACTTCCATATGAAAAATACTTCAACAACAAAATATATCAATAAAGTATTAACTTATTTTTCACAAATTTTCTTTATTTAACTATTACTGGTGTGATTTTGTCAACTATATCACCCACACTCCCCCCTCCCTTTTCCAATCCAAAATGTTTTTAAAAAAAGCATTTTATGATGTGTTTTGTTTAACTAAAGAACAATGGTACGCAATAAAAAATGATTGACCAATGGTGTATAACATGATATAATTGTCTCTACCGTACTGTACTGTATTTCTTTAAAATTTTCCATCATTTTATGATCAATTAACAATTAAAATCAGTATTACAATTAAATACAATCTGATTTTGGAAAAACTATATCATTAAATCAATGTTGCAGTCTGTACATTAATATAAATATTGCTGAAGGGACTCAACAAAATTCTAATAACCCTGCATAACTTTGAGTGTAGGGTTGATAAAGGGACTATTTTTTCTGATGGCGTCTACTTCTAGGTGTACCATTTCCATTTGCTGCTAAATTTTCCATAGAGGCAGATGCAGTTTCAGCTAACTTTCTGGTAAAAATTCTTTTACCTCCTGAAAAAAGAGACATAAAACAGAACTAATTTTTACTTCTACTATTCAATCAGTTTTAACTACCTAATTTGAAATTTCCTCACACACCTTCAAGTAAGTATCAAAAAGATTTTTTTCTAGTTAAAAATTGTTATTTGGATCTTGAGTCAAATTTGTTCATAATATCTCTGGAACAAAAAATGCTAAAATTAAAAAAATTGTCAGGCCCAAACTTTATCAAACAATCAGATTTCAAAACAGGTATCTAAATTTTCAGACCTAATTACTGTCTATAAAGTTTAATTGATCTAATCAAATCATATTTCATGAAATTTATTTCAGTAGCTAGTTTTGTGTCCTCTGAAATGGATATTATGCATCTATATTAATGCTACCCACAGTTGGAAAGATACTTTGTACTAGACTGACAGACTGAGCTGTTTCTTTTAAACATGCTAGTTCACAAGGTAACAGTCTGCAGGAAGACAAACCACCCCACCAAGACACATTATCCTGAGTCAGAGTCAACCAATCTTTACTTTTACTTCTTAATGCCTTTTGCAAAAGCACCAAATACCAATTTTAAAGACTTTGGTTTGACCCGTCAGGGGTTTGAACCCATGACCTCCAGCACTCAAGGCAATCATGCTACCCCAAGACCACTAAGGAAGTTTTCTTAGTTAGGGAATCACCCATAATTACAAAAATGCATCATTCCCAAAACACTAGTAACAGTTTGGCCCTTAACAGGAATTTTTCATTAAAATATTTTTTTTCAAATTTTCTACTCTCAACAACAGTGATGCCTTGTTTTAAATGGCAATTATTGCCATAATTTTTTTAAGAAGATGAAATATGATTTCCCACAAATAAGGTAATAAATTAATCAATTACAGGTCCTGGATTTTTCAGAATTTCTTTACTCAACTTTCTATCTGTTTTTTTTCATAGTAGTATTGCCAGCTATGTCTGATTGTAATAGTAGTATTAACCATGGTCATTTGTGTTCTCCAGTTGCTGTTCATCGACATATACCCTACCGGTTCATCTCCTTTTATATATATTTAAGAGAATATCAAACCATTTTTTTTAGAGTAGACATATAAAGGTGATTGTGGTGATGTTTGTTTCAAATTATTTCAGCGGCTTCAGTGAAAAATTTTAAAAAGTTAATGGATCATATACAGTAAGACACTGGATGCCAGTGAAGTCAATAGATTCAACAGCAAACAAGGTAAAAATTTGGAGACAAGTGATTTTTTAAGATATTAAAAATGAAAAAAATATTTCATAATTTAAAAAGTCTCTTTAAGGAATGCCTTGCACTCTTTAAGAAATATTCTGAAACAAGCTAAACCGGTTTTCTTCATTTCATCATGCTTTATAGGAAGAATACAAATATCGTTTATGTAAAGCATTGTAAAGATCATACATAAAGAAGTTTATCAGAAATATTCACAACAGAGAATTAAGGTTATGGAATTTTCTGAAGATGTTCTAAATTTGAAACTGATCAACAAAAGTAAACTTGAGGATAAAATAAAGACTATCAAGTCAAATGTTAAAGAATACAAAGTAATGCATAATTTCTTAAAATTGTAACAACAACAAATTAGCTGCAAAAGAATCATGCTGTATAACACCGAAGAAAAGGTAAACAAACAATATGTTTACCGACATGTTACCCTAACAATCAACATCTTCTTCCTCCATTACTGAAATAAAATCAAATCAATCAAATATTTTTCCACCAGAAGGCTTTTATTATAAAAGGAGTAGGGGCATTAAGGCCCGGTTTTGGCCCAAGAAAATTAAGTTTTTGAGGACTATTTCAAATTTGCATATTATGTTTGAAAATGAATAAAATCAAGAAAATTAATTACTATAAATGAAATACATAAGATTTTTGATGTTATGACGTCACAATTAGGTCATAGTATGCACTGATTTTATGAAAACAAGAAAATTGCAGAAATCATGCAGTTTTCCAACATTATGTCCATTGTGGAAACATCGTGCGCAGCCAGGAAACAACAAAATAATTTAAGAGAAGCTTTATTATAACTATTGACATACTCTCACCAAATATAAAGTTGTTTCTAGGATGCACACATACTTTTCCAATCTCATTTATACTTATAAAGTTGATGTAAAACAAGGAAAATCAAGATATTTTACAAATATACAAATTTTATCATGTTTTGTTGCCATAATAACTTGTTAACTGTGAAATTTGTTCTTATTTTATGAACACCTTGTATCAGAGTGTAGTTAGGACAAGAAGTAGGCCTGGTAATACCCCTTTTTGGCCCCAAAATATAGCATTTTTACAAATTTGTTAAAAATGTATATTTTTAGCTATTTATTGGAAAGTAAAATCTTTTGTTACATAAATATGGGCTGTTTTTTCACAATTTAATGCACATGCATCAGATACTAGCATCATTAACTCATGCAAAATTACTGAAATCTTCACAATTTTAGCTTTTGCACTAATTGTTAGATGTTTTTTGTCTAAAATGGAAGTGGCCGCACTTGGGTTCAGTCTTAATACATAACATATGTAAAGGTTGAGACTGAACACAAATGTGGCCACTTACATTATAGACAAAAATCATCTGAAAAGTGGCATATTTGATAGATTTTTCAAATTTAAGCTTGATTTTGAGCATCTTTAATGACCAAATCAGTTCAAATCTTGTACACATTTTGAGCGTCTTTAATGACCAAATCAGTTCAAATCTTGTACACATTTTGAGCGTCTTTAATGACCAAATCAGTTCAAATCTTGTACACATTTTGAGCGTCTTTAATGACCAAATCAGTTCAAATCTTGTACACATTTTGAGCGTCTTTAATGACCAAATCAGTTCAAATCTTGTACACATTTTGAGCGTCTTTATAATGACCAAATCAATTCAAATCTTGTACACATTTTGAGCATCTTTATGACCAAATCAGTTCAAATCTTGTACACATTTTGAGCGTCTTTAATGACCAAATCAATTCAAATCTTGTACACATTTTGAGCATCTCTATAATGACCAAATCAGTTCAAATCTTGTACACAAACTAATTGAATCGACTGAAGTAGACATTTAAGTGTTTAAAAAGTTTCAAGAATCTTACATCAGATGTACTTCAAATTTAAGGCCAAAATTAGCCCTTACCAGTCCTTCTCCGTTAAGAATATGTATGGTAACTTTTCTATTTGCACCAATATTGGGGCCAAAAATAATGGCCTTATCGCACCTACTCGCTTTAAAGTTTCTCACAGTTACTTAAGTTTGGAATATTTTCAGTTCCCAATTCACATCTACTGATAACTTCAAGATTTATAACTAGCAAAAAGAGGGTATCCCCAATCACCGTAAACTATATCTATGGCAATTAAATACATTTACACTTTCCTAAAAGCTTAAAAAATCTTTTATGAATTTCATGCAACATGCAACTTATATGTAATTAGTAGTTCAGAGGATCATTATTTTTTAGTATTCAGTGATTTATATAATTTTAAATTCTAACTGAAACAAAACTTATAGCTTTCTTTCATCAAAGGGGAAGGGGGTCAATTTGTTTTTAAAGAGTAAAATATGTATTTTAAATGTAATACAGCATTGATAATACACATAATCTATATTCTGTGTTAAGGGGAAGAATATCTAAAAATGAAAAATCTTAATGTTTTTCAGCTAAAATTCAAAAACTAAAACATTACAGTTATTTGCTATTAACAAAATAATAACAAAAGATATACAGGCGCTATTAAACCGTTATTTTGAAACCACAACAATCTTTATTATACAATACAATCCTGGAAATATCAACAGATTAGTTTCTACCTTATAAAAGCAACCACAAACAGCCAGCATCTATCTATAACCTGTCAACCTACTCATGACCACATAATTTAATGTCTATAAATTAAGTTTGATACTTGAAACTTATACAAAATTTCTTTGCAAGTAGTTAATTCCACTCAATTTCAGGAGCTATTTGAATAAAGAAGACATCATTGGATGTATGTATCGAATTCAGAATGCAATTTCTTAGTATTGGGATACTCACCTAGTTGCATTAATAAAAATCTCACAATAATTAATCATTTTTGACAGCAGCATAAAACCAGAATGATTTTCTTTCTGGTTAGAGTATACATCTATTATATTAAAGTGGTAAAGGTTGACAGGCAACATAGGCTTTAAAACATATATTAATATACTTTATAAGGTGTTTATACTAACAAATCTGTAATTCTAACTTATTTCTGGAATTTAGACTTGGATAGAACTAGAAAGAAGATAGGAAAAAAAGGAAAGATTTATATAAGAAAGGTATATACATATAGAAATAGTAATTACAGTGTTACTATATATATAATATATTATATCAAGTTTTAATATTAGTCTGTTGTAAATGTTGAGAATCCAAGGTAAAAAAAATAAAATTTCCTACTGTATTTTTGTACACAATACATATATTTTGGGTAATGCATCATCAAACAAATTTAGAAATCATATAATTGCTGGTACTTTCTCCCAAAATAATAAAGACAGTTGTTTTCATGGAAAAATTTGACCTTAGCCCAAATTTTAATGAACCACCTTAGCCCTGATTTAAGTGGGCCAATTTCATTCATTAAAATTTAGGCTAAGGTTGTTCATTCAAATTTATGCTAAGGTCGTTCATTAAAATTTGGACTTAGGTCATTTGTTTCCATAAAAACAAAAAAATTCACATACTGAGAACCAAATAGTCATGTTGGATAATTATTGAATCAGTTTTATACTGTTGAAGTATTGACAAATATTTATAACCAAGAAAAATTTACTGGCAGACTATAAAGATTAATACTGCAATTTTCATCCAAAATGACTTTTCTAGGATCGTGGAACACACATCATCTGTCGATCTGGAATATGTCATACTGATCTGGTTATTCCAGTTTCAGACATAAACCATACTGGTCTTGTAATTTTAACTGTTATTAAGTATAATCCAGTATATGTTTTACTGGAAGAAGCATAATTGCTCCTACTATATGCATAAGGTATCTTACTAAATTATTCGTATTTTCAAGATCATACTGATATTACCAAGTATCTGCAATTTTACATCATTCAGTTTCAATTACACTGGCTGTTCAAGTAAAAATCTGGCAATTAATTATTATCAATTTTGTGCTAATATTTCCAAGGATCAGGATATTTTTGTGGTCATTAGAAAGTTTTTCTGTAAATTAAAACTTGTATAGTCTCACAAAATTATCCCGATTCTTGGAAATACTAGCACAGGATAATTCACTGTCAGGTAAAATTATCAGCTTAAATATAGATATTGGAAATTATCAATATTTTTTTATTTCTACAAACATTAGTATTTTCTAGAATTAGCCAGTATTTGTAAAATTGGAAAATATATATATTTTGTATTTACAAAAGTGAATAATTAAATTTATGGGTGTATGGATACAATACTAACACTATAGGAAGAACTTATTTAATACTGGTATATTGAAAACAATACAGTTAAACTTATACATAATACTAGTTATTCTTATATGGAATTATCCTACAGCATCATTTATATAAGACATTCAATATGTATCTGAAATTTTAAATTTGGAATTTCATAGGGTAGTTGAATACAATACCTTGTTCTGTAGTTTCTCTTTGGGCAATGTTCCCAGAAAGTATGCGACCTTGTCCCAACTGGCCCAATTTCTCTTTTTTCTTCGTTCTTACTTTCTGTAGTTTCCTTAGTAAATATGCTTTATCTTTCCCTTCCTGAAATTTCATAACCCTCAAGATAATAAATTGTAATTGTACATGAATTTTTTATAAACAAAAATGAAAATGCTTTACTATTTTTTTTTTTTTAGCTTTATATCAAAGTTTAATTATAAATCATACATAAATGCCTAAAAAACATAATAAAACATCAACATCTGTCTGAAATGATGACTATATTATAACAAATTTAAGTGTATTCATTTTATCACAAGTGGGTTTTTTCTCATGAAATCTAACAATTAAAATAGATAGTAGGTTATATCTATATGCACATGACTTTATAAAGTATTTTAATCATAAGTTTTTTGTCATCTAATTACTAACCATAGTTAATTGATGTCTAAGTAATGTAACCATTTCTTTATGTCCCACCATCACAATTCTCATATAGTATGTACCCACACTGCAATACAAGAATAGATGACATATCTACAAGATCATTTTTGTCATGAAAATATGAAGGCAAACAAAAATTTCAATGCAGTTATTATTTCAGTGTATTTAATAAACTGAAATTATCTAACAGTTCATTTTAATAACATCTTAACAATACAAGAATTTACAATATTTGTATGTACTTGAGATATTGTGATGTACTGTTTACATCTTTATTAATATTTTTTAACAAGATTTATAAATTGTTCCTTGACCAAACACATCTGGGTTTTTTTCATATATCTAGACCTATTCTATCTATTATCATGTTTAACAGATTCTTGCGGAAAGTAATGGCTTAAACCTAAGACCTGAAATATATAATGCTGATTTAGAACATGTCTATCAAACTGTTATCCAGTGCTGCTATTGTCTGTATGTACATCTATGTTTATATCCTTGTGCTCAATCATGATAAAAAGACATTTTGCAAAACATAAATTATATTTGTTTTGATAAATATTATACCAGAGTATGACTAAAACTCCCGCTATAACTCCAGGTGACGATATAACTTTAACAATCTCATGTAACACTTTATAATCATCCTTCCAACTCTCTACCAAGTTAGTTACTACATCATATGCTTTATCCTCTCCTCTAAAGGGTCCACAATCATTACTTGGGGTAATTCTGTAAAACGAAAATCTTGAAAATTAGATGGTCTAGTGAGAGATTCAATGGTGTCAGGTTTGACAACTGCTTTGAGTAAAAATTTATCTGTTTAAGTTATAAACTGAGACCACAGAATTTTTACACAGCCTAATAAGGTTATCGTCTGCTATAAAACCTTTTCCATTATAACAATGAGAAGGATATTGTGAAAGAAAATATTTTCATGTTTCATACGCATAAATGTATACATGAACTATTCAGAATCTTCATCAAACATGGTTTTTATAGCTTGCTGTTCGGTGTGAGCCAAGGCTTCGTGTTGAAGGCCGTACTTTGACCTATAATTGTTAACTTTTTATTCATTGTGACTTGGGTGGAGAGTTGTCTCATTGGCACTCATACCACATCTTCTTATTTATATTTACCTAAGCCTGTATTTCCTCTTTTATTTGAATGCCTTTTCAGTGAAGAAGGAGATACAATCAAACCTGGATATGAATGTCATCCAGGTAATCAGATCAGAGAAAACTGACCTGATACAAGAAGTGACCTTTGAATTAAGGTTCAAAATGCATAGGTATAACTTAAGTGAGGAAAGAAAAGGTGACCTGAAAAGACAGGTTTTCTCTTAATAGAGGTGATCTTTATAGCAGTTTTGACTGTATTTAAATAAAATAACTTTTTTATACTTACGTAATTATGCTCACTGCAACAGCAACAGTTGTCAATAAAAAGAAGAAAAACAGAAATCCAAGAAATATAGTATGTGTTCTGGAAGCCCTCCATGCCTTGGACGATGGTCTACAGTTCTGTAGGACACTTACCTAGAAAAACAAATAATATATTCATAAGTATATAAAGTAAATGTTCCTGTTCCAACTTATGTAAATACTAAAACCTAAGATATTTTTTTAATTTCAATAACTCAAGGAACAATATACTTTGAACTATAAAGGCCAATTGTTTCAAATTAGTCAGAATATCAATCTGTTTAATAGCTATCTGTCAACTGTACATACTAAAAAATTAATTTGTACAGACACCTGTCTATCGTTGAAGACCAAATTTTGACCTCTTGATGTCTGGATGATTTTTGTTTGCGTTGTTAGGTTGCTGTCTCATAAGTTATACCTGAAAACTCCTGTTATTCACGAAAGATAGGTTTCGATATGACGTCATTTGAGTTTGAGTTATTTCCCTTGACTGCTATGTTAGAGGGTATACTTGTTGATTTTCTTACCTGACTAACCAAACTGAAACATGTGGTACAAACAAGTCTGATAAGTGATCATTACTTCATCATAGTAATGAATTTAGCAAGGATAAAAGAAATTGAAATTGTTCAGAATACAACTTTTTCTTTACTCTGGAGGTCAGTATAAGTCAAATTCGGCTGATTTATGAAGAAATTGGAGCATGTTGACCTCCAGCATAACCACAAAAGTGAAATATCTCTTGCTCAATTTGCATTAATCAAAAACTTTCTATATCCAATAAAGAAGTTAGTGTTATACAGTAATTACTTATAATACTTGAGTATTATTTTTATATATTTTATGGCCAAAGTAGTCTTAAACTATATCCAAGTTTTTAATCCATTGGAAGGTGGAAGAACTAATTATTAAAAATTTTAAATAAAAACATAAATGAGCCAGATTTTTGTTTTTCTAATTCTGACCAAGAAATATTTTTGCTATGATCTCCCTTGGATTGAGGACGTGTTGAAAATTTGAGCTCGTCAAAAATTTTAAAATTTTGAAATTTGAGTGAAATATTCAGGAGATAATACAGTTATAGTTATTTTATCAAGGAGAAATGATTTGGAGTAAGTTGGTTGAAACAAACCCAGAATTAATTGACACTTTTGTAGACCCATTAAGTCAAGAAAAAGCATTTGATTTCATGCAGAAAGTAATGGCGGCAACCCCATTGACACCAGTCGATATTAATATAAACTCTAGAAAAACAGTTATAGCTACACAAGCAACCCTAGAACACCACCCTACCCCGAGAAAACGCTCTCTGTCACAGTCAGATGATGATGATGTTGCGAAGACTTCGAAATGTAAGAAAAGTAGAAATGATAGTGACATTGTCCACCACCCCCCTTTTTCTAACGACAACGAACAATTGGTGAATATGATATGCAAATTGGCAACCAGTTTAGACACCATGTCAGATAGACTTGAAAGACGAATTAGTGATATAGAGGGGAATATAGAGCGTAAATTGACAGCAAAATTTAATACTGTAATTACGGACCGGGTACAGAAAGATGTCAAACAGGTTCGTGATGAGATAAGTGATCTAAAAGATAAATATGAACAAATTGATAAAACCTTTAATGAGATAGTGTCAAAAAAACAAAGCACTACCGCCGAAAAATCTGTGGAACGTAAATTTGACATAGTGGTAAAAAATCTTCCAATAAACCCTAGGGAAAATTCACACGACACCGCCTTGAAGTTAAATTTAGAAACAATGGTCAAGGACGTTTTGAAACTACAAAATGTAAACATCAAAAGTGTGTCGCGCAAAGCGAGTTATATTGAAGGTAAACCAGGAGTAGTCATAGTGTCACTGGGGGATTTTGAAAGTAAACAAAAGATAATGAAAGCAAAAAAACTCTTGAAAGATAAAATGAAATATAAGGATGTATATATTGAAAACTTTTTAACAAACGAGAAGAGAATACTCGATGCTAACAATAGAAGACTGCTAAAAGCTGTCGGAAAAGACATGGAATTCACCTCAGTGGCTGGGCAAATAAGAAAAAGACAACAAGCACATCAACAAAATAAAAACAAAGACCATAACACACAGGTGAACACAACAAGAGAGACTTGTAGACCCCAGCGTAACACTACACATACTGACATGAACAATGGTTTTAGGAAAAATGATTTTAATGGGGGATCTTTTAATGGAAATTATGGTGACCGATATCATGGCAGTCGAGGCCGAGCTCGTGGTAGGCATTATTAATATAAATGCGGGTTATGGAACATTAATGGTTGGTCTAAATATGCAAATAGCGATAAAAATATTTTAATAAATGACTGCATTACAAAACTAGATCTTCATATGATTGGGATAACTGAATCTCATCTTTTGAAAAATAATATTAATAAAATTGACAATTACAAATGGTATGGAAATAATCGTAGTCATATCCATACCCGAGCGAAAACTGGATCAGGAGGCGTCGGTCTTTTAGTTAAAGAAGAATTACTATGTTCACTTAACATAAATGTTGAAGATAAATCCACAGATGGAATAATATGGGTAAAGTTCAGCGATAAAACAAATAATAGAAATATATTCTATGTGTGTGTTACATATTTACCACCTGAATTTTCAGCTAGATCTACTAATGTACATGATTTTTTCCACACCCTTATGTCACAAATATATTCTATCCCCAATGGATATCCATTTTATATATGTGGTGATTTCAATAGTCGGATAGGAGAAATGGAAGATTTTATTCCAGGAGTTGATAATTTACCTATCCGAGAAGTGATTGATTTTAAATCCAACAGCTATGGAGAATTGTTTTGTGATTTTTTGTCAAATATAAATTGTTGTGTATTAAATGGTAGAAATAGTATGAGAAATGAATTAACCTACATATCAACAAGGGGTTCATCAGTTGTCGATTATTGTTTCGTACCATATGAAAATTTAAATTGTTTCAAGAAATTTGAAGTAATTAGAGCTAGTGAATTAGCTAATGAAAGTGTTTCTATAGGGTCAGTTGAACCCAGATTTATTCCTGATCATTCGATATTATGCTGGGAAATGGAAAGTTATATGTGTGGTAATATTGAAAAGGAAAATATCAATGTAAAAAATCAAAATGTTCAGAAACGTGTTATATATGATGTAAAAAATATTCAGAATAGTTGGTTTGAAGATGAAAATGTGATTAATAGTATAAATTCACGTATTAGAGATATAGAAAAAAGTAATGGTGATCAAGATGATGTAGATAATATATATTGTGAATTTGTTAATATAATGCATAATGAGATGAATTCCAAACTAAATACAAAAACAAAACTTTTGAATAGTTGTAACAATAAAAGAAGACGTTTCAAGAAACCGTGGTGGTCCAATGACTTGACTTCAAAGTGGAATGAGACATGTTCGGCCGAGAACCAGTATCTGCGTTGTACGAACAATAGCAATAAATCTGCATTAAGAACTCTGTATTTGAACAAGAGAAAGGACTTTGATAAACTTGTTCAACAATGTCAAGAAGACTTGTTATATATGAACAATAATGACTCCAAACAATTTTGGCGGAAAATTGGTAACATTGGTATAGGAAATGAAAGGCAATCTGCTATTCCGAATGAAGTTGTGCTGTCAGACGGCTCTGTAACAAACAATTTGGACTCAGTATTGCATAAATGGAAGGATTGTTTTTATAATTTGTTAAATCAGAGTAACAACTCAGATCCTAAACTTGTAAAAGAAGATTTAAATTTAGAAAATATTATTGTTTCTGATTTATTAGATAATGAAATAACTTTTGATGAAGTTCATAATATTGTCATGAGTTCAAAGAATAATAAAAGTCCAGGTGTAGATTTAATTCAATCTGAATTGTGTAAAAATTTCTTAGTTATTTGTACTTTAACAAAATTATTTAATTTATGTTTTAAATCTAGTAAAATTCCAAATACTTGGAATAAAGGTATAATTAATCCAATACCAAAATGTTCAACTTCTGATCCTAGAGATCCATTGTCATACAGAGGTATTACTTTAGCACCATGTGCATACAAACTTTATTGTAGTGTTTTAAATAATAGATTAACAGAATGGTTAGATGAAAGGGAGATAATTAATGATGAACAAAATGGTTTTATCAAAGGCAGGAGTACTATTGACCATGTCTCCACAGTAACTTCAATAATTGAAACTAGGAAAAAATGTAAATTGTCAACTTTTGTCTCTTTTGTAGATTTTAAGAAGGCATATGATACAATTGACAGGTCACTATTGTTTAACAAATTAACAGATTTAGGTATAAGTACAAAGTTTATGTGTGCTTTGCAAGCCATTTATTCAAATATAGAACGCTGTGTTCGTGTGAACGGTAATACTACTGATTGGTTCAGTGTAAATACTGGTTTGAAACAAGGATGTGTTTTATCCACAGTCATGTTTAATATTTTCATTAATAACTTAATTGATGATATAAAAGCATTAAATATTGGTATAGACATTGACGGTGAAAAGGTTGCTATTTTATTATATGCAGATGATAATTGTTTAAAAGTTAATTTATATAAATCAAAAATCATGCATTTTAGAAACCCCTCTGTGATAAGATCAGATTTTGTTTTTAATATAAATGGTAAAGTCATTGATTATGTTTCTAGCTATCAATATTTAGGATTAGTATTAAATGAATTTTTAGATTATAAAGTTATGGCAAAGGCAGTTGCAAAGTCAGCAAGTCGGGCATTAGGCCTTCTTATAGTAAAATGTAAAGCACATGGTGGCTTTCAACACAATATTTTTACCAAATTGTTTGACACTTTAGTTTGGTCAGTCATCAATTACGGCTCAGCTATTTGGGGTACAAGTGAGTTCTCCTGCATCTCAGCAGTTCAGAACCGAGCCATGAGATTTTATATGGGAGTTGGAAAGTATACCCCCAATGATGCTGTTTCAGGTGACATGGGTTGGAATCCTCCATATGTTAAACAGTGGTCTAACATTTTAAGACACTGGGCAAGATGTACAAAAATGGATAAAGACAGGATAAATTATAAAGTATTTATATGGTCAATTAGAAAAAGTAGTTATAAAATTAAAAATTGGAGTTATAAAGTTATAGATATGTTGAAACTTTACAATATGGACAGATTTTGTAATGTAGATGATTATATACTGGATAAAAATATAATTTATCAGTTAGAAGTTAATATTTTTGATAATTATAAAACTGAATGGAGTACAAGGCTTGATTCTTATGGTCAAGGAAATAAGTTGAGAACTTATAAATTGTTTAAATTTTCATACTCTACTGAACAATATTTGTTGCAAAATATACCTATTCATTATCGCAGTGCATATGCGAAATTTAGATGTGGAGTAGCACCTTTAAAAATTGAAACTGGTCGTTACGAAAGATTAGATTTAGATAAAAGATTATGTTTCAATTGTGATGATATAGAAGATGAAAAACATGTACTGTTAACATGTCCATTATATGAAGATTTAAGGCAGTCTTTATTTATTGATATAATTCAACATAATAATATGTTTTTAACTTTGTCAGATGATGAAAAATTTATATTTTTGTTCAAAAATGAAAATGTTTGTAGTTCTGTTGCTAAAACCTGCCATAATATTTTATTGCGACGAAATAGTATCTTATACTGTTAAAAAATCATTGTTATTTTTTTTTATGTACATGTAACAGGTTTTATCCTTGAATGTGCATGGTGATATTGCACTTTTATGTTTTGTGTAAATAACAAAATTATGTTTTAATTCTGTTGTTTTATAATTGTATATAACAGTCTCTCATAGTTCTTTTAAGAATGGCACATGCATTCTAAATTTTTATATTGTGTACTTGATATTATAATGTGTTTATACTTGTATGTATGTGGTGAGACTTTAATAAACTATTGAATCTGAATCTGAATCTGAATCTGCTAAATAAAAAAAATCAATTTTGCAGTCATTATTCACACATTAAAGTTGCAACCCATGGTAAAGAACCTCTCCTTTCACTACTTATGAAGGAAATTAATTACTAATTAAAATATTATGTAGTATTCAAGATTGGAATAGGAGATCTTAAAATTGTCAATTTATCACAGAATTTTCTAACAAATTAAAAAGTACTTACAACTTTGACATAAAACAATATGAACAATTTGACAATCATCATAACAGACAACAATGGTGAATAAAATGTACCAAACCTGAAAAGAAAAAACAATAGATTAAAGCAAAAAAATATGCGTTTCCTTCTTTAGATAAAGAGATTTTTAAAAGATTTTGTGTTTCTTAAGACAGCAGAAAATCTAATCAATTAAATTTGAAACAGCATTAAATATCTAATTAACTTTACATATTAGTCATCACTTATCATAGGTTTTACTTTTTTTTAATTTTTAATGATTTTTTTTTTGTTCTATGTATAATGAAATTTTTTCCAAAATAAGTAAAAAGTTCTGACAAAGGTCAAAGTTCATGATAATTTCAAGAAATATATTTTACTGGTTAGATGATAAGAATCAGTTCAAGAGATAATGGAACACATAGCTTACATCAGATAATAAAATTAACAAGATCAGTTATTTTTTTTTCTTTGTGCAGAAAGCATTTTATTCTTTCTTAAACATACTGATTGCCATAATTACTACTTGCAATATCTGTAAAATCTTTCTTTTATCTCTTTATTCTTCTATCTTATTTGCAATGATGGCCAAAAAGTGCAGTCTAGTTTTTTTTCTCTCTTTTTTTATACTTTTTGTAACACTTACCAACATAATGCTTGTGAATATATCAGATCTAATGTATTCCTACCAATATCAAACTCAGGTTCTTTCAATGCCTTTGTACAACAATAGTTTGCCATTATTCTGAAATATAAATAAACTTTAATACAGGAATACAGGTCAAATCATATTCATATATGCAAACATATATTTTGTGTAAAAATCAAAAAGTGTAATTTCACTAAGTAATGTACAGGAACACAGTCAGAGCATCAAATTTTAGAGTTCACATCTTGAATTAAACAAGATATATATTTTTTTTTTTATTCAGTATGTCTAAATACACTTACAAATCATCACATGCATATTTTTTCCCAATAATTACAAATTATAAATGTAATAAAGTTCTACAAATAGATGAAAGAGTATGTTCCTATTCCCCCATCTTTACTACTTACAATAATTTTGCCTTTGATTACATCTTTCTTTGAATATTCAGCATAAAAATTCTATTCTAAATTTGTTGTCAACTTACTTATGGATAAACTCCAGGAAGAAAGTAGCACCAAGTATGAAAATAAAATCTATCAATACAAGTCTATACAGCTCATTGCCAACTTTAGTTTCCCAGCACTGAAAAAAAATAACACTATTGCAGGTTTGCATTTTTTTATAAATTGATTTCCTGGGACCTTTTATTTTGCATACATAAGGGGAAGGTTGAGATCTCACAAAACATGTTTAACCCCACCGCATTTTTGCGCCTGTCCCAAATCAGGAACCTTTAGCCTTTGTTAGTCTTGTATATTTTTTTTATTTTGGTTCATTTATATGTTCGGAGTTTAGTGTGATGTCCATCGCTGAACTAGTATACATTTTTGTTTAGGGGCCAGTTGAAGCCCAACTCCAGGTGCGGTATTTTCTTGCTGTATTGAAGACCCATTGGTGGCCTTGGGCTGTTTTCTGCTCTTTGGTCGGGTTGTTGTCTCTTTGATGTTTTCCTCTTTCCCATTTTCAATTCTATAGTTTCACGAACTGCATTATGATCATGTTAACTTCTAGTATAGATATCAACATACTGTAAACAGGGAAATTTTCGCGGCAGTTTTATTTTCGCTATTTTCGAGGTAAGAAGTGAAACGCGAAAAATAAAACTACCGCGAAAATTTCAAGGAAACTCTAATCATAATATAAAGACCATACATGTAAATATATGATAGGACATGTAGAGGACCACTGTATAACACCGATTTTACAGACGACAGATCGTTTCCTAAAATCATAACTGTATTTCTAAATGAAAAGCAATGTTAGAAATCATGACTTTAACTCAATCTTATCTTATTAATATGGAAGACATCTCAAGCAAGCGGACATTACGGATATTGTTATGTAAACAACACTCGATCGTTACTAATATGTAAATGACACCTGTCAATCAGTTTAAAAAGTACTACCTCGTTGATCTTCTACAAAGATTAATCAGATCAAAAGAACGATTAATTAGCATTAATCCTGGCAGCATTTTATTTTTATTCACTCTTAATTAGGTCTTCTTTTCTGTTATTGTGTATGTGTTTTACAAGCAAACATGACACAATTGTTAATCTCCTTTAACATTAATGAACCGAAAACAAAAGATTTCTGATTGATTTTATCACTTGATTTATGATACATGTAAAACTGTTCACTTTCTAAATCATTTATGAAAATATTTATATATGTCACAGGGAAATCACGAATTCAAAACGGCGCTAATTTAGATTGTGTTAACAAATCGCGAAATAAAGACGGCGCGAAAATTTCCCGGTTTACAGTATATTAACTTCTAGTATAGATATCAACATATGTTAACTTCTAGTATAGATATTAGTATAGATATCAACATATATTCACTTCTAGTATAGATATCAACATATGTTAACTTCTAGTATAGATATCAACATATATTAACTTCTAGTAAAGATATCAACATATATTTACTTCTAGTATAGATATCAACATATGTTAACTTCTAGTATAGATATTAGTATAGATATTAACATATATTAACTTCTAGTATAGACAGAAACATATGTTAACTTCTAGTATAGAAACCAACATATGTTAACTTCTAGTATAGATAGAAACATATGTTAACTTCTAGTATAGATATCAACATATATTAACTTCTAGTATAGATATCAACATATGTTAACTTCTTGTATAGATATCAACATATGTTAACTTCCAGTATAGATATCAACATATACTAACTTCTAGTATAGATATCAACATATATTAACTTCTAGTATAGATATCAACATATGTTTACTTCTTGTATAGATATCAACATATGTTAACTTCTAGTATAGATATCAACATATACTAAATTCTAGTACTGATATCAACATATATTAATTTCTAGTATAGATATCAACATATGTTAACTTCTAGTACAGATATCAACATATATAAACTTCTAGTAAAGATATCAACATATGTTAACTTCTAGTATAGATATCAACATATGTTAACTTTAAGTATAGATATCAACATATATTAACTTCTAGTATAGATATCATCATATATTAACTTCTAGTATAGATATCAACATATGTTAGCTTCTAGTATAGATATCAACATATACTAACTTCTAGTACAGATATCAACATATGTTAACTTCTAGTATAGATATCAACATATATTAACTTCTAGTACATATATCAACATATATTAACTTCTAGTATAGATATCAACATATGTTAACTTCTAGTATAGATAGAAACATATGTTAACTTCTAGTATAGATATCAACATATACTAACTTCTAGTACAGATATCAACATATGTTAACTTCTAGTATAGATATCAACATATATTAACTTCTAGTACAGATATCAACATATGTTAACTTCTAGTATAGATATCAACATATATTAACTTCTAGTATAGATATCAACATATGTTAACTTCTTGTATAGATATTAGTATAGATATTAACATATATTAACTTCTAGTATAGATAGAAACATATGTTAACTTCTAGTATAGAAACCAACATATGTTAACTTCTAGTATAGATATCAACATATGTTAACTTCTAGTATAGATATCAACATATATTAACTTCTAGTATAGATATCAACATATGTTAACCTCTAGTATAGATATCAACATATGTTAGCTTCTTGTATAGATATCAACATATGTTAACTTCCAGTATAGATATCAACATATACTAACTTCTAGTATAGATATCAACATATATTAACTTCTAGTATAGATATCAACATATGTTAACTTCTTGTATAGATATCAGCATATGTTAACTTCTAGTACAGATATCAACATATATAAACTTCTAGTATAGATATCAACATATGTTAACTTCTAGTATAGATATCAACATATGTTAACTTTAAGTATAGATATCAACATATATTAACTTCTAGTATAGATATCATCATATATTAACTTCTAGTATAGATATCAACATATGTTAGCTTCTAGTATAGATATCAACATATACTAACTTCTAGTACAGATATCAACATATATTAACTTCTAGTATAGATATCAACATATGTTAACTTCTAGTATAGATATCAACATATGTTATTTTTAAGTATAGATATCAACATATATTAACTTCTAGTATAGATATCAACATATATTAACTTCTAGTATAGATATCAACATATGTTAACTTCTAGTATAGATATCAACATATACTCCACATCTCCTGTTTATATATTCCATGTTGTCAAAAGTTATTGAAGGATTTTTGAATTGATTGTTTATATTGAAACATTGATATCAATTGTGGAATATTTGTTCAATATAATATATGTAGTGTATATTCCTTTAAAAAACAATAAGGTGGCTTTTTTTACTGCTTTATTTCTTACAAAATTTTGTCATTTTATCCTGGAGCCTTTTCCTGTCTTTATGTTCGCCAAATGTTTCAGCCTTATTTTCAGGGTCATAATGGTCTTGTACATGCATGAAATATTTGCCACTGGACATTAAGCAATCAATTATCAATCATTGGCCGTAAAAAGCAAAATTATGAATTGAAAATAGACCGATGATTTGTAGCAAATCCTTTCAAAGATGTTAAATTATGAAAATCTATTTTTTATGATGTCCTTAAATATATATACATATATATATTTGACAATCGCAAATGGAAGTCAGCAGGGTTTAAGAACATCCGTTGTTCGACCTGTTAGTCAAATGGGTTTTGTTTAAATATACTTTTTCACTTTTTTGGTCTTTTGGAAAATGTTGTTTGTGCTGTATTTAGACCCCTCTACCAAGAAATTTGTTTTGCATGCACACGTATGAAAATTGCAGTTTTTATCCAACGCAATCATAGGTTTGAACGTTGTTTTCAATTTAGACTTATTTATATATATATATGTGTATTTAAACAATGTGGATCATTACTCTACAAATAAATTTAAGCTGCCTTGAATATATGATAAATTAAAGTAGTGTACTCACGTTAACTTCACCTGGAAGACGTCTGAACCAGTATGATACCAATATACCAAGTAATGCCCCTTTCAACAGCATGGTTCTGAAAATACAAAAATCTCTTTTGTGGCAGAAAATGTTTGTATCTGAATTGAAAAGGAATTTAAAACTCTGTTCAAATATTTATTCAAAACTATGCTTTAAATAAAGGTTAACTGTATTTACCAATCTTTATACACACATAAATAATGACCAACAGACATTAAGCAACCATCAATCAATCTATGACAAAGTCCTCCTGATCTGAAACTATTCTAATAATATTTCTCCTATGTTGTACTGAAGCAACTTATGTGACAACTTTTGTTATAAACTCTTACTCTTAATTAACATTGTTATAGTTACCTAAACATTCCTACATATAATTCATGCTTAGGCTTTTCATATCTCTCCAGTGAACCGATTCTAGCAAAGATAAAGGGGAAGACCAAATGTATGGAAGAAATCACCAATGGCATGGTTAGTTCTCCAATAATATGCACATCACTCTAGAAACATAAAACATACAAAAATTGATGATCATTGGATAAAAATGTGAGATTTATCAATGTAATTTCTTGATATACTGCATAAAAACAATGCAATTGAAATAAAGATGCAAATTCTCATAAATGCTGAAGTGTTGTCACAATTTTTATGATAATTTCAGTTTCACAAAAAATTCTGAATTAGGAGGAAGGTATGAGTCTGTCCATATCATAATTTCTTTTAAAAAGTTGTTTAGGCCTATTTTCACCTTTCTTTTTATCTTAACCGTTTTCACAACCTTCACATCTTATTATTACTTTTAATACCTAAGAAAGACAGCTCTTGTAAAAATAATACAAGGGAAGTAACTTTAGAATAAAAAATACATTTTTAGCTATGGAAAAAAAGTTGTGTACACACAACTGGCGTATGGCATGCAAAATCGTAATTCTGGTATCTTAGATGAGATTTTTTTCTACATGTCAATTAAAGGTGCCTTTTACAGTTTCTTTATTCTAGATTTGAACTTTGAAATTGAATAACTTATGTTACTGTTATTGTTAGCTTCTATTCTGGTTTTGACTTGTAATAACTTTGTTACTTTTATAAACACAAAGGAATACCTACCTCTGACAAGTTTTTGTCCAGGATATAATATATCAAATATCCAGAACCACCTATCATTCCAAGCACTATTAAATTTGTTAAAACCCGGATAAAGAACCATTTACAACTGTCTGATAATTCTTTTTCCTTTTTCTTCTTCCCTTTTCCAGCTAAATATTCCTAAATAAAAAATAAGATAACAGTAATGTAAGAGACATAACAAATATAAGTTAGCGCTAAACAAATCTTATCATTAAATGCAATCCAGGTTTTCAAGTTTCTCCTCTTCATGTTGACAGCTTACTTCCACCAGAATAAGAAACTGTTAATAATTAGTCCCAAGTTCATTAAAGGTAAAACTTAAAATCCCAAAACAGTTGTAACATATACAAGAGTTTTAATTTATATCTCTTGATGATTTCTGCAAGGCTGATATTGATTGTAAATTCACAAGAAAACTTTCTGGCAAATGGTAATAATAAAAATAAATTGAAATAAACACTAAAGCACAATATAATATTATAATTTCTCTCTTAATATTTTATGATCTACAAATTAACCCCACCTCCCCCTTTTTTATTATCGAGGAACTGGTGTGAGCTAATTTACACATTATTCTGCTCAACTGAAAACATATGTTTCAGTTATTTAAAGGTATGGGTGATTTAAGTATAAAATCTAATCAAGGAGCTTGATCACCTTAATCACATGTGGACAAGTCAACGTAATTTGCATACGAGAAGTGGGACATCCTATGGTTGGAATGGAGGATTTCCCCTTTATGCACATAACAGGTTTCTCAGAGGGTATAAGTTGGATGGATTTATTTTCTTCTTACCTATTTATCAAGCCAAGGTCTCATTTTATTTTAAACTGTTGTCCTAACAGTCAATGTTTACAAGCACCTGATGTACCGAATTCCATTGAGGATGTGTATTCAAAAGTTTACTTTGTGCATGTGCTTATTTGGCTTAAATAGAAAGAAACTGAGGCTTGAAAAGGGAAACAATATCCTGGTTTGTCCTTGGTGATAGTTTTTCAATGAAACCAAGTATAGAGACCTCACCTTTATTCATTTAGAATCTTCTGTTTCTCTTTGATATATATATATGTATATATATCAAGTATTATTACATTGGTTGCAATAAATTACTGTGATTTCTAAGTGAAATAAAAACCGTTAATTTCACATGGGTTTTGTCGATGAAGTTACATCAACACTTGAGAATGCTTAAAAAAAGATATAGTTCCTTTTATTTTCTACTTTATTTCCATTAAGAATTCCATGGTCAATGTAATAAAAAGAATAACTTATCCAAGAATTAAAATATTGAAAAAATGATCAACTCGTGACCAAACAATACTATAATTAACTCATGCGCTCACACATTCATGAATTAATGTGCTGTTTGATCACTCTTTGAATTTTTTTCTGCACTTGAAATTTTTGGATTAGTTATTCTATAATTATTTCATTATTGAGACATATCAATTATGTTGATTAAAGTAATAAATGTTTTTTTTTGTAATATTCTTAAAAATGCTTTGTCTGTAATTTTCAAATAACAGTCTAACTGTGGCTCTTTTCACAAAAAATCTTAGGGTAAAAATACTTGTAAGTAATATACATAAAATTGTAACTTACGATCAATTCTAATAAAAAAATGTGAAAAGAGTCACTAGTGTATCATACTTATTATTCAATAAAGTTTTATTTTATGACAGTTTTTACTAAAGCTTACCTTCATTTCGTTATAAAAACTCTTATGTTTAAGATCACTGGCTTGTTTTGAGGTGATGTTATAATCCCAGCCACAAAGTACTCGAGTGACATTGTAAAAACTTGTTGTACTACTGCCTTCAACATAATTCTTCTTGTACGATTTAGATATGCTAAAAGAAGTCAGATCAAATCAATACAATTACGGTATAGTCATACAGAAATTATACAATTAAATAATAAATATCATAAGTATCGTCAAAGTTTGAGGTACAGCAGAGTATAAAACATACAAATGATCTTCACTGATTTTAAGGATAAACAACATACTACCATAACAAATAAGAAATACAAAAATAGACTTTAATTTTTCATTAATATCCATCTTTTTAAGCATTAAAGAGTTAATCATCTCCAAACACCATCATACTTCACAAATATTTGAAAATTCTTCTTATGTAGCAAACATATGACATCTTTACAAAAATAAAAGTGTTACCACACAACTGTAAGTTATGAAATTCTTGAAGTCAAGTCAGTTTTTAATTAATTTGAGGCAGAATAACAAATCCCTTATTTTAGTCAAAAATAACTTCAGCCGAAATTTGGAAATCAATAAGGCAAGATTATGCAAGATAAGAAAATAAGTTACACTTACCTGAAAGCTAATATAAATAGACAAAGTATATAATAGCCTCCACAGGTAAACAGGTAGGCATATTTCATGTCATATTTAATGTTGTTACTTAAAGGCACTGCAACTTGTTCATTGGTGTAGTATCCATAGTATAGTTCTGTGTCATTAAACCAACCCTGAAATAAAATCTATTTTACTTATAACTTATAAGAATACAAAAGTTCTCATTTCATATCTGTTAACCACTGACTGTTTTTTTTTACCCAAGACCTGCACCTAGATCAAGAGCCTTGTGTATTCAATGAATTAGAATTTATCCAAATTCTTAAAGGTAACAATCCAATAATATAATTCTTTTTTAAGTTAGAACTATTCCACTGAACTATTATAAGGTTTATATTCTTGAGTAGCAACATGTTGTCTTATAAGGGAGTTGATATCAATTACAACAAACTTTTCCAACTTATCTCATTATAAAATATATAATAAACTGTTGACACAGATATATGCCTCGCACTTTGTACTTTTGATGGTATAATGCAAATGTTGAAATCAAAATGGCAATATTTAAACATGTAAACTATGCAAATCATTCAAAGTCAATGAATCATGACTGAAAGTGCATAGCCAAATAACCTCCATGGAAATGTGAAATGCTAATGCTTATAAAACTGCATACCAAAAACCATTGAATTATCATAAGTGGTTCCCTTTAAACTAACCTAAACACAAACTTTAACTTGTAAGTACTGGGTACGTAACAGTTTCAAAGTCAATGAACCATGATGAGGGGGTGGGGCTATATAATCTCCATGAAAATGAGATTTGCAAATGCCAATACAACTGTATACCAAATGTCATTGACTTAACATTAGTTGTTCATCTTAAACTGATCTAATGACAAACATTAACATGTAAATAATGCAAAACATTCAAAGTCAATGAACCATGACAGAAGGGGGAAAGGGGGGAGACAAATAATCTCCATGTAAATGAGATCTGCCAATGCTTATACAACTGCATACCAACTATCATTAACCTACCTATAGTGATTCCCCATATAATGACCTAATCACAAACTACTACATTGTTGAATCCCCTGCCGCCGCCACCGATGCCACCAGAAACAGATCCTTAAGTCTTGCTTTTTCGACTTGGTCTAGGTGAGACAATTATCAAATCAGTGTTTCTCTAAATACTGTGAAGAATGACCTAACAGTAAGAGTTCACAAATCTTTTTAATCAGATGCTTATACAACAGTATGTACATAACATTATTTAACATATTTAATGAAAACTTTTATTTGTTTTTTCCTACATTTGTATCAAGCGGCAAACATTAGTTAGCTCATTTCATTCCATTCAAATCTGCCTAAATTACTGTACAATTCCTTCAGTAAATTCAATACAGCTAGTAAAGTATTTTTTTATATTTTTCTAAATACCCTGTCATAAAATATGGAACTTTAAAGAGAAGTAATTATATACTTACACCTCCAGTTAGAAGTTCTTCCCCAGAGAATGACACATGATATGATGTGACATTGGTATTATTGTTATTAGTTACTATTGTTGCTGGTGGGTTGTAGCGGAATAAAATTTGCGGTAACACTACAAATCCAAACGTCAATATGAACACAGGTATATTCAGCAGAAAGATCCACTTTAGAAACAGGAAATATGATGTTACACCTGTGCCAAAATGTCCTTCAACCTTCTTCATTAAACTTTTCCATAACTCTAATGAATATCCAAATTCTTTCATGTTGTTCTTGAAATGTATCCATGTCTACAAAAAAAAGAAGACAAATTTGGCAAAGCATACACATCCAAAAAATTTACATAGAGCACATGACAAGACATCCATATATTAAAATGACTCAGTAATTCTTTCAATAGGTTTAAAAGCATGTGCTCTATATTTATTAACTAAGGACAGCATTACTCAAGGAGTATGGATTACTGCCTGAAACATAATGAAATTTCTGGTTAGATATAATGGGGCATCCATATTTTTGAATACAAACTTGTAATATCTTATTCTCTGTTCAACAGGCATCGAGCTTAATTGTTTGAATAACAACTCAGAAAGAGTGAAAAATCTATTATTATTCTGGCAACTCTCTTTTGAAGTTTTAAGATTCTGGTTGAACTCGCAATATATGCTACTACAGCTACCAAACAATATACAACAACAATCAATGAGGGGTAAGATATAACCACTATAGAATAATTTTCCGCAGTCTAGATTTAGAAATTTCTTAATCTGTAATAGTAGTTAAGCCTAGAGGAAAAATTTGACCTATAGTCCTTTTAAAAATAAAATGGAGGTCAAAATCACACAGAGAAACCCTGCTACCAGACATGTACAATAACATAACGGCATAATATTTTAGTACAAACACATAACTAGAAGCTCTACAGAGCCTGTGTCGCTCACCTAGGTCTATGTGCATCTTTAACCATGGACACTCTCCAACATTGTGGACAAGAATAGAATTCATGACAAAAATATTTTTTGTTGATCTTGTATTGCTGGTCATTTTTCTGTTTCAAGTTTCTGTCTACCTTCTTTAATTTTTGCCCAAAATACAAAAAAGGGTAAAAAAATTGTCATCTAAGGGCAATCACTCCTATAATGAGTCTTTGCTATTTAAAGTGTCTACTGGTATCTATCTTTTATAATTTTCAAGATAACAGGCAAAAACGTAAAATATTGGTAAAAATCGTCATTAAAGAGCAATAACTCCAATTAGGCCAGGTGAGCTAAAAAGTAAAACTTACCATGCCAATTCTGTATTTCATATGTTTCCATGTTCCTAATTTTTTATGGTGTTTTTTCCTGCTTAATGTTCTTTCTTTTCTCTTTTCTGATACATCATGTCTAAAGAAGGAAATTAAAAAAAATAAAAGAACAGAGTTCCAATGTCCCCCGCGTTGCACATATTTTATCTATCCAAGGTACAAGGGCAATAACTAAAAAAAACACTTTTTTTTTGTTCTTTAAAACAATTTATAAATACATGTATCTTAGAGAAATAAAGGCTTCAGAGCAAATGCAATGCGATTTCTGTTATAATTAATTTTCCAAGGGGCATAACTCTTTAAAAATATTTGATCAGCACTTATTTTCAAAAGTGTCAAAGACATTGCTGAAATAAACCTATGATATAAGTTTCATAAAATTCTGGAAAAAATTGTACATATGAGAGTGCTAACAATGCAATTTTCCATATAATTAATATTTCCAAGGGACATGACTCTTTTAAAAATAATTGATCGGCATGATTTTCGAACTCGTCCAAGACATTGCTGATATAAACCTATGATATAAGTTTCATAAAAATCTGGCAAGAATTGTACACATGAGAGCGCTCACAATGCAATTTTCCAAAAAATTAATGTTTCTAAGTGGCATAACTCTTTAAAAATAATTGATTGGCACTGATTTTCCAACTTATCCAAGACATTGCAAATATAAACCTATGATATAAGTTTCATAAAAATCTGGCAAGAATTGTGCACATCTGAGCGTTAACAAGACTGGACGGACGCCCAGTATTTCTATGTCCCCCACAACGCGTTGCCCGGTAGACAACAAAGCATTTTAAAAAATCATAATCAATTAAAAGCAAAAATATTTTTTTAAATACTGTGGATTCATTCATTTTCCTGGATATTTGATTTCGTGGTTTTGCCAAAGTCTTCATATAAGCTTATAAATAAAATGCTTCGCTGAGCACAGCCTGATACGACCGCAGAGGTCGAACCCTGAACAGTTGGGGCAAATTTGGACACAATATTCAAGCTTGATACTGTCTGAATTTGGATTGTTATCAAATTTTTGACATACATGTAATATAGGTTTCTGACACAAAATAAATGTGGTCAAAGATCTTATAAATCCATTGGGCAATACTGTGCAATTGAAGATTTCTTCTTGAAACTTTTTAAAAATTCGATATTTTAAAAATTTTGAAAAAAAAATATGAATCCCTTAAAAAAATTGGGAAAAAAATCCCCCCCCCCCACTTTTTGAAACCCCCCTTGGAGTATTAACCCCAAAACTCAATCCCAGCCTTTCCTTTGTAGTATGGAACCTTGTAGTACAATTTCAGAGAGATCCATACACTTACACACAAGTTATTGTCTGGAAACTAGAAAAATGCTTGTTTTTGGCACTTTTTTGGCCCCTAATTCCTACATGTTTGGGGCAATTAACCCCAAACTCAATCACAGCCTTCCCTTTGTTATATGGAACCTTGTGGTACAATGTCAGAGAAATCCATACATTTACACACAAGTTATTGTCTGGAAACTAGAAAAATGCTTCTTTTTGGCCCCTTTTTGGCCCTTAATTCCTAAACTGTTGGCCCCATAACCCCTAAAATGAATCCCAACCTTCTACTTGTGGTATTAAACATTGTGGTACAATTTCAAAGCAATCGAAATACTTATACACAAGTTATTATCCTGAAACTAGAAAAATGCTTGTTTTGGGCCCCTTTTTGGCCCCTAATTCCTAAACGGTTGGGACCATCATCCCCAAAATTAATCCCAACTTTCCTTTTGTGGTATTGAACCTTCTTACAAAATTTCATAGAGATCCATTCACTTCAACTAAAGTTATTGTCCGGAAACCAATGTGTCTTCGAACGATGACGCAGACGACGACATCATACCATTATACGATCCCAAAAAATTTTTAACAGTTGTATAAAAATTAGTTATTCGTTGAACATTTAAATTCGTTGTTCACCATACCCATGAAATCCACAAAAATTGGTATCCCGAGAAATGATAATGAATCTACAGTATATGTTAAATCATTTAACTCACAGAATTGATTTTATTTTGGTATTAAAAAACAACATAACATTGCAAATATATATGATATTCACTACTCCAAAAAAGACTCTTTTTATAACAAATTCAACAACACAGAAAAACCATTTAACAAACCAAATATATTAAAAATATAAATTCTTCCCAAATTATGTGCTATTTCATTTCTTTGTTCAAGTTAGTGCAGGTATTTTTGTTTTGTTGTGTATTTGACTTTTATGACATATATTCTAGATAGGCAAAGGATTAGGTTTTGTACACACAAAACAAGTTTAACCTTGCCATTGTTAGGTAGTTGGTGTGGTTTGTAATACTATATTTTTGGTAAATCCTGTTGTACTTTTTATGTATCATAAATTGTGTTAAGTGGTTTATTTTGGATAGATGAAGTCAACATAATTGTTTGTTCATACAAGCAAAATGATTGCTAATTCAATGAGTAAATGCATCCATTCTATTTCAAAGTGACAGGGTTTAAATAGCCAAAATTTGGAAGTATATGTACTTCTAATACAGAAATGTTGATTTACTTAATCTGTCTTTTGTCTGAAAGATGATGTGATGACATTCCCCTGAGGACTTCATTTGTTCTGATATCTCCATCCAATTCATCCATCAGTTCTTCATTCCTTGCCATGGAATCTGTCAGATCATTTGTTGGTCTATTGGGGTATCCACGTAGAGACCCATGTAATGGTGTCTTTTGACTCTTACGCCTTGCCCTGATAGATTTACCTGTGTCACTAACCAGTCGATCTTTAAAAAGAACAATAATCAAATTAAATGCCATTACATGTACATGTATTGCAGTCACTCAAAAGGTCCATTAGACCCATAGTTTGGTCTAGAAATGTGTCCATTTACTAGTATCAGGAAAGATTCTAAACATAGAACTACAATTTCCTTAACCATATACTGACTGAAATCTTGATAAGTTAAATACTGAGATTCAAATTATGTAAAAAATATTTCCCTTTAACTGGCTTTTCATGAAAATAAAATACACAAATTAAACAAATATGAGAAGAGTAAATACTGAAATGTATGATTTTAAAGTGAGAAAAAATAATAATTCAAATATTCCTTACCAAGTTGCCTGCTAGGTAATTCACTAATAAGCTCAGCAGCATCTCTTGCTGATCCATATCTTGCCCAGCTATGCCCACTCCCTGTACCACCATCTGAGTGTCGCCTATCTAATGGAATTCTCCCATCCATATTTATTATTTGATGATTTGCATCTCTTCCCATGCTGTCATCTAAATATCCTGGGTTAACTGAGGAAGACATAATATTCTTTGTCATAGTAAAAAAAATTTCTCATCAGTATACTATTATATTCACAAATATATTCTTAAGATTACACCTGAATGTTTATTTTAAATGTTACAACCCAACAACCTGTAAACTAGTTACTAATCAAAATTAAAAAGAAATACAGTTACCAAGGAACCAATACTAAATTTACATTAAATCTAATATTATTATTTCTAATAACATCAGTCTTAGCTCTAGATATATTTTGATTGACATTTTCAAAATGAATAAAAGATTAAAGTTAATATAAATTTTCACCTGACACATAATAAGGACCCTTTTTCATTATCTTCAACTTGAATTTATTCATGTTATTTATAGGACATGGTCTGGTATATGTCTCTAGATCTATAAATATTTATTTTCGACTGGTATTATCAAATCGTATTTAGGGTGTAGATGAGTGTTACAATGGGTTGTTGCAGAAAAGTGGAATGGCAATATGACAGTTTCATTTAAATGTACATTGTACCTTTATCAAGTGGTACCCACAATGCAACAACTTCATCTAATTTGACATGGGATCCAGTATGAAATATCAAGGTCAAAGGTCTATACAAATATTTTACTTACTTTGAGACATTTCCACGGCTTCACCCCGCCTGGTCCGGGATGGATCACCACGTGGGTCTCTTGACATTTTGTCTTTTACTCCGAACTTAATCACATTGCCTTATCTGTGGAAGAATATGCTTTATTATTTACACATTATACATTCTGTAAAGGGTTATATTTTCAAGCAAGGTCTCTCCACGAACAAGTGAATATTTACATACCTTTAAATTACCCTTTAAATATGAACGGAATTGTATATCACCATGATATCAAACTATCTATCAATACATATATCAATTACCGGTACAATACACTAAGAATAAAAAAGAGGAAATCAAAATGTCATACCATTTACAATTCATTGGATCATTTGAGCCTTTAATGTAAAAGATTAAGTACATGTGCACCTACAATTAGCTATAGAAACATGCATGAAAACGGTGAATGTAATTTGCTAATACTGCATATTCACATACCTTTAAGTTACCCTTTAAATATCTGAATGGAATCATATATCACCATGATATCACACTATCTATCAATACATATATAAATTACAATGCACTAAGGATATAAAAGAGGAGTTCAAAATGTCAAACCATTTACAGTTCATTGGATCATTTGAGCCTTTAATGTAAAAGATTAAGAACATGTGTACCTACGATTAGCTATAGAAACATGCATGAAAACGGTGAATGTAATTTGCTTATAATGTTAGAATCAGAGAGGAGTATTGTTCCATTATCTGCAAATTTTTTATCCCCGTATTTAGGAAGGAGAGGGGTCAATACCAGATTAAACTAACATGAACGAATGTAATAATTTGGGGTCAACAAATAAAAATTAAAAGTTTAAAATGAATCATAATGAACCATACAAAAATTATCCTTAAAATTGTTACTAACTTTATATTTATATTTTATGGATTTTTGTGCTTACAATCTTACCTATTAGTAAAGAATAATCTGTCCACTATCATTATACACTAAGGATACATTCTATCAATACTCAAACATGTAAATTTTGTAAACACCCAATAAAAACAGTAATAATGGACACGTTAACAATCTTTTATGCCTCTAGGTCGTGTTATAAATATTTTTAAAAATCTTAAGTACATATGTAACACAATACAATGTCCACATATACTGAACTTGTGGCATTTTTTACAATTCATCATCAACTTACATGAGGACATTACAGTGAAATGTGTCCAGTCACTTTTTCTAATCAGTAGTTTATTAAATTGTCACGATTAAAATCCACATTTAAACCTGGGTTGTGTCAATACACAAATACACTTCCGTGATGTTTTTTAAATACCTGTGACTTTTTTCAAATCTTTTGATAGCACGATTTGCATTTGGATATAAATGATAAATTGTTTCAAGGAGATATTAGTATTAAATTTTAAGACAAATGTTGAAATGCTAGAATTGCCTTTTTTTTTTTATCTAATTGTCATTTGATTATACACTTGTATTGTTTAAACTTAATGTAAAAAAAAGTTAAACCATACATGTACACTAGTTAAGAAATCCTCTATTTCAATCTTTCATTTTAATAATTAATTTTGTTAAAAAATTACATTTTAATGTAATGAAAAACAACAGGTTAATTTCATTACCTTTTTAACAAATTAGACTAATTAATTTGTCATAATTAATCAGTCCATTAAAAATTCATGTCATTTTCCTGATTTCCAATCAAAAAGGGTGAAATGGAAACAGTAATCAAAACTATTCAGTATATGTAAATACTAACCAACCATTTTCTTTCATGTCACCTTAGACTTTATCAGTGTGTAGATTAGACAGTGTTATGCATGTTAGTACATCTGTTGATATTGGTTAAATAGCAATTGAAAGAATGAATTTTTTTGTAAGTAGTTTTTCTATTTTTAGTTGTTACAAGCTACTTTAACTTTAATACACTTTATGCTACATATGTTGCTTTATACTGACATTACAGACAATTATTATTATAAAATTACATTTATCAATGACCTATTGGATCAATTTGGATGCAAGTGCTTCAAAACCATGATTACCGGTAATCAACAACATTTTAATGTTTGATCAATGTAAAAATACACTAGTATACCTTACATCCAAAGTCACTTAAGTGCAGCTATGAAGTGGGGCTTATAATTCTGCTAAACATTTTAACATAGACTGCTTACTATGCAACAGCAAAGCAAGCATCAATAGTCTGATAAAGAACTTCTTTAAATGCCCTTATATTTTGCATATATATGGGTTGTCTGTTTGTGAAAGAAGCATTCTCTCTAAATTTCTGTTATATATTATAATCCGTCCAAGCAGTCTCATGGTATGATTCTGAGGTCTTTGGTTTGACCCTTTGCCAAGTCAAACCAACACTTAATTTGTGTTTCCTGCTTCCAGTTTTGTGGGAAGCACACATCATTTAGGAGTAAGAGCAAAACGATTATTTATGAGTTCTTTTTATCAATTTACATAATTTTATGGACTAGAATTTAATTAATGAATAGCATGACAATTTTCTAAGCTGTTTTTTAATTTTATTTGTCCAACGGCAATAACTCTGATTTGCTTTTTTATTGTTCTTTTAAACTTTTTCATAAAAAAAACTGACAAGAAATGAAGGAGTGAGAGCAATTAAAATGCAATTTTCAATACAATTTCTATTTCCATTGGGCTCAACTCCAATAAAATGTTGATCAGCCATGATTATCTATATGAAGTTTATCTGAAAAATTGCTAAGATAAACACCTATAATTTCTTATTCGTATAAAAAAAACAGTAGAACTTTATTTGTAATTATATGTCAGTTACATCGGACGTCAGTATAGAAAATAATACTCCTTCAACATGAGACTGTAAAACATTGAAGTTAAGATATGATCCCTATGGCTATGTAATTACAGGGACCTCAACATCATTCAAGACCAAGAGGTTATTAACAGTCTGAAAAAAGGACCATAATATGGCCATGGTTTAAAATTAATTGAAAGAGTGTCAGATGCTCTTTCATCCTATTGTAAAAAGTGGAGTAAACAGGAGAAATCTGACAAAAAGTCACTTGATTCCTATTTAAATAAATGTCTGAATAATGTTGATATTCACATATCACATTTCTAAAATAATTAAGAAATAAATAAAAGAATGAGGAATACGCCCTGGCATTTCTAGGACTAAAAACAAAATTTAAGTACTTGCAAAGTGTTTTGTGCTCCTACGGGTTGACAAAGAAGCCACCAATGAAGTGGTGGTATGACTGAATACTACATGGAAGTCCTATAAGAATGAAATTATACATTCAACTACATTCAAAGCTGTACGCTCCACAGAAGAGTCAAATATTAAATAATCATGTTACTACCACAGCTCAGCTTAAGGCCTCCTCTGAACATTTGAAGGCCCCCACTATATATTGGTTACCTAAACTACACAAAAATCCTGCAAAATATAGTTTCATCTCAGCTTCTAGTAAGTGTTCTACTTCTTTAATATCTTTCAGTGCTTGTAACAAGTTCCTTAACTACTTAAAAGAACTTATCATTAAATTTTGTAATAAAACATATGAAAATAGTGGAATTAACTATTGTTGTAGTGTAAAACATTCTTTGGATGTTTTAGGTAAATTACATGCTTTTGATCATGTTGATGGTCTTTTTAATTCAGTTGACAGTTTTGACTTTTCCACTCTTTATACTACACTTCCACACAATCTTATCAAACAAAAGTTTTCCTACTTAATTAAATGGTCCTTTGATAAATCTTATTTTAAATCAAATTCATTTGCTGCAACTCATATAATGCCTTTTTCTCTAATAAGAAAGGTAAATATGCTAGATATACTTACTGGAGGTGTGATGAGATGATTACAGCTATAAATTTTCTCCTTGACAACATTTATGAACATTTCAGCAATAAAGTTTATCGATTGGTTGTAGGTATTCCTATGGGCACCAATTATGCCCCTTCAATAGAGGATGTGTTCCTGTACTGTTATGAATCACAGTTTATGGCCAACTCCATAAAGACCCATCTAAATTCCATTTAATTGATTAATTCAACAACACTTACCATTATCTTGATGATTTTTTCGTTGAATAATCAAGAATTCTCCAAATATATTACTGAAATTTACCCAAGGGAACTTACTTAAAATAAATCAAATATAAACAGCAATAAATGTCCTATCCTAGATGTAGATATTTCAGATTTACACAAGAAACTCTACACAAAAATTTAAGACAAAAGGGACAAGTTTTTCTTTCCCTATTGTAAATTTTCCTTTTTTGGGACGGTGATGTTCCGTTGTCACCGTCTTTAACAGTGTTTACCTATCCTAACTCGTTTGCTATGTCTGTGTCTATAGTGACGTTTTGGATTTCAATGAGCGTTATTTATGTATTACTGGTAAATTATTAAGTCAGGGATTTAGTTACCATAAATTACTTAAAACCTTTACTAAATTCTTCAAAGATACAAAGATTTGGTTTGCAAGTTTGGCTGTACCTGTAGAATACTTATTTCAAACGGAATAACACATTCTAAATTTTACGGTGATGTTGTTTACCGAGCCCAGAGATAAAAATACAATCCGTGTAAACAGAAATAATTTTATCAATCGTTTAAATAAACTTATTCTAAAAGGTTACCAATTCAACACTGTAATTAGATCTTTTGGTATGGAAAATTTGTTTTGATGAAAAGTATAGTGGAAGACCAACTGACATGTTAGCACTGTTTTCAGAGAAAGAAATTTGTTTGTCTGGTCTTTAAGTGACAATATCCAATAGTTAAAATGTATGTGACAATAATATCCAACTCTTAGCATTGCTTAGACAGATTATTTCATTTATAAAGTCAGAATTCCTGTCTTTAAATAAATTACCAATACATGTATTTGCACAAAATGTTGTAGATCTATGAAATTATAAAGAACATTGATAATTCAGGTGTGTGCGTCTTATTATCAAACTACTGAACTTTGCATAAAAAAGGGGGACTGGTCACCTTTTAATATCATTTTTTTTAAATCATGTACATGTATAATTATTTTTAAAATCATACATAACATTCAAACAATCATTTATCCCGATTTAAAACTGAAAACATTAGAAGTTTAGTAATTCTATCCTCACACACAATGACTCAAAGTCTTATGTGGGTCACATAAGCTGACAGCATTGTAAATACTACCCTTCCATACACAGCCTGACAGGCATTTGTGTCTGGAAAAAAACACCTGTATGTCTTAATATAAAGTTATTATTTTCTAAAAACAAGTGCTTGTGTCAACAAAGTACAGATTTTAACAAGGCACTGGCTACGGTTACATGGAAATGTAACAATAATAAAAAAATTATTGTTACATTGGAGACTAATTGCCGGAATGCAGGGTTGGGTAAGGAACCGATTAATTACCAATGTAACAATAATATGTGTGTCTACGGTTACATTGCGTTATAGTTACATTAATGCACTGCAATGTGGGAGTAGTAATATGTATTAAAATAAAACTTGAAAACTTTTAATTGATATTTATTGCATACTGAACAATTCCATTCTGCATTATCTCTTTTTGAAGTTAAAGAAACTTTCAATGTCTGCCATGCTTCAGGTGAAAAATATTTTTTTACTCTTGCGATGTTTATAATTTCGTCCAATATTTTTGTTGGAAGCTTGTGAGGTTGTTTCATGTTGTCTTTTAATATGATTTCGTTGCCGTCCATTACTGATTTTATGTTTTTTTTTTCTCCCATAACAAATTTGGTAATAGGAATCACTTTCCAATGATCCATTGTTCAAAGTATGACAGTAATGAGGATGTGTGTGCAGTTAAATACAGCCCAAGTTCTTAACAACAAACCATTGAACTATATTTTTCGCCTTTAGCACTACTAAACTGTAGTAGTATCTTTAAGAACATCAAATTAAAACAATTAATACTTAAAACTATTTAAACACTATTTGTTGAATAATTATTATTATTACTAATATTATCTAGTATATATAGAAGAATTAAGCAACAAAACTAATGTAACAATAACGCAATGTAACCGTAGACACAAATATTATTGTTACATTCATAGTTAATCGGTTCCTTACCCAGCCGTGCATTCCAGCAATTAGTCTTCAATGTAACAATAATTATTTTATTATTGTTACATCTCCATGTAACCGTAGCCAGTGCCTTTTAACAACGTCCCAAATCAAAAGGGTATGTGCCTTTCTTTTTGCCTTTGGGTCAATAATAACCCATAGGCTTCTCAAGTTCTACAGATCCATCCTAGTGACAATTTCTCCACGTGTAATAACATAAGCATAAATACCTACAAAGAATAAAACTTTTGTGCGGCATTATTACGAACTTATAAACTTATACGGGTTTAAGCTGATTTCAAATGCATTCAAGACCATTCAATTTCAAAGACCTTGCCATCACTGTAAATCTTTTACATAACTTTTATATATGTATATAAAATCTTGTTTATAGCGATGAATAGTTACCTGTTAAACAGGAATATACTTTTCAGTTTGTGACACTTTTTGCTGGAAAAAAATGTTCTGAAAAATGTCAACAATAGAACAAATTCCACTTCCGGATATTTTGACAAGGGAGATAATCCATTACAACATTCCAAACATGTCCTAACCAGTGCCTCAGCTTTTGTTTACATATATAAAACTGTTATATTTGCATCTACAGTGAACCACGATAGTTAAATTTGGTAATGTATAATATTTTTTGGCAAATAATGATTCAAAAACAATTTAAACGATCGATACAAGTCAGCACAAATAAATTTCCACGTGAATTTAATGTTATAAATATAAAAAAGGGGGATGGTATACATTTAAAGTTAAGCAGCTCCCAAATTGGGTTAAGAAAACAATTTGAGATATTATATGCCAAATGGGATCTTAATTTAAGGGCAAATATCAGATAGCACACAAACAGTTACTCGATCTGTTTTATTGATTGAGAGAAATGTTTTTAGAAATAGTTTATGATTTTTAGCAATTTCTTCTTCTTTTCTTCTTCCAGGTAAGGAACCAGATTCAATATTTGAATGTACATGGTTCCGCGCAATAACTTTGTGCAGTGTTGAGCAACACAGAAAGTTCTCTCATGGCTATTTACATTTAAAACATTATTTTAACTATCAGTGGCTGATCCGGGGGGGGTTCTGGGGGTTGGAACACCCCCTTTTTTTTTGACGATCAATGCATTTGAATGGGGACATATAACCCCCCTTTATCCTGGGTTGGGAACCCCCCTTTTATAAATGGCTGGATCCGCCCCTGACTGTTATAAGTTAACTATATACATATCGGTGTTGCCTATTTCATTTCAGAGCATGCCTTTAAGGCAGCTCTGAATCCTTCAACTGTGTTGGTAGATTATTCCAATCCCTGATGGTCCTTGGGAAGAAAGATTGGCCGTAGACATCTGTACTGTTCTTTCTTGGTAGAAGTTGTTTTTACCTCTGGTTATCGTTTGGAGTCCAATATTGTTGATGATATTCTATGTCTTTTAGATCGTGCTTGATCTTGAATAGCATGCATAATCTATTTGTTTTCCTTCCGCTCTTCAAGGCTTTCCAATTTAAAATTTTTGAACATATTTGTAACTCAGCCAGGTTATCGATCTGTGTAGTTGTTATTCACAAAATCTTGCTGCTCTTTTCTGTACTTGTTCTATTGCCTTGATCTTATTTTGGTTTGATGGATCCCATACTGTACATGCATATTCCACTACAGGTCTTACCATGGATACATACATGTATGCAGCTGCTTTTACAGGTTTTGTACAGCCTTTTAGATTTCTGCAGATAAATCCTAGGGTTCTTTTTCCTTTGCCAACTGTATTGTCGATGTATTTAACCCAGGTAAGGTGGTTACTGATTGTTACTCCTAGGTATTTGCTGGCTTCAACTGTTTCTTGGGTATGACCATGGAATTTGTAAGTTGTTTGTATCACTGCACGTTTTTTTCGGTGATATTCTTATAACAAGTCATTTTTTGGCGTTGAAACTCATTTGCCATTTATCTTCCCAATCTTCCAGTGATGTTAAATCTTTCTGAAGAAGGTCACTTTCTGCTTGGTTGGTGATGGTTTGATAGAGTAGGCTGTCATCGGCAAATAAATTGGTCTCTGATGTTGTTGCTGTTTCTGGCATGTCATTGATTTAGGCCAGGAACAGTAATGGTCCAAGAACTGTGCCTTGGGGTACATCAGAGAGTACTGGTACTTGCGTGGAGACAGCACCCTCTAGTATGGCACTCTGCTTTCTGTTATGTAGGAACAAGCAAATCCATCTGTTGGTTTGAGGATTGGCGCTGTAATATTTCAACTTCTGAAGTAGGTGATGATGTGGCACCTTGTCAAATTCTTTTGCAAAATCTAGTAGGATGATATCTACTTGGCAGTTACTTTTTAATTTTGATGCAATGTTGTGGATGGTTACGATAAGTTGGGATTCGCAAGATCGTCTTTTTGCGGAAACCATGTTGTAGTAAGGATTTTATTTCTATCGAAGTGGTCCATTATGTTACTGTGTACGATATGTTTTAAGACCTTGCCTGTGATGGATGGAAGAGATACTGGCCTGTAATTGTAGTTAGATGCTAAGTGCCTTTCGTCTTTTAGTCTTGAAATAACGTTTTAATTCTTTTTCAGAAGTTTTTCAGTTAATGTATGGTGTTGTAATTGTTCAATATAATCATCAAGTCCATATTATATACATATATGCTGAGACTACTGTGCAATAACTTATAATAGTAGTAGTCCAAGATACATGATTCAATTCAAAGATTTTATTGTTCAAATCATTATATTTAAAAAAAAATATATGATATAGTGTACTTTATTCATAATGTATGTAATGTATAACTGTATACATGATATAACGTTAATTTTATTTGATATAAAATCCAGTACCAAAGGATCATCACTGATTTACATTCAAAATATAAAATAACAATTGAGACATACATTAACAAACACATCAATTAATCAGGTCTATTATTCTCACAGACAAATGTCTGATTTGGGTACATCTATCTATGCATTAGATTTTTTTTATTTGTAGGTGAAATATATTGCACCAAAAATTTAAAAAAACATCACTCTTGAAGATACAACTACCATCTTCAAATAATATATAATTTATATAATAGGGTGGTTAATCATTGTTATTTTTCCAAGCAACTAGATACATGTATAGCAATGTCATCCTGTTGAAAAGTAATTTTTTTAGTCATTTCACTATTGCATATTTGAGACAATAAATAAGACTTAACACAATACATGTGTACATAACTTTCAGTGTAATGGAAAGGGTGAGAAATTGATTTCTGTCTCTTGTGTTTAAAAGACCTTAATATGTAGTAATTCATAAACTTAACGGAACAGAAAACATTTATCAATATAATACAAAACTCTCAAATAGGAGTAGCCACTTGCAAAAGTCAAGTGTAAATTTTTTTCAGATAATGAATGCATGTAATTCATTTTATCTCAATGAAAATTGCCTGTCTCTACACAGCACATCAATATTTGCAACCCATCTTGGACAATCAACCTGTAAATAAATAATTTTTTTAATTATTTATTTGTTAAAAAGCCTCTTGTACACTGGACTGCAATGACTTGAATGACTTAAACTAATATCAAACCACCTGTGCATGAAATTCTACCCGTATACTTTTAAATATTCAATCAAACAGACCAATCTATAAATACCATAAAGTCATAAACACAACAAATTTGTATCGATATATCATTATGTACAACTTTGATAAATATAATAGTTACAACCATGGTACGTGTAGAATTTTGAAAATAAAACACAAAAAAATCATACATTTCATATTTTCATTTCATTAATTAAACATTACTTGATGTGTGTTGTAATGTTACATTTGAATATGTGCAATATATTTGTATGAGGTAATATATATAACATGTCAGTTTTAGACTATAAGACAACAAATTAAAGTTTTCATTATACTGTTATAGAAAATGCCTCTAAACTTGTTTGGAAACAAGTTTTCTCCAAAGAAAACCCCACCAAGGAGAGCACAATCTTTATCTAATATCAACTTGGATGCAGACCAGGCCAGAGAAGAGTTTGGACCAAATATTGGACCTGTGAAATTAAGACTAGGGGGCAATGAGGTTCAGTTTGAAAATGGAATGTGGATTCAAGGTAAAATTTTATAAAGTCAGTAGTGGAAAATGTAAGTATACAAATAAGGAGATGTGGTATGATTTCAAATGAGACAACTAGTCACCTGAGATTAAAGGATGAGGATGGTAACAACTGCTGGTCACTTTAGGGCTTTAACATTGAGAAAACCCCATACCATGTAATTTGCTACAGAAGACTCCAGTATGACAAAATGTGAAACAGTTATGCTTAAAACAACAATTGGAAAAAATAAATAGGCAGGCAGCAACAATATAAACATTTGGCTAACAGTGTTGGGACAGGCACATAAAAGTAGCAGGGTTTAACGTGTTTGTGAACACTTAACTGACTCAAGCCTCCCTTAACCTGGGGCAGTGGTGTAACTACACAACGTAAGAACACCCTGTAAAAATCTGTTATAAAGGGCTTGACACATCAGATCAGTGCTGAGCACAAAAACAAATATCAGAAAAACAAAGGACACAAAGTACCAATCTAATAATACTTTTAGTTACTTAGGATGTATTCTTCTGACGTTACAGTCTCGTTAAAATCTCGTTCTTGAATTATTTCCAAAACATGTGATAGAAGTGGAAAACATCAGTGAATTTAAAAAATGTTATAATCAAACTTAACTCTGTGAAAAAATTGTGTATTTACAATGAGTAGTTTTTGAGTAATCAATTTTTTAAATATTATTACCAATCAAGTCAGTCTTTTAAGCCAAAATTTTGAGAAAATGGGTGAGGGGTACACGAAATGATTTTACCAGAAACATGTACATCCCATATCACTTTTTTCTTTTCAAATTTCTTAAGATATGTATTTTTAGCTCACCTGGCCCAAAGGGCCAAGTGAGCTTTTCTCATCACTTGGTGTCCGTCGTCCGTAAACTTTTACAAAAATCTTCTCCTCTGAAACTACTTGGCCAAATTTGACCAAACTTGGCCACAATCATCATTGGGGTATCTAGTTTAAAAAATGTGTCCGGTGACCTGGCCAACTAACCAAGATGGTCGTCATGGCTAAAAATAGAACATAGGGGTAAAATGTAGATTTTGGCTTATATCTCTGAAACCAAAGCATTTAGAGTAAATCTGACAAAGGGTAAAACTGATTATCAGGTCAAGATCTATCTGCCCTGAAATTTTCAGACAAATCTGACAACCTGTTGTTGGGTTGCTGCCCCTGAATTGGTAATTTTAAGGAAATTTTGCAGTTTTTGGTTATTATCTTGAATATTGTAATAGATAGAGATAAACTGTAAACAGCAATAATGTTCAGCAAAGTGAGATCTTCAGATAAGTTGTCATGACCAAAATTGTCAGTTGGCCCCTTTAGGAGTTATTGCCCTTTGTAAGGTGTACATGTCTAGCTGGCAGGTGTCATCTGACCTTGACCTCATTATCATGGTTCAGTGGTTATAGTTAAGTTTTTGTGTTTTGGTCTGTTTTTCTTATACTTTATGCAATAGATCTACTATATTTGGTGTACATGGTGTATGGAATGATTGTAAGGTGTACATGTCCAACTGGCAGGTGTCATCTGACTTTGACCTTATTTTCATGGTTCAGTGGTCAAAGTTAAGTTTTTGAGTTTTGGTCTTTTTTCTTATACTATATGCAATAAGTCAACTATATTTGGTGTATAGAAATATTCTATGATGTACATGTCAGTCTCGCATGTTTTATTTTACCTTGACCTCATTTTCACGGTTCATTGCTCAGTGTTAAGTTTATGTGTTTCAGTCTGTTTTTATTCTTAAACTATAAGCAATAGGTCAGCTATATTTGTTGTATGGAAGGATTGTAAGCTGTTCATGTCTGTCTGGCATGGTACATCTGACCTTGACCTCATTTTCACGATTCATTGGTCAATGTTTAGTTTTCTTGGTTAAGTCTGTTTCTTAGAAACTATAAGCAAAAGGTCAACTATATTTAGTGTATTGAATGATTGTAAGGTGTACATGTATTTCTCGTTTGGTTTATATGACCTTGACTTCATTTTCTTGGATCATGTTAAGTTTATGTAATAGTTGTAGTAAAGCTTTCATTTAGGACTATCAACATAATATCAATGGTTAGTAAAGAAGGCGAGACATTTCAGCGTGTGCACTCTTGTATAAAGTTGCATTACTATCAGTACATATCAGTTTGAGATTATTTTCAGGCCCTGCCTAGTAGATAATGGTCCAGCACCTGAATTAATAAATCATGTTGCTGTCCTTCAGATTGTCTTTTTCTGACTTTTAAGCTGACAGGCGAGACATATCTCTGTGTCAAAATTACTACCTGTTTTTTTTTTGAAAGAATTTTCTAAACTTTTCTTTGATATTTGAACATACATTTATATATACATGTGTGAAAAATCTCATTTAATATTTGTTTATAAGTACGTTCTATATGAATTTTGAATGTATATCTAGACATGATTACATTACATGTATGTTTCAGAAGAATCCGTTATTTTGATTGGATAACAATGCTTGCGCCTCATACTAAAATTAGTCTTCATATCCCAATGAAGTTAGTGTAACATGCATGATGACACATGCCATCACAATAAAGTGCACAGCTTAATTAAGGAAATAAATGATAGAAATCGATTTTTCATGACCCTAGCATTAAAATGTAATTATAAGAATTGAATTCTTCTCTTAGTAATTTTATAGGGTTGTAAAAGTGTTGCTTCTGCGCTTCATACAAAATGTGCTTCGGTCAACACTTTTACACCCCAATTAAATTACAAAAAGAAGCATTCAATTCTTAAATGAAAAGTAAATATACTCTTGATTTATTTTAGAAACTGGAGGTGGTGGAGGAGCAAGTCATAAAGAAGTAATGAAACTAAGAAAAGAAAATCAACAAGTATCAGAGGAAAACAACCTACTCAAACTTAAAATTGATATACTGTTGGATATGGTAAGTCCTGATAATTTCAACAATTTGCTTACGTGCATGTCATTTGGACTCTTGTGGCAATCATACAACATTGCCTTTTTTTTAATAAAGATGTTTTTGTATTGTTATGAGTTACAATTTATGACTAAAATCAGCAAAGACCCATCGAAACAACATCTGATATAAAAATTTAACAATACTTTTAGATATTTGGATGATATATTGGCTCTCAATAATGACGACTTCAGTATGTATACTAAAGAAATTTATCCTGTTGAACTAAATTTAAATAAAGCTAATACTAACAATGACCACTGTCCTTTCCTCGATCTTGATATCTATATCATTAACGGGAAGCTTAATACAAAAATTTATGATAAAAGAGATGATTTTTCATTTCCTATCGTTAATTATCCATTTTTAGATGGTGACGTTCCCTTGTCACCATCTTATGGTGTTTATATATCTCAACTTGTACGATTCGCTTGTATATGTAACAACGTATTAGATTTTAGCGAGAGAAATTTATGTATTACTGAAAAATTATTACACCAGGGTTTTCGATATCATAAACTAGTCAAAACATTTACTAAATTTTATTATCGGTATAAGGACATCATCCGTAAATATAACTCAACATGCAGATATCTTATATGTTCGGGTATTTCACATCCAATCTTTTATGGTTTTTCCTGTGTATAATTTGGAGTTTTGTATGACGTCCATTATCACTGAACTAGTATACATATTTGTTAAGGGGCCAGCTGAAGGACGCCTTCGGGTGCAGGAGTTTCTCGCTGCATCTCTTTGACACATTCCCCATTTCCATTCTCAATTTTATAGTATGAAGAATAAGTCTTATTTTATGATACAGTTTCACAGAAAAACTGCAATTAAGCCAAATGAAGAGTGATTACTTGACGTTTGGACTGGAAACCTCAAAATGTTTTCAGCTGTTATTTTATTTTTATGATTCTTTGAATCATTTTAAGAGATAATCACACTTGTAGAAATAATATCACTCAAGTAAAAAAAGAGATAACTTTTTAAAATAAATTGAAAATGATTCCCCCATAGTACATTCATAATTTTTAGGGCTCTCAGACTTAAAAACAGTGTTTAAAAAAAGAAAAGCATGAAATTTAACCAAATAGCTTTGTCCTTGCTTGGGAAAGCATTTTATATTGGGTGGGTATGACCATTGTTCATGAGCTCAATCATACCCTTATGCAGATGAACAATAGGCAGCAATATATAAAATAGTCCTGTCCATAAATGTTAATAGTCTATAGACCAAAGATAAATTTATAGATTTAGGAATTTTTTTTTAAATGGTTCATGACAAATAAAGATTTAGATTTCAGTGCAGTATTAAGTCTGTATCTATGTTTGATTATCACCAAAGACAAGAAAGGTTTTAATATTTACATGAAATCTATGGCAAAATGTTTTAAAATTTATGAAAAATTTCTTTTTATTAAAATCTAAGATAGAAACTGGTTCAAATAATGAAACAATATTTGCAATTATTCTTGATAATTTTGTATCTTCTTATGACAGGAATCCTTTCACATACAACAACTTTCTTTCTAGAAACTAGAAAGTTTTTTAAATTAAACATTTTTGTTCTCTTTTGAATGATATTTTATTTTTATTGATTTTGGATTTTATAAAAGATTTAAATACTTTAAATTCAGATGAATATTTTATTATGAATCATAATTTATTTATTTAAAAAAAATATTACAGTATACAAACTGTTTTTTGATTTACTTCTTTTTTACCAATAATTTTCTGACTCAATGTCTACATAACACAGTATTAAAACAAAACAAGAGACATAAAAACTACAATAACTAGAAATAGAGCTAAGCGACGCGACCCGATGCGACGCAACTGATTGTATGAAATATTTCACCAAGCTGTCCACACGCGTTACCCTAGTGCTATCCAAAAATCCTGGTGAGAACACTGAATACCCTGTACAATTGAATATTGCAGAGAGCAGTGTTTAGCTTTGTTAATGACAATATACATACATTAATTCTTTTATTTAATATCCAAAAGATTTTTTAATGGAAAGGTTTTTACATTTACTTTACTTTTTTTCAGCTTGCAGAAGCTTCAGCAGTGTCACATTATCATGAAACAGAACTTAAACAAATGAGAGCACAGGTTGGAAAGAGACGGTGATTAAAATTTATAAAAGAAATTGTTTGAAGGGAAATACACACTTCTGACATTGTAGGAGTAAACCTTTAATTAAAAAGTTTGCATGAGAAACATTTCTTTATTGCATAGAGAATTATAATTTGGCAATTATCAAGTATATGACTTCTTCAACTTCATATTTTAGATTCTCCTCTAACTGTTATAAAGTTATATAAACACTGTGTAGGGAGTATTTTAAATCCTGAATCTACTACTCAAGGCCCATAAATTATTCTTTTGCACATATTAATTACAATAGTCACTCATACTGGAAGTTCAAAAAGCATTATTTCTCATGAGAAAGTGAAATCATGCTTGAATTTTTGATCTCAGTAGTTATAAATTTTCTTACACACTATGAAATAATTATGAAAATTACAATGTATTCTTATACAATGTAGTAAGGATCATACAATCATTTCAAAGCATTATATCAGTTTGATAGGGTGCTGCTTGTTCAATTTTACCAAACACATTTTATTTCCAACTTAATTTTTGTACATTATTTTGAACATTTGAGGTATATTTGTATATAGTGAAATAAGTGTAACCTGAAATAACAACAAAGTCCGTCCATCATCATTTTGTTATCCCTGTTGCAAATTTTTTTTTAATTTCAGGGGATGTTTAATTAGATTGATTATTTTAAAACTGTGATATTTTATTATGTAATGTAAACTTTGTTGAAATCAAATAGAATACTCTTATGAATTATTTTTCTCATCAAAACACCTTATGATGTTAAGAATCTGATTTTAAAGATCAACATAAGTAGTTTTTTGTCTGTTCAGTGACTTCAGTCTCATGGTATGACTCATAAAGTTCTATTTTGTGTGATTATTTAATAAACAGATGTTAAATTGAGCTTGACACAACAGACAAAGCGAGAGAAATCATTTAATTGAATTGTACCATGTAATTCATTTTTAAGAAAGAGAAGATGTCACTATTACATGAACATTGCATTTGTTGCTAGACAAACAGTATTTTGTATTTTATTCAATGTTTATTGGGAAAGGTTTTATTAAACCAATGCAACACTACATTAGATGTGTATTGATTTAAACAATAGTTATGTATATTTATTTATGTATTGTTAACATTGTAGTGCTTTGATGATGAATTATAGTATGTAGAAATACCTGTTGTTTGATTTTTTTTTTTTAATTGATATATTTGGTGAACAAAAGGAATGAATGTGTTTTTGCATTTACATAGCAGTTTTTGTGTATTTAATTGGACATTCTTGTGTTCATTGCTCTATTTACATCAAGTTAGTCTCAACAAAGTGATTTTTGTAGAGTCTGCGAAATTTATTTCGTGATAGTGAGACATAGTGATCCTAGATGTCAGCGTCGGCAACTTTAAGGTTCAGTCTGTGGTTTTTATTATTTTTTTAAGACTTCAATAACTTTGTCAATCCTACATGGAATTTTATGAAATTTGGACAGAAGCTTGTTTATTTATTTATTTTCATTTTATCCATATTTTACTGATAAATGGACTTAGTTTTTATACGACCGCAAAAATTTTTGCGGTCGTATATTGGTATGACGTTGGCGTCGTCGTCGTCGTCGTCGTCCGGCGTCGTCCGAAGACACATTGGTTTTTCACACTCTAACTTTAGTTTAGGTGAATGGATCTCTATGAAATTTTACCATAAGGTTCAATACCACAAAAGGAAGGTTGGTATTGATTTTGGGGGTTATGGTACCAACAGTTAAGGAATTAGGGGCCAAAAATAAGCATTTTTGTAACTTCCAGACATAACTTGTGTGTTAGTGTATGGACATTGTACCACAAGGTTCCATATCACAAAGGGAATGCTGGGATTGATTTTGGGGGTAATTGCCTCAAAATATTAGGAATTAGGGGCCAAAAAAGGGGCAAAAAAACAAGCATTTTTCTAGTTTCATGACAATAACTTGTGTAAAAGTGTATGGATCTTTCTGAAATTGTACTACAAGGTTCCATATCACAAAGGAGAAGCTGGAATTGAGTTAGGGGGTAATTGCCCGAAACGTTTTGGAATAAGGGGCCAAAAAGGGGCCAAAAATAAGCATTTTTCTAGTTTCCAGACAATAACTTGTGTTCAAGTGTATGGATCTCTCTGAAATTGTGCCACAAGGTTCCATATCATACAGGGAATGCTGGGATTGATTTTTGGGGTAATTGCCTCAAAATTTTAGGAATTAGGGGCCAAAAAAGGGGCAAAAAACAAGCATTTTTCTAGTTTCATGACAATAACTTGTGTGTAAGTATTTGGATATTTCTGAAATTGTACTACAAGGTTCCATATCACAAAGGGAAAGCTGGAATTGAGTTTGGGGGTTATTGCCCGAAACGTTCAGGAATTGGGGGGCCAAAAAGGGGCCAAAAAACACATTTTTCTAGTTTCCAGACAATAACTTGTGTTCAAGTGTATGGATCTCTCTGAAATTGTACTGCAAGGTACCATACCACAAAGGGAAGGCTGGGATTGAGTTTGGGGGTGATGAATCATAAGGGTTGTTCAAAAAATTTGGGGGGGGGGGATTTTTTTTTTTTTTCCTTTTTTTCTTTTTTTCCTTTTTTTTTTTCTTTTAAAATTTTCCATTTTAAGTTGGTTATTTCTGATTTATATTTAAAAGCAAATAATAATGATATGGTAGGAGATACACACCAAACAGGATGTGTAAATTATTATATAATAAGTATTGTGCAATAGCAAGAAATTTTCAATTGCACAGTATTGCACAATAGCAAGAAATCTTCAATTGCACAGTATTGCGCAATAGCAAGAAATCTTCAATTGCACAGTATTGCGCAATAGCAAGAAATATCCAATAGCACAATATTGCGCAATAGCAAGAAATTGTCAATTGTGCAGTATTGCGCAATAGCAAGAAATATTCAATTGCACAGTATTGTGCAAAAGAAGATACTTCGTATAAATTGCTTATTTCTTGACCAATTTCAATGGGGTTTTATTCTTGAATTCTTGGGGTTCTTCAATATGCTGAATCTAACCGTGTATTAAGTTTTTGGATTTTGGGCCCCGTTTTTAAATTGGTCCACATTAAGGTCCAAAGGGTTCAAAATTAAACTTTGTTTGATTTCAACAAAAATTGAATATATGGGGTTCTTTGATAAGCTGAATCTAACCATGTATTTAGATTTTTGATTTTTGGGCCCCGTTATCAACTTTGTCCACATTGAGGTCAAAAGGGTCCAAAATTAAACTTTGTTTGATTTCATCAAAAATTGAATTCTTGGGGTTCTTTGATATGCTGAATCTAACCATTATTTAGATTTTGGATATTGGACCATAAAAGGTGAATGTCCAATTTAAAATTTTTAAGTTCTTAGACCACATTCATTCTGTGTCAGAAACCTATGCTGTGTCAAATATTTAATCACAATCCAAATTCATGTTGAATTCAACTTTTTAACTGATTAAGTCGACAACTTGCTTATTGATGATGAGGTAAAACCACGTGACCATTTTGGAAAAACATAGGTCTATTTTTAAATCGATGTCCATGTCAGTCGTTTTTTTAATGTGCTTCGGATGTTTGAAGCTATCCATTGAGTTCAAGTTCAAATTAAAGTTCAAGTTGATGTTCAGAGCTATTTGGTATGAAAAGGGGAAACGGCAGTCAAATATCAGAAAAAAAGTTCTGAAAAAATAGCAATATTTCGGTCATAATTTAAGGGGGATATACCCACACCACTTAGTCCGGCCGTTTATTTTCCTTAGTTTTGAAACGGAAGCAGTATCATAATGATAATAAATTCGTGGATTCCACGGAACCCTATGTCTCGCACGAGATTACTGTTGTCAGTGAAAAATTGTAATGTTGACTTTAAAAAGTTCATTTTCTGTAACAAACAAAATTTAAATAATAGTTTTTCTCTAGCTGCTTTATCTTGATCTAGAAGATTAACGCCTTTACAAGTTTGATAACAATTCATGGAGGTTTGTTTACTTGCCAGGATAAAACAGTTTTATTTACTGCAAAAAAAACCTGTCCTGTTCCTAGCTACATGTAGTATCTATATGTAGAATCGCAGTGAATTATATACAAAGGAAGCGAACGGGGAGGGATCCGCTAGCTAAATAAAAATAAGAAAATGAACAAAACCTTTAACACACTGATAGTAAGCTATGAAGAATCCGAAATGACATATAAAACAACTCAAACGAGAAACCTAACGATCTAAATGACGAAGACGCCAATTAACGCCACTACTAAATAAAGTAAGGAGATGTGGGGATTGCCAATGAGACAACTAGCCGCCAGAGTTTAATAAAGAGGATGTCAGCAATCATAGGCAGCCGTATGGCCTTCAAGAAATCGTATAGTCGGCTATAAAAGCAACCACGTGGAAATGTGAAACAGTTCAATCGAGAAATGTTACGGCCTTATTTATAACAAAACAATATACGAAAAACAAATATGAAACACATGAACCAACGAAAACCATTAAACTACAGGCTCTTGACTTGGGACAGGCATATGCAGAATGTGGCGGAGTTGAACATGTCTGTGAGCGCTCAACCCTAACCCTTACATGGGACCGCCGAGTAACAGCACAACAAAAACTATAAAATCAGTTGCAGCTGGCTTACTCAATAAATCGGTATTACTGGCCAATATAAATTCCTCAAAATCCGGCGTAGATCTCGATGCTCTGGTAGAGTAAGCTCATCCTGCACAACGTGAGTCACCTCTCGTGTTATTCGCGAAATTACAAACCCACTTATTTGGTCTAATGTGGTAGGTCATCCTCGAGGAAAAGAGGACGGAATTGTGGTTACGAAAATTGGAACATATATTATCCGTCGTTTCCCTGTAACTTGAGTGTGAGTTGATTAAAAGTGTTTCATTTGTTGACAATAAAGTTCAAGTCATTTGATTAATGTCGGGGAAATGAGAAACAACAAACCTTTATTCCGTCGTCGGTAATGGCGTCGGCGTCTTCGTCATTTAGATCGTTACGTTTCTCGGGTTTTTTTTTACATTTGTCATTTCGGGATCTTTCATAGCTTACCATGCGGTGAGGGTTTTGCTCGTTGTTGAAGACCATACAGTGACATATAGTTGTTAACTTCTCCGTGATTTGCCACGGTATGTGGTGGAGAGATGTCATATTTGCTATAATACCACATCTTCTTATTTTTTTTGCAGTTAATAAAACTTTTTTGTCCTGATAAATGTGTAACTCTCCATGAATTGTTATAAAACTTGTATAGAAGTTAATCTTTTAGATCAAGATAAAGAATCTACAGAAAAAAAAACTATTTTTCAAACCTTGTATGTTACAGAGATATAAACTTTTTACAGTCAACATTACAATTTTACACAGACATCAGCAATCTCAGGCGAGACAAAGGGTTCCGTGGAATCCTTAACGAATCTATTATAATACTGATTCCATTGGAGAAATGTATTTTTCCGCATTTCGGAGTATAGCGGGAAAATGTTGTCTAAAAGGAACGTTTTTTAAGAACGGTATGTTTATGGCGGTTTTTTTTTATTCGACCGCAAAAATTAAATATTTTTTGGTCGTATATTGGTATCACGTTGTCGTCGTCGTCTGCGTCGTCGTCGTTAGCGTCGTCCGAAGACAGATGGTTTCCGGATAATAACTTTAGTATAAGTAAATAGAAATCAATAAAATTTAACACAAGGTTTTTAACCACTAAAGAAAGGTTGGGATTGATTTTGGGGGTTATTGTCTCAACTGTTTTGGAATTAGGGGCCCAAATAAGCATTTTTGTAGTTTCCAGACAATGACTTGTGTTAAAGTGTATGAATCTCTCTGAAATTATACCTACAAGTTTCCATACAACAAAGGGATGGTTAGGGTTGACTATGGGGGGTTATGGCTCAAACCATTTAGGAATTAGAGGCAAAAAAGGGGAAACACAAGGTTTTTCTGGTTAAAGGACAATTAAGACAATTTAAAAGCAGTCTAAGAGAGGTAATCCAATCCCAATTTAAAACAACAATATTTGATTACCTTCCTTACATTGCTTGTAAATTATGTATTAAAAAATGATGATTGTCTTGAGGTGATTAGCTGTCAATTTATTTTTAAAAGTTAAGTACTATTAATTAATATTAATTTTAGCCATGACTATGTATGTCATTTTAT